AATTGTGAGCGAAGGAGTGGTAGAGGTAACGGACGTGAAGAGCACAGTTGGAGTGGCAGAGGAATCTGGTAGTGTGGCGGAACAGGAGACTTTGGTTGTGGAGCAGGTGGCGGAATCCAAGGAGACTGTGACTGTTACGATGGAGGAGCGCATTGTACAGGAGGTGGAGAAGGAGTCCGTCCCAGAGACCATGGAGTGGGTTTCAGAGGGTGTTGGTGAGTTGGAGGAATCCGACCGTCAGGATAGTGCTCATGTTGTGGAGCAGCCGAATGAAGTAGATGTTGCAGTTTCTGAAACGCAAGTGGAGGTGGAGACTGTTGAGGTGGTGTCAGTGAAGGAGGCTGTGGTGGACGAGGTCCCAGTGGAATCGATGACAGTCTCGGTCTCAGGTGTGACGGAGGAGAAGAGCGTGGTCTCAGTGACAGAAGACTTTGCCATGGAGGTAGAGCAGGTGACTTTGACCATGGATGAGGTTCCGTCTCGTATGGAATCCCTGACGTCCTCAGCTGAAGAACGTGTTGTCAGTGAGGCTGTTCCACTGGAGGAGACGGTTTATGATGTGTATGAAACGGAAGAGGTTGAAGCTGTAACACGCCCCACCACTGACGCTGTCGCTTCTGGTGTTGTCTCCTCGACTACTCCTTCTCTGTCTGACGTTGTCAGTGTTGAAGAAGTTCCTTCCGAGGCGAGTTACTGATATGTGCATACACATAATGCACAGCCTTAGGCTTAGTGGCATGGCAAGTTCTTCTGCTTCAGTCGGTTTTGAAATAACTGGTGAATTTTTCGAGGTTTTATCATGGAAACTGTCAGATGTTGCGCCTCTTATTGCATGCATGTCCCGTTAGTTGAAAAGTTGTCTAGTACTCTCCTTGAGTCTCATCTCTTAACAAACATCATGCATTTGCATTGTTGTATTAGTGTTTGGATAAATGTGAATCTGAGACTGTTTGTTTCATCTGTGAATTTTTGTGAGGCGACATTTCACTTGTCATGGATTGTTCACCTGGTAACTTGTGACCCATTCATTTGATCTTTGTGTTTGTGAGAGAGTGTATTTGTTTCCTACTCCAAATGACTGACATATGTTGAATGTTGTGTTTGAAATGTGTGCGTTTGTGTGTGTGAGTGTGTTTTGTGGTATTTGTTGTTGTTGATGATGGTGTTGTGAGTGGGAATGGATTTATTGTTAGTAGAATATGTGTAACATTGGCTGGATTGTTCGCTCTGACATTTGGTTTTCCGGTAAATATTAACTCGCTTCCAGTTGATCGGTATTGTTAGTTGTCATTTACTAAATGTGATATGGTGATTGATTTTCTGATTGTGAAGCTGAGGAGTAGTCTGTTATTGAGTTATGTGTGGTTTCGATATTCAAGTGATGGGAGTATGTGTAGCTGCAAAATCCACCCATAAATGAATGTCGAGATATTCGGTTGTAGATGATGCCTGTTTGTGCTGAATAGTTGTGATGTGCATGAGTGATAAAGATGTTGATCCACTAGAATCGTTCCATGTCTGATATTGGTATGTCGTCTTTGTGTTGTGGCGTGTAGAAACAGGATTTTTAATGATGAGGAACGGAAGTGTTTAGCGTAGGTGGGTTGTCTGTGGAAGACAATATAATAATAGACTGGGATGTGATTTTGTTGATGTTGTTCTGTGTGTGAAGAATGACGATTGGCTAAACAAAGGGTATAGATGAGGACACTTTGTCGTGTGTGGAATTGCCTAAATGCATGACAGGTTTGATTGTGTTTCGGTGTTGCAGAGTTGGATGCTGAACCTATTCTCTCATTATGTTGCCTTTAGTATGTGACACTGACAACTGGAAGTGTTTGAATCGGGTGAAAAGTTTGTGTGTGATAGTACTGCGTTGACGTCTGTTATAAGCGACATCTGTTAAGCTGACTGAATCATGGACGATAAGTGTTGCTCTGAGTTTCTTGTCAGATGAATATGTGAGCGGTGATTAGTGAAGTTTATTAGACAGTGCCTAGTATTTAAAAGACTTGTGTGTAGTACTTTCGCATCCTGTTGTCTCTGATAAGATGTCAATTTGATCCCACCGCTTGATTTTGTTTCCCCGAATGCTGATACTTGAAACAAACACGTCATATTCATAATGTCGTTCTTTTGTATACCAGCAGGTAACGGAAGTCGGAGACACAGTGACCGAGAAGACCGCCGAGGTCATTGTTCAAGAAGGGAAGGAGTCTGTGTCACAGACCATGGAGTGGGTTTCAGAGGGTGTTTGTGAATTGGAGGAATCCGACCGTCAGGATAGTGCCTGTGTTGTGGAGCAGCCGAGTGAAGTAAGTGTGGCCGTTTCTGAAAAGCCCATGGAACTGGAGGCACGTGAGGAGGTCTCTGTGAAGGAGGTCGTGGTCGACAAGACCCCAGTGGAATCGGAGACAGTCCCGGTCTCAATTGTGAGCGAAGGAGTGGTAGAGGTAACGGACGTGAAGAGCACAGTTGGAGTGGCAGAGGAATCTGGTAGTGTGGCGGAACAGGAGACTTTGGTTGTGGAGCAGGTGGCGGAATCCAAGGAGACTGTGACTGTTACGATGGAGGAGCGCATTGTACAGGAGGTGGAGAAGGAGTCCGTCCCAGAGACCATGGAGTGGGTTTCAGAGGGTGTTGGTGAGTTGGAGGAATCCGACCGTCAGGATAGTGCTCATGTTGTGGAGCAGCCGAATGAAGTAGATGTTGCAGTTTCTGAAACGCAAGTGGAGGTGGAGACTGTTGAGGTGGTGTCAGTGAAGGAGGCTGTGGTGGACGAGGTCCCAGTGGAATCGATGACAGTCTCGGTCTCAGGTGTGACGGAGGAGAAGAGCGTGGTCTCAGTGACAGAAGACTTTGCCATGGAGGTAGAGCAGGTGACTTTGACCATGGATGAGGTTCCGTCTCGTATGGAATCCCTGACGTCCTCAGCTGAAGAACGTGTTGTCAGTGAGGCTGTTCCACTGGAGGAGACGGTTTATGATGTGTATGAAACGGAAGAGGTTGAAGCTGTAACACGCCCCACCACTGACGCTGTCGCTTCTGGTGTTGTCTCCTCGACTACTCCTTCTCTGTCTGACGTTGTCAGTGTTGAAGAAGTTCCTTCCGAGGCGAGTTACTGATATGTGCATACACATAATGCACAGCCTTAGGCTTAGTGGCATGGCAAGTTCTTCTGCTTCAGTCGGTTTTGAAATAACTGGTGAATTTTTCGAGGTTTTATCATGGAAACTGTCAGATGTTGCGCCTCTTATTGCATGCATGTCCCGTTAGTTGAAAAGTTGTCTAGTACTCTCCTTGAGTCTCATCTCTTAACAAACATCATGCATTTGCATTGTTGTATTAGTGTTTGGATAAATGTGAATCTGAGACTGTTTGTTTCATCTGTGAATTTTTGTGAGGCGACATTTCACTTGTCATGGATTGTTCACCTGGTAACTTGTGACCCATTCACTTAATTTTAATATCCTTCGGTGAATCTATTTTTGACTTATTTTACCTTTTTTGCCTTTTTCGATATATTTTTTATGTTGTCACATCGTTTTTTTTTATTTTCCTTTCTTGATTTGTCATCTATACTGTATTTTTCTTTATTTTTGTATCGAATATACTGGCATTACTTTGTAGGGATTATTAGCGGTCTAGTTGTTTTATGTTATATCTTAATAGTCGCTATGTGTCATTCTGTCATTTGAACAAACACATACATATTCACTGTTCAATCAATTTTGTTTTTCTGCTTATCGATTTGGATTATTTTACCTTTACCATTATACATCATCCATCTGTATTCATTCTATTGTTCATGAATTGTTTCTACTCCATATACGATAATATAAATTGTGGTTTTATTTTTTCGTAAACAATATTGTTTCTAATCCATTTTATATATAAATTTTTTTTGTTTAAATTATATCAAGTTTTGAAATCATTTTTTCATCTGGTAACTATTAAGATTACGCAATCTATATCGAGTGAATTCATGATTCCCATAGATAACTTGAACGAAACTAAACTATCTTATTATAAAAATCAATTTTCTCTCCTTTTTTTTGGTTTTTATAACCAATGGCAAAACACCCATTTAGACATTAAATAAAAAAGATTGGTTCCAAAAAGGATTCTCTATTCGATGAATTCATTTACAAAGCTATACAATCGTAAATATACTTGTTTCTAAGGATAATAATACTCTTCTTCCTTTTAACATCATCTACTTCCCTCCTTCCATCTTCTTTATACACCTTTCACCCTAACTTTTTGATTTTCCTTTTTTTGATTTTTTGTTTCTTTGATCCTCCTCCTCCTCCTCCTTATAATGATGAGATAACTATTCCTAATCATAATTTTCCTATCTATCTTTATGATGAATAATTAAACTCTTAATAATCAAACTATTGTTAGTTTCCTTTACTAGTAAACCAATCCCTTTTTAATATCTTTGTTTATTCTACTTGACTGTTGTCATGTGATTGTACGACTTTTCCAAAATCAATCCCCTCAAATAAGAGAACTCTTCATTGAGCCAATCTGTCTTATTATTAACGATTCAATCAATAATAACATAAACTTGATCTTATTCTTTACTTTGTTTCTACGTTACATTTTTTGTTTTAATCTAAACTTATAAAAGTTACATCATAGGTAATCCTAATGATGAGCTTAAATTGAATAAACATTATGCATGTAATACAATGTTTTGTTATCATTCATGTTTTGACAGGCTTCTTTCTTTTTCTTATACACTACTGATCAATGTTTAGTCTGACAGGAATTACATTCGTTGTGTTAAGCATGATGAATAAAAAATTATGATAATGTTACGTAACTATTTGGTGTTATTTAAATCAAGCTTAAAAAGTATTGGATGTTTGTCTGTTTCTGGCTGTAATTTAAATGTAAACTTGTTAAATACTACTTGATTATAGTAGTATTTTAGTTGGCATGGCAACTGTTATTCTAATTGTTTATTATTAAAATTTACTTTCAATTTCTAGGTAAAACCTCCAGAATGTCCAAAGCTGACTGGTTAGTTATACATCTTAATAATGTTTATGTATATTTTTTACAAGTTAAAGATGATTTACATTGTAGGCTAATAGATATTGAGAATAGGGGGGGAGGTACTAGACCTCTGGTTCGATCGGGTATATAAACTTCTGACCAATCTTTATCCACGTTCCAGGTTTTCAATGGTGATCTAGCTTACGTCGAATCATGAAGATAATTTATATTGTAGGCTGATAACTATTGAAAATGGGGGGCAAACTAGACCTCTAGTTCAATCGACTATATAAACTTCTGACTGACCCTTACCCACGTTCCCACTGAAGAATGAACCTAAGACTGTTTAGTCTTGCTTTGAGCTTATTACTATTAGAATACTAATATGATACTTAATGGTCTACATTTTCTGATTAAAAAGGTATTTGTGTCAAATACTCGTGTATCTGTTATATGATTGTCATTAGTTGAATCTTCAAATACCCTGTATGAACTATGTCTTTTTTTAATAATTCCAAGGAATTGTACAGTTTATACTAGACGTTTCATCGATCTCTTTTACGGTTTATGGAATTGTTCTGTACTGACTAACTGTTGTGCTCCATTGATTTTTTCATTTAACTATGATTCACTGAATAAGCTCCCACTTATTTTTGTGTAATTGATGTTTAAACAGCTTAAGAGTTGCTTAAAATCTTCTCAAACAAGCATCTTTATACGTTATTTTATGGAAGCACCTATCGTCAATGCATTTTACCCATCTCCCATTTCATAAGTTCAATATCTTCCAATTACGAATGGTAGATAAATTAGCATATCCATTTTTTACTCATGTTTATTTATTTATTTAAACATAAATATTGGTACAAATGGGCACCAGATATAAATGCGCCGCAAAAATCTCATTTGATTTGTGTGAGGGCTCAGATACTGCCCGGGTGCCCAAACCGAAGCAGGTGGTTTTCTTAGGAGGCAACACCCGGAGCCTCTGACCTAAAGGTCTGATCCACAAGGCAGTGGATCGTCGTGAGGAGATTCAGTCCCATGGTAGCCGGTGACCAATTATTGATTCATACGCCGTTTGTTCCTTCATGATACTGGACCACAAGTGCATCATTGGTTTGGAATCAGGGTTTTCCAACTCCCGTACGTTGACTTTCAGTGCCCACCAACCTGGTTAAAGCGTCGGACATTCGCTTTTCATCCTCTCAATTCCGTAAAAAATACCCGTGGTGCAAGATGGCAGTGAATAGGACTTCCCTCTCAGAGGCTATATATGCGTGGCCATGTGAGAGCATTTGGAGAGAGGAAGAGCAGACTCTCCCCACTCTCAACCGTACCAGGGAGTTTGGGGGCTTAAGTTATCAGGTTATTGTACTTCCAGTAGAGTAGTTTATTTGACATTAAACAGTATTCATCATTCGCATCTTCAACAGATTATCCACGAATACTTTTGTGATTGAAGGATAATAATCAACCAAGATTTTTTTGTATTTTTAGCTCCTTCAACTCCTGTCAATATAAAAATTGTTATAACACCACCAGAAAGTTCATCTTCAAAACCTAAACTTCATATAACATGGCAACAACCTGATAATATTCCAGTTACTAATTTTTATATAGAATTAAAACCATCAAATTCTAAAACATGGCAAAATGTATCTGCTGATTTTACTATTACTGAACCTGATACAATATTATCAACTGATAATTTACAAGAATTTGTTAGTTATGAATTTCGTGTTATTGCTGAAAATGAAGCAGGCAAAAGTGTACCATCATTACCATCCAATTCAATTGAATTAGGTAAGTATGATTATAGAAAGGACTACACATAAGTGTGAAAGGTTTGGCATAGAATTAGACTTTATAAACAGTAATCCAATAACAACATTATAGCCAGAGTATTCGAAATTAAGGGTTAGGGTTAAAACTACATTACAGGAGTAGGAGTTATCAATAATGCATGATACTTTTAAGTATGTATTGAGTACATTTACAATTACCTTCAACAATTCAGAGATCATACTAAAGTACTATGCACAGTCCCATTCTATAAATTCTCTATTCTTTATTTCATGGAAGTCTAATTGCATTCTCATCGACAACTTGTCAAGATAATCCTCACACTTTAATCATGACTATTAATTAAAAGCAACTTAGTGATTAACAAGTAGTAGAGCATACATATTATTCGTTTAACTCTCACTAAGATGCAATCGATACGTCATATCGCATTACATTTCATTGTTGACAACATGTGCTGAAGATGCCACGAAAACCATAGCAGAAGAACGTAAAAGCAGTCCTGCGAGATATCCATAAACTGAACTTATTTGATCACTAATATTCCGACGGGAAAAATCAAGATACAGGAGGAAAGAAATGAAAACAGAAAAAAATAAAACAGGACAATCAAGATAAACTCACTAAACACAGCTCCGGTAGTAAAAGACTACCGGAAACATACATTCAAACCTAATATTCACCAAACACTATCATGCTTAATTGATTTCAAGTCATTTCTATATTCGGTTTGTTTAGTAAAAATGTGATCACATTTCAAAACACAACCAGTATCACTTTCTTAAGTAGTAGCAAGCGCGAAATCTTCTTCATTTCCATATTCTAATACAATTGTTATTGATCTCATCTAGGTATACCGCTAGAATTCATTCGCCCGTTGACGAATATAACTGTCAGCTCAGTGACAAATGAACCAGTCATACTTGAATGTGAACTATCTCGAACTCCACGTGACAAGATCCAATGGTTCAAGGATGGGAAAGCACTACCCAGCAGACTGTCGAGTAGAATAAAAGTTGAAGAGTTGGAGAATGGAAAAGTTCACCGAATTATCTTCAGTCCATTGACAGAGGAAGATCTAGGTTATTATTCTGTGAAAGTAGAGAATTTGACAAGTGAAGCACGAGTGGATATGAAGAGTGAGTTATTAAGTACTGTTAATAAAGCTTATATGGAGTCTCGATTTCATTATTCTTTATTTTATTTTTCAACTGAAGTCATAATTAACTAGTGAAGACCGATTTTTATTTGTTATGTTTAAATTTTCTTAACAGAAACAAAATAGTTGAAATCATGAATCAATTGAAGTTAGACCACCGTGGAAAACCAGGAAGCACTGGATGGCCGTTTCGTCGAATTATGGGACCCTTCAGCAACCGTCCAGTGCATCAAGGTTTTCCATGGTGGTCTAGCTTCAATTACCTCATGATTTCAACTATGAAAATACTAAATTCTCCACAAAACCCCCTCTGATCTAGAAACAAAATAGTTATCTTGTAACTTGCTTCCTTTCCTCCTATGTTTGAAATTATTGTAAGTAGTAACGCTAATAATAATAATACATGTTGGATATTGGAATGAGAAAAGTTGTTGAATTTTCTATCTACTTACAGTTGCGCCAACACTGAAGCTGTCGGAATCATTCTCTGACAAAGTCATCATGAAAGCTGGAGAGGCGGCCGTTTTCGAAATACCATTCGTCGCCAGTCCGAAACCGACAGTGACCTGGTCATGGAGGCCAAGAACACGTCCTGATGCGGAGTTGGGATCAGCTCAGACTCCACGATTTAAGGCTGACGTGGTGTCCGGACTGACATCACTTCCAGTGAGTAAGGTGAAGCGTGAGGATGCTGGTGAGTACAGTGTGGTCATCAGTAATGAATTGGGCGAGGTGACTGTGAGTATTGAGTTGATTGTATTGGACAAACCGTCAGTACCTCGTAATTTAATGGCGAGTGAGAACACTGGTGAGAGCGTTTTGTTCAGTTGGACGGAACCAGAATTCCTCGGTCTTCATCCTGATGTAGGAGTTAGTGTTGGCTTGAGTTACGTTGTGGAGATGCGTGAGTCAAATCAACGTGCGAGTAGGTCGGTGACAGTGACGAGTGAATTGAATACTGTTATAGACAAACTGCAAGTGAACAAGTCGTATGTGTTTAGTGTTGCAGCTAAAAATGATGTCGGTCAGTCGGAATTCGCTGAAACGAGTCCAGTTTCGACGAAGTTGGAATATGGTAAGTTTGTGTTTGAATTGTATAGTTTTGTTTATGATTGGATTTTCAAGTCTATTGACCTTATCGGCAAAGCATTTTGTTACTCGATAGATTTCAGCAAAAGTATTTGGATAAGGCTTTGAAACAGACGATGCTTGAATTTACCTCTCAACTGATTTTGAAGTATTTTCAACCGGATATCAAGAAAATGAAATTCCTCATTCACCTCTGCTTTTCATGTGAACTGAATTGAGTAGTGACAATTATTGAATCGATCCCAAATGTCATTGAGGTGAATCGATTTCCGGTTGAGAAGAATGTCAAATGGTTCCTCGTCCTCTGTTTCATGATTTGTTTAAGCGTTAGTGAATCCCCAATAGAAATGGCATTGAATCACTACTTATTCGTTCAACTGAACACAAAATGAGTAGTTGGTTCGACCAAGATCTTACGTATTATCGATCGTGCTTTGACTGCATTGTTACTGATATGTGTATAACATTGTCACTGACTATCTAACATTGTGGGTTATATTTTGAATATGATTTGAATGCTTTCTGAAAACACTAGGTCCACCACCGAGTCCAGTCAATGTGAAGGCAGTGGTCAATCCAGAGAAGGCGTCTATCAAAGATCAAACGATAGAATTGACGTGGGAACAACCAACCGACCAAGTGTCTGCCAGTGGACCGGTCACAAACTTCTACATCGAATTGAAGCCTGAAGACTCAACTCGATGGCAGGACGTGAGTGCCGACTTCACAATCACTGAACCACACTTCACACTTCCTACTGATAAATTGCAAGAGTTTGTGAGTTATGAGTTCCGTGTAACAGCAGAGAATAAAGCTGGCAAGAGTAAACCTTCTTCACCATCGAACGCTGTTCAACTAGGTAAATGATAACACTTGTTTTGGTTGTGTGTGCGTGTGTGTGTGTGAGTGGGTGGGTGGGTTTGTGTGCAATTATCTATATGCATCGACTTGCAAGTGATTTCGCTTAAATCAATCTACTCGCCAAGATCAATGTATCCGACTGAGATGTGATTGAGTCGGAGAGTATGATGGACTAATTAGCACGTATCCTGATCATGTCCTCAAGAGTAACTAGTTCCAGTGTGATCATTTCTCATGTTGCCTATTAGACTGACCTGTCGGAATGATCGGATCGGTCAGTGATAATGTATGATTGATTTTGCATAGACTGAAGCAGTACTTGCAGCTGTCTGTTCACTTGAGGAATTTCGTTGTAGGAACTAACTACTGAACGTTCTAGGTTACTTGTTTTTCTCAACTGACTGACTACCAACGAAAGGTGAAATGTAGTTCATCTGGCAAATATATCAGTGGTCTTTATGACGAACGAGAGAATTGGTCGTTTGAGGTGGTACTGATCTTTCTCATTTTCAATTGTACATGAATCTCGTTAACTTGCACATGATCAAATTGGAGTAATGGGCGTTTTGGAGATGTGATATTCATTGAGTCTGAGTTTTAGTTATTATGCTGTAATGTAGAAGTGGTTCTGAATGAATGTATCAGTGTGGAATCTACCCATATCAATGTTTGCTACTCACCGAATCACTGAAAGATGTAGGAAATGATCTCAGAGCATCACACGTTATTGATATTTTGAATTGAAGCCATATTTTTATGCGGAATCTGAATGTCATGGGCTGCATACACCACACCAGTGGTGATGGAGACTTGAGAGATTCATTTGGATGTGCCTGTCTCCTTATTTAACAATCCATCCGTGTATTGAATGCATTTCGATTTGTATAATAGACTACTGGAATGATACATTCAAACCTAATATTCACCAAACACTATCATGCTTAATTGATTTCAAGTCATTTCTATATTCGGTTTGTTTAGTAAAAATGTGATCACATTTCAAAACACAACCAGTATCACTTTCTTAAGTAGTAGCAAGCGCGAAATCTTCTTCATTTCCATATTCTAATACAATTGTTATTGATCTCATCTAGGTATACCGCTAGAATTCATTCGCCCGTTGACGAATATAACTGTCAGCTCAGTGACAAATGAACCAGTCATACTTGAATGTGAACTATCTCGAACTCCACGTGACAAGATCCAATGGTTCAAGGATGGGAAAGCACTACCCAGCAGACTGTCGAGTAGAATAAAAGTTGAAGAGTTGGAGAATGGAAAAGTTCACCGAATTATCTTCAGTCCATTGACAGAGGAAGATCTAGGTTATTATTCTGTGAAAGTAGAGAATTTGACAAGTGAAGCACGAGTGGATATGAAGAGTGAGTTATTAAGTACTGTTAATAAAGCTTATATGGAGTCTCGATTTCATTATTCTTTATTTTATTTTTCAACTGAAGTCATAATTAACTAGTGAAGACCGATTTTTATTTGTTATGTTTAAATTTTCTTAACAGAAACAAAATAGTTGAAATCATGAATCAATTGAAGTTAGACCACCGTGGAAAACCAGGAAGCACTGGATGGCCGTTTCGTCGAATTATGGGACCCTTCAGCAACCGTCCAGTGCATCAAGGTTTTCCATGGTGGTCTAGCTTCAATTACCTCATGATTTCAACTATGAAAATACTAAATTCTCCACAAAACCCCCTCTGATCTAGAAACAAAATAGTTATCTTGTAACTTGCTTCCTTTCCTCCTATGTTTGAAATTATTGTAAGTAGTAACGCTAATAATAATAATACATGTTGGATATTGGAATGAGAAAAGTTGTTGAATTTTCTATCTACTTACAGTTGCGCCAACACTGAAGCTGTCGGAATCATTCTCTGACAAAGTCATCATGAAAGCTGGAGAGGCGGCCGTTTTCGAAATACCATTCGTCGCCAGTCCGAAACCGACAGTGACCTGGTCATGGAGGCCAAGAACACGTCCTGATGCGGAGTTGGGATCAGCTCAGACTCCACGATTTAAGGCTGACGTGGTGTCCGGACTGACATCACTTCCAGTGAGTAAGGTGAAGCGTGAGGATGCTGGTGAGTACAGTGTGGTCATCAGTAATGAATTGGGCGAGGTGACTGTGAGTATTGAGTTGATTGTATTGGACAAACCGTCAGTACCTCGTAATTTAATGGCGAGTGAGAACACTGGTGAGAGCGTTTTGTTCAGTTGGACGGAACCAGAATTCCTCGGTCTTCATCCTGATGTAGGAGTTAGTGTTGGCTTGAGTTACGTTGTGGAGATGCGTGAGTCAAATCAACGTGCGAGTAGGTCGGTGACAGTGACGAGTGAATTGAATACTGTTATAGACAAACTGCAAGTGAACAAGTCGTATGTGTTTAGTGTTGCAGCTAAAAATGATGTCGGTCAGTCGGAATTCGCTGAAACGAGTCCAGTTTCGACGAAGTTGGAATATGGTAAGTTTGTGTTTGAATTGTATAGTTTTGTTTATGATTGGATTTTCAAGTCTATTGACCTTATCGGCAAAGCATTTTGTTACTCGATAGATTTCAGCAAAAGTATTTGGATAAGGCTTTGAAACAGACGATGCTTGAATTTACCTCTCAACTGATTTTGAAGTATTTTCAACCGGATATCAAGAAAATGAAATTCCTCATTCACCTCTGCTTTTCATGTGAACTGAATTGAGTAGTGACAATTATTGAATCGATCCCAAATGTCATTGAGGTGAATCGATTTCCGGTTGAGAAGAATGTCAGATGGTTCCTCGTCCTCTGTTTCATGATTTGTTTAAGCGTTAGTGAATCCCCAATAGAAATGGCATTGAATCACTACTTATTCGTTCAACTGAACACAAAATGAGTAGTTGGTTCGACCAAGATCTTACGTATTATCGATCGTGCTTTGACTGCATTGTTACTGATATGTGTATAACATTGTCACTGACTATCTAACATTGTGGGTTATATTTTGAATATGATTTGAATGCTTTCTGAAAACACTAGGTCCACCACCGAGTCCAGTCAATGTGAAGGCAGTGGTCAATCCAGAGAAGGCGTCTATCAAAGATCAAACGATAGAATTGACGTGGGAACAACCAACCGACCAAGTGTCTGCCAGTGGACCGGTCACAAACTTCTACATCGAATTGAAGCCTGAAGACTCAACTCGATGGCAGGACGTGAGTGCCGACTTCACAATCACTGAACCACACTTCACACTTCCTACTGATAAATTGCAAGAGTTTGTGAGTTATGAGTTCCGTGTAACAGCAGAGAATAAAGCTGGCAAGAGTAAACCTTCTTCACCATCGAACGCTGTTCAACTAGGTAAATGATAACACTTGTTTTGGTTGTGTGTGCGTGTGTGTGTGTGAGTGGGTGGGTGGGTTTGTGTGCAATTATCTATATGCATCGACTTGCAAGTGATTTCGCTTAAATCAATCTACTCGCCAAGATCAATGTATCCGACTGAGATGTGATTGAGTCGGAGAGTATGATGGACTAATTAGCACGTATCCTGATCATGTCCTCAAGAGTAACTAGTTCCAGTGTGATCATTTCTCATGTTGCCTATTAGACTGACCTGTCGGAATGATCGGATCGGTCAGTGATAATGTATGATTGATTTTGCATAGACTGAAGCAGTACTTGCAGCTGTCTGTTCACTTGAGGAATTTCGTTGTAGGAACTAACTACTGAACGTTCTAGGTTACTTGTTTTTCTCAACTGACTGACTACCAACGAAAGGTGAAATGTAGTTCATCTGGCAAATATATCAGTGGTCTTTATGACGAACGAGAGAATTGGTCGTTTGAGGTGGTACTGATCTTTCTCATTTTCAATTGTACATGAATCTCGTTACCTTGCACATGATCAAATTGGAATAATGGGCGTTTTGGAGAGGTGATATTCATTGAGTCTGAGTTTTAGTTATTATGCTGTAATGTAGAAGTGGTTCTGAATGAATGTATCAGTGTGGAATCTACCCATATCAATGTTTGCTACTCACCGAATCACTGAAAGATGTAGGAAATGATCTCAGAGCATCACACGTTATTGATATTTTGAATTGAAGCCATATTTTTATGCGGAATCTGAATGTCATGGGCTGCATACACCACACCAGTGGTGATGGAGACTTGAGAGATTCATTTGGATGTGCCTGTCTCCTTATTTAACAATCCATCCGTGTATTGAATGCATTTCGATTTGTATAATAGACTACTGGAATGATACATTCAAACCTAATATTCACCAAACACTATCATGCTTAATTGATTTCAAGTCATTTCTATATTCGGTTTGTTTAGTAAAAATGTGATCACATTTCAAAACACAACCAGTATCACTTTCTTAAGTAGTAGCAAGCGCGAAATCTTCTTCATTTCCATATTCTAATACAATTGTTATTGATCTCATCTAGGTATACCGCTAGAATTCATTCGCCCGTTGACGAATATAACTGTCAGCTCAGTGACAAATGAACCAGTCATACTTGAATGTGAACTATCTCGAACTCCACGTGACAAGATCCAATGGTTCAAGGATGGGAAAGCACTACCCAGCAGACTGTCGAGTAGAATAAAAGTTGAAGAGTTGGAGAATGGAAAAGTTCACCGAATTATCTTCAGTCCATTGACAGAGGAAGATCTAGGTTATTATTCTGTGAAAGTAGAGAATTTGACAAGTGAAGCACGAGTGGATATGAAGAGTGAGTTATTAAGTACTGTTAATAAAGCTTATATGGAGTCTCGATTTCATTATTCTTTATTTTATTTTTCAACTGAAGTCATAATTAACTAGTGAAGACCGATTTTTATTTGTTATGTTTAAATTTTCTTAACAGAAACAAAATAGTTGAAATCATGAATCAATTGAAGTTAGACCACCGTGGAAAACCAGGAAGCACTGGATGGCCGTTTCGTCGAATTATGGGACCCTTCAGCAACCGTCCAGTGCATCAAGGTTTTCCATGGTGGTCTAGCTTCAATTACCTCATGATTTCAACTATGAAAATACTAAATTCTCCACAAAACCCACTCTGATCTAGAAACAAAATAGTTATCTTGTAACTTGCTTCCTTTCCTCCTATGTTTGAAATTATTGTAAGTAGTAACGCTAATAATAATAATACATGTTGGATATTGGAATGAGAAAAGTTGTTGAATTTTCTATCTACTTACAGTTGCGCCAACATTGAAGCTGTCGGAATCATTCTCTGACAAAGTCATCATGAAAGCTGGAGAGGCGGCCGTTTTCGAAATACCATTCGTCGCCAGTCCGAAACCGACAGTGACCTGGTCATGGAGGCCAAGAACACGTCCTGATGCGGAGTTGGGATCAGCTCAGACTCCACGATTTAAGGCTGACGTGGTGTCCGGACTGACATCACTTCCAGTGAGTAAGGTGAAGCGTGAGGATGCTGGTGAGTACAGTGTGGTCATCAGTAATGAATTGGGCGAGGTGACTGTGAGTATTGAGTTGATTGTATTGGACAAACCGTCAGTACCTCGTAATTTAATGGCGAGTGAGAACACTGGTGAGAGCGTTTTGTTCAGTTGGACGGAACCAGAATTCCTCGGTCTTCATCCTGATGTAGGAGTTAGTGATGGCTTGAGTTACGTTGTGGAGATGCGTGAGTCAAATCAACGTGCGAGTAGGTCGGTGACAGTGACGAGTGAATTGAATACTGTTATAGACAAACTGCAAGTGAACAAGTCGTATGTGTTTAGTGTTGCAGCTAAAAATGATGTCGGTCAGTCGGAATTCGCTGAAACGAGTCCAGTTTCGACGAAGTTGGAATATGGTAAGTTTGTGTTTGAATTGTATAGTTTTGTTTATGATTGGATTTTCAAGTCTATTGACCTTATCGGCAAAGCATTTTGTTACTCGATAGATTTCAGCAAAAGTATTTGGATAAGGCTTTGAAACAGACGATGCTTGAATTTACCTCTCAACTGATTTTGAAGTATTTTCAACCGGATATCAAGAAAATGAAATTCCTCATTCACCTCTGCTTTTCATGTGAACTGAATTGAGTAGTGACAATTATTGAATCGATCCCAAATGTCATTGAGGTGAATCGATTTCCGGTTGAGAAGAATGTCAGATGGTTCCTCGTCCTCTGTTTTACGATTTGTTTAAGCGTTAGTGAATCCCCAATAGAAATGGCATTGAATCACTACTTATTCGTTCAACTGAACACAAAATGAGTAGTTGGTTCGACCAAGATCTTACGTATTATCGATCGTGCTTTGACTGCATTGTTACTGATATGTGTATAACATTGTCACTGACTATCTAACATTGTGGGTTATATTTTGAATATGATTTGAATGCTTTCTGAAAACACTAGGTCCACCACCGAGTCCAGTCAATGTGAAGGCAGTGGTCAATCCAGAGAAGGCGTCTATCAAAGATCAAACGATAGAATTGACGTGGGAACAACCAACCGACCAAGTGTCTGCCAGTGGACCGGTCACAAACTTCTACATCGAATTGAAGCCTGAAGACTCAACTCGATGGCAGGACGTGAGTGCCGACTTCACAATCACTGAACCACACTTCACACTTCCTACTGATAAATTGCAAGAGTTTGTGAGTTATGAGTTCCGTGTAACAGCAGAGAATAAAGCTGGCAAGAGTAAACCTTCTTCACCATCGAACGCTGTTCAACTAGGTAAATGATAACACTTGTTTTGGTTGTGTGTGCGTGTGTGTGTGTGAGTGGGTGGGTGGGTTTGTGTGCAATTATCTATATGCATCGACTTGCAAGTGATTTCGCTTAAATCAATCTACTCGCCAAGATCAATGTATCCGACTGAGATGTGATTGAGTCGGAGAGTATGATGGACTAATTAGCACGTATCCTGATCATGTCCTCAAGAGTAACTAGTTCCAGTGTGATCATTTCTCATGTTGCCTATTAGACTGACCTGTCGGAATGATCGGATCGGTCAGTGATAATGTATGATTGATTTTGCATAGACTGAAGCAGTACTTGCAGCTGTCTGTTCACTTAAGGAATTTCGTTGTAGGAACTAACTACTGAACGTTCTAGGTTACTTGTTTTTCTCAACTGACTGACTACCAACGAAAGGTGAAATGTAGTTCATCTGGCAAATATATCAGTGGTCTTTATGACGAACGAGAGAATTGGTCGTTTGAGGTGGTACTGATCTTTCTCATTTTCAATTGTACATGAATCTCGTTACCTTGCACATGATCAAATTGGAATAATGGGCGTTTTGGAGAGGTGATATTCATTGAGTCTGAGTTTTAGTTATTATGCTGTAATGTAGAAGTGGTTCTGAATGAATGTATCAGTGTGGAATCTACCCATATCAATGTTTGCTACTCACCGAATCACTGAAAGATGTAGGAAATGATCTCAGAGCATCACACGTTATTGATATTTTGAATTGAAGCCATATTTTTATGCGGAATCTGAATGTCATGGGCTGCATACACCACACCAGTGGTGATGGAGACTTGAGAGATTCATTTGGATGTGCCTGTCTCCTTATTTAACAATCCATCCGTGTATTGAATGCATTTCGATTTGTATAATAGACTACTGGAATGATACATTCAAACCTAATATTCACCAAACACTATCATGCTTAATTGATTTCAAGTCATTTCTATATTCGGTTTGTTTAGTAAAAATGTGATCACATTTCAAAACACAACCAGTATCACTTTCTTAAGTAGTAGCAAGCGCGAAATCTTCTTCATTTCCATATTCTAATACAATTGTTATTGATCTCATCTAGGTATACCGCTAGAATTCATTCGCCCGTTGACGAATATAACTGTCAGCTCAGTGACAAATGAACCAGTCATACTTGAATGTGAACTATCTCGAACTCCACGTGACAAGATCCAATGGTTCAAGGATGGGAAAGCACTACCCAGCAGACTGTCGAGTAGAATAAAAGTTGAAGAGTTGGAGAATGGAAAAGTTCACCGAATTATCTTCAGTCCATTGACAGAGGAAGATCTAGGTTATTATTCTGTGAAAGTAGAGAATTTGACAAGTGAAGCACGAGTGGATATGAAGAGTGAGTTATTAAGTACTGTTAATAAAGCTTATATGGAGTCTCGATTTCATTATTCTTTATTTTATTTTTCAACTGAAGTCATAATTAACTAGTGAAGACCGATTTTTATTTGTTATGTTTAAATTTTCTTAACAGAAACAAAATAGTTGAAATCATGAATCAATTGAAGTTAGACCACCGTGGAAAACCAGGAAGCACTGGATGGCCGTTTCGTCGAATTATGGGACCCTTCAGCAACCGTCCAGTGCATCAAGGTTTTCCATGGTGGTCTAGCTTCAATTACCTCATGATTTCAACTATGAAAATACTAAATTCTCCACAAAACCCCCTCTGATCTAGAAACAAAATAGTTATCTTGTAACTTGCTTCCTTTCCTCCTATGTTTGAAATTATTGTAAGTAGTAACGCTAATAATAATAATACATGTTGGATATTGGAATGAGAAAAGTTGTTGAATTTTCTATCTACTTACAGTTGCGCCAACACTGAAGCTGTCGGAATCATTCTCTGACAAAGTCATCATGAAAGCTGGAGAGGCGGCCGTTTTCGAAATACCATTCGTCGCCAGTCCGAAACCGACAGTGACCTGGTCATGGAGGCCAAGAACACGTCCTGATGCGGAGTTGGGATCAGCTCAGACTCCACGATTTAAGGCTGACGTGGTGTCCGGACTGACATCACTTCCAGTGAGTAAGGTGAAGCGTGAGGATGCTGGTGAGTACAGTGTGGTCATCAGTAATGAATTGGGCGAGGTGACTGTGAGTATTGAGTTGATTGTATTGGACAAACCGTCAGTACCTCGTAATTTAATGGCGAGTGAGAACACTGGTGAGAGCGTTTTGTTCAGTTGGACGGAACCAGAATTCCTCGGTCTTCATCCTGATGTAGGAGTTAGTGTTGGCTTGAGTTACGTTGTGGAGATGCGTGAGTCAAATCAACGTGCGAGTAGGTCGGTGACAGTGACGAGTGAATTGAATACTGTTATAGACAAACTGCAAGTGAACAAGTCGTATGTGTTTAGTGTTGCAGCTAAAAATGATGTCGGTCAGTCGGAATTCGCTGAAACGAGTCCAGTTTCGACGAAGTTGGAATATGGTAAGTTTGTGTTTGAATTGTATAGTTTTGTTTATGATTGGATTTTCAAGTCTATTGACCTTATCGGCAAAGCATTTTGTTACTCGATAGATTTCAGCAAAAGTATTTGGATAAGGCTTTGAAACAGACGATGCTTGAATTTACCTCTCAACTGATTTTGAAGTATTTTCAACCGGATATCAAGAAAATGAAATTCCTCATTCACCTCTGCTTTTCATGTGAACTGAATTGAGTAGTGACAATTATTGAATCGATCCCAAATGTCATTGAGGTGAATCGATTTCCGGTTGAGAAGAATGTCAGATGGTTCCTCGTCCTCTGTTTCATGATTTGTTTAAGCGTTAGTGAATCCCCAATAGAAATGGCATTGAATCACTACTTATTCGTTCAACTGAACACAAAATGAGTAGTTGGTTCGACCAAGATCTTACGTATTATCGATCGTGCTTTGACTGCATTGTTACTGATATGTGTATAACATTGTCACTGACTATCTAACATTGTGGGTTATATTTTGAATATGATTTGAATGCTTTCTGAAAACACTAGGTCCACCACCGAGTCCAGTCAATGTGAAGGCAGTGGTCAATCCAGAGAAGGCGTCTATCAAAGATCAAACGATAGAATTGACGTGGGAACAACCAACCGACCAAGTGTCTGCCAGTGGACCGGTCACAAACTTCTACATCGAATTGAAGCCTGAAGACTCAACTCGATGGCAGGACGTGAGTGCCGACTTCACAATCACTGAACCACACTTCACACTTCCTACTGATAAATTGCAAGAGTTTGTGAGTTATGAGTTCCGTGTAACAGCAGAGAATAAAGCTGGCAAGAGTAAACCTTCTTCACCATCGAACGCTGTTCAACTAGGTAAATGATAACACTTGTTTTGGTTGTGTGTGCGTGTGTGTGTGTGAGTGGGTGGGTGGGTTTGTGTGCAATTATCTATATGCATCGACTTGCAAGTGATTTCGCTTAAATCAATCTACTCGCCAAGATCAATGTATCCGACTGAGATGTGATTGAGTCGGAGAGTATGATGGACTAATTAGCACGTATCCTGATCATGTCCTCAAGAGTAACTAGTTCCAGTGTGATCATTTCTCATGTTGCCTATTAGACTGACCTGTCGGAATGATCGGATCGGTCAGTGATAATGTATGATTGATTTTGCATAGACTGAAGCAGTACTTGCAGCTGTCTGTTCACTTAAGGAATTTCGTTGTAGGAACTAACTACTGAACGTTCTAGGGTACTTGTTTTTCCTAAGTTTCTTTCTTTTAAGTAATTTCTATTTAATCTATTTAGTCGTCATGATGAATTGTGACATCTACTGTTTCACTTATTTTTGTCACTTAATCTTCTAGTGTCTATTTAGTGGAAAATTTTTAAAGAATCAGTTGAAATAATAATTCTCAAAGAAACTCTCTTCCGTCCGCTTCTCTCCATGCTAGTTTTTTAATGTTGGCTCTTTCTTCAAACGTTTAAAATAACGGTAGCATTGTATTTTAAACCATGAAATGTTTCAGTGTATACTTTTGATCTTGGAGTCTTTCCTACTTTTCTTTGATTTGTCATTATGTTCTGATGTTTATTTCGAGTTGTTTTGAGATCACAGTTATTTATTAAGTATGACATTTATGATTAGCTTTTCTGCTTCTATTAAATTATGAGGACTGACAAATACGTTTACTTCTACGATTTATTTCAACTTTCCTGATGTGGGCATTTTCAACTAGTATAGTTTAGGGAGATCATTTTTTGCTACAGACCAGGTATAGCGATAATGGTCATGAAAACGAAAGGATATGAGAAATATGTTGTCCAGCCGTTTGTCTCCGCGTCTTTGTATGTTAAAATATACGTGTTACCACAAATATAACTTTAGAAATAAAGATTATCCGATAACGATAAATGTATGGGCTACCAAAATTCATGTGTTCTCCAGATCACTTACAGTACATGTCACAGGATAACATCTAAGAGTCGAATGTTAAATTCGGAACCCCAAATAGTGTTTCATCAAGTTTCATTTCGAGGCACAATATGTTACTCATTATTGATTAAAAATGAAAAAATAAACACAAATCAGAGATATTCTATACATCATGATTTCTCTCAATTTGCAGGCATTCCACTCGAATTTGTACGACCACTTACTGACTTGACTGTTGACAAAGTAACCAATGAACCAGTCATCCTTGAGTGTGAACTATCTCGCACTCCTCGTGATAAAGTACAATGGTTGAAAGATGGGAAACCTATTGGTCGTCTACCTGATCGTATGACAATTGAAGAATTGGAGAATGGAAAAATCCATCGTGTGAAGTTCACTTCATTAATGGATGATGATTTGGGTGTATATAGTTTACGTGTTGAGAAGTTATCTAGTGAATGTCGACTAGATATGAAAGGTATGTCCATAAATTTGGTGTGCGATTTTTTTATTGTGTCGGAAATTGTTTTATATTGTGAGTTACATATCAGTGCTCAGAGTAAGGAACGACATTTTTGATCAAATAATTTACCAATCAAATTCAAGTCATGTATACTATAAATCCTACTATTATTGTACATAGTTACTACTATTATTGCACCAGTATTGATCATTGCTTTTGCCTAAAGATCATTTGTCTACACAGCACTATTACTGGGGACCAATCTACCAGTCAGGTCGCCTAGTTCTTTTCTGGATTTCAGCTACTACAACTTCCTAGATGTATAGTTCATATCTATTTTTATATTACGACAAGTGTCACATAGTAATTTAATTTGATGACATGATACTGGAACGGAATTTATTCAGTGCCAGACTTCTTTCGGATGATAATCGCCAAGGAGTCCAGTAACCGTGATGTTCTTTATTGTTTCTCTTATGGTCTGACCTTCCTTAATTAACGATTCAAAATAAAGAAGCACTGGACAGCTGCTTCGCCTGGTAGAGCTCAACTATGTTGGTGTTGAGGCAGTTATCCATTAATCTCAAAGGAATATAGCTTCGCGGACTGTTCAAAAATGGGTATGTAAACTTAAATGCTAGGTCCCTTACCTCAGAAAACTGAAGATCATAAATTCCATCGTCAATGAGATCGTGGTGTTTCTTCCATGAAGAGTTTCATACTAGGCGGAATAACTGTACCGTGCATCCTGGTTTTCAATGGTTGTCTGCAACTAAATTCAATAATCTTTATAAACCTATCATACCAATATTGATGTTGTTTAGAAAACAGTATATTCTTATAACTGTGGATTATAATAAACAGCGTCTTACTTCAAGGAGTTGAAATGCAATTAATTAATAGATGGAAAACCTCTTTTAAAAAATACATGGTGCATAGTTTATTCAAACATATCCATTTTATGAATCATAACTTTGTAACTCCAAAACGTTGGGATCCAGAATTGATAAATCTGCATTTTGTAAACTAACAGATAGACATTTGAATGTCCAAAATATTTTTTGACAACTAGTATTTGAGTACTAATATGCTTAATATATATTTACAGTACCCCCAACATTGAGATTATCCGATTCGTTCTCCGATCGAGTGATCATCAAGGCTGGAGGTGCTATGGTGTTCGAAATACCATTCACTGCCAGCCCTAAACCAAAAGTCGAATGGACATGGAGACAACGAAGTCGACCAGATGGTGAATTGGGACCGGTACAGAGTCCACGATTCAAGCCTGACGTGGTATCCGGATTGACTTCATTGCCTGTGAGTAAGGTGAAGCGTGAGGATGCCGGAGACTACACAGTGGTGATCAGTAACGAGTTGGGTGAAGTGTCTGTGACTATTCAGATGATTGTAATTGACAAGCCATCTGTACCTCGTGATTTGGAGGTGATTGAGAACAGTGGTGAGAGTGTGTTGTTGAGTTGGAAGGAGCCGGAATTCGTTGGTTTGTCGTCGACGACGACGACGGATGTGAGTGTGAGTGGTGTTGGTGGATTGTTGGAGTATGTGGTTGAGATGCGTGAGTCTAGTCAACGTGCTGGTCGTGGAGTGAGTAAGACGAGTGAATTGAGTATGAGGATTGACGGTCTTCAGATCAACAAGTCGTATGTGTTTAGTGTTGCAGCGAAGAATGATGTTGGTCAATCAGAGTTTGCAGAAACGAAACCAGTTTCAACTAAATTAGATTATAGTAAGTATTTTTCTATTCAAATTTGTATTGTTTCCCCTTAGTTACATCAGACTGAACATTCTAGATCTTTTACTTATCAATATTATGACTACAACAGCTTATGAGTCGGGCCACTAAAAATAGAATATTTCTTAATAAATGGTCCATGCTACATGAAATTGTGTTAATCGAATACATTCTCAGTAGTCCTCATAAGGATAACTGGAAACCATCGATTTTTGGAACAAATAAACTTTTTTAAACTAGTCTGTCAAATATTTTAACCTTCAATCACTTCATAACTTAAGTTCTCTAATATCTAATAGCTTATTTGATCACTTTCTTTGAGCCTACCTACGTTCATCTCGTTATTTTCTATAAACTTAGTGTATCTGGAAATAACACTGATTTGATGCTCTACTTCGAGAAATATCTGCGTTCGCAAAAATTCAAGTGCTTTCTGATCGTAATAAGAATATTCCAACAGATCACAACTTCTAATCAACAAACCCATTACTAACAACAAGCTCATACAGAGTTCCACAAAGTCTTTTTAGAAACACATATATGGTATGAATTCAGCTACGCAACTAACAACAATAACACTAGATCATCTACCGTACGTGCCAAGAATTTTTTCTCCATTCAAACTTTACCCATTTCCATACCACTTATCAGAAAATTATAAAGAATAGCTTCATGAGTTTTCCAATTTCCTCTCCATACCTCTTCTTGACATTGTGAATTTGTGACTCCTAGTTCCCTTACTTCAGAATAAGTTGAGTGGATCCCAATACATGTTTGACTTTCCGGTAGACCTCTTTGATTAATAATCTTCAAAAGTGTTGAGAAACTGCCCAAAGAACATAGGATAATAGAATAAACACAGGAAACCAAAAAATTGATTAACTCTGATCATTTTTCCATTGAATGCTGATGAGTCAAAGTTATTCACTAAATATTTTCAATGACTGAAATAAAACATATGTGTAATATAGTTGAAAGAGTGAGTCAAATGAAGCTACACCACCATGGAAAACCAGGAAGCACTGGATGGCCGTTTCGTCCTATAATGGGACTCCTCAGCAGTGCGAATCCACGATCCCGCACCCACGAGACCCGAACCCAGGACCTACCAGCTTCGCGCGGGAATAGAGTTATGTTTCACTTTTCTGATGACAAACATAAAATTGTGATCTATGCACAGAACAATTTTCAAAAAGCATATATATCTATAAATACTTTAGGAAACATTATTATTGATTTGCAGCCATTAGCTTGAATTTAAGCTCACAAAACATTAATAGTTACTAAAAATCATCTTTAAAAATATCAGGTCCACCACCGAGTCCAGTCAATGTGAAGGCAGTGGTCAATCCAGAGAAGGCGTCTATCAAAGATCAAACGATAGAATTGACGTGGGAACAACCAACCGACCAAGTGTCTGCCAGTGGACCGGTCACAAACTTCTACATCGAATTGAAGCCTGAAGACTCAACTCGATGGCAGGACGTGAGTGCCGACTTCACAATCACTGAACCACACTTCACACTTCCTACTGATAAATTGCAAGAGTTTGTGAGTTATGAGTTCCGTGTAACAGCAGAGAATAAAGCTGGCAAGAGTAAACCTTCTTCACCATCAAATGCAATACGATTGGGTGAGTTCTACGTTTGAGTTTTTTGAGTTCTCTTATTTAGCGTTTTTGTCTCTACCATATAATTGACTTTCTGAAACATTATAAACGTCCTATGAATGAATTTTTAAGACAATTAATAAGCTAATTTTATGATCAATTAGTGAATAAATAACCAACTTTATGTTTGTCCAGTCATTTCGTGATGATCAATTTCTATCGTTTGAGTTGAATGATGGACACTAGTCTTTCAAACTCAACATTGGATACATTATTTCTAAATTTTAGGATATCAGCGATAGTAAGTGAAAAACTCTGGATGTAAATTTTGATAGAATTCAATCAACCCTAAGGTCTAGACATATATCACACTGGTTGCTATTCAGTGATCAATCAACTTAAGTACATCTGAGCTACATGATGTCAGTTTGTTCCTTAATAGCTAAATGATAATAATTCGAAATTTGACTTTGAGTGACGCTGGAGAGAATCCCACAGGGATCATTACGTCCTTTATCGTTACGGTTTTCCTTTACTGACAAGTACCAACTACCACAAAGCTTGCGCCAGATTAAGTTTCTTGTCAACTACCTTAAAACACCTATAATCTTGGTTAACGTATCAGTAATATTTCAGGTCCACATTGGAAGGTAATTTATCGGCAACTGTCTGATCACCCATAAAATAAATTCACTAGTTATCACTTAACTTATCATTTATCATGAAGTTACAACGAATCTTGATTATCAAAATGATCTGTCATTCAACTAGATGTAATAAAAAATAACAATAATGATGATCAGCTGTCTTAGATGATTAGAAATCTTTTTGCTACTGCATTTGTGATTAGTGTTTTTTTTCATTATAAGCAGAGATGTATGATGGCTAGGACTGAAGTCCATGACGCGCGCTTCACCCTACTCAGAGCCCTTAAGCCGGATATCTTCCTGTTCATTCCGGGACTAGAACCCAGTATCTTCTGCTTCAACCGCCATCACGTTATCCACTTAGCTACTGATTCCGACTAGCTACTAGCTTGTGTAATGGGTTAAGTTTAAATTCACTCGGTATTGTTTACTCGAATCATCCTATTGATGTTTAGTAGTACAATTGATCAGATTAGCATATGTGCATTCTGTTAGGAGTGCCTCGATATTACCTTCAGTTACATACACCAATAAGAGAATGATCAATGGCAATCCTGAACATCAATGGGAAGATTCAAACATTCACTAAAAAAATAAGATTATTTATGCGGAATGATTCATTAAAAAGTAAGTGTTCTTATTTAATAGTAATATAAAATGAAACAACACAAACCACAGATATCCTATACATCTTGATTTCTCTCAATTTGCAGGCATTCCACTCGAATTTGTACGACCACTTACTGACTTGACTGTTGACAAAGTAACCAATGAACCAGTCATCCTTGAGTGTGAACTATCTCGCACTCCTCGTGATAAAGTACAATGGTTGAAAGATGGGAAACCTATTGGTCGTCTACCTGATCGTATGACAATTGAAGAATTGGAGAATGGAAAAATCCATCGTGTGAAGTTCACTTCATTAATGGATGATGATTTGGGTGTATATAGTTTACGTGTTGAGAAGTTATCTAGTGAATGTCGACTAGATATGAAAGGTATATACCATGACTCTTAAAAAATTTAAATCAAGTTTATATTTTTATATGGTTCTATGCATTTTTTTTTCTATTTTGTTTAATTGGCGTTATACTTTAACTGTATAATTGATAGAAGCATCGTATGTTCAGTCAGCTCTATAATAACGTTCATATGATTCTTGAAATAACGATCAACTTTGTCCATGAACCAGTAGAATTTCTTTACTTATGTGTAAACCTAGAGGTTGCAATGAATGTAGATAAGGTTATCATTTGATTAGTGTATACGAAGATGTAATCATAGTAATTGTAATATCCTTTTTAATAATGATACTCTTATTTATTTATTTATTTATTCCTTTACTTACTTACTTACTTACTTACTTACTTACTCACTTACTTACTTACTTACTTACTTACTTACTTACTTACTTACTTACTTACTTACTTACTTACTTACTTACTTACTTATATACCTACTTGCTTACTTACATACTTACTTACTTACTTACTTACTTACTTACTAACTTACTTACTCACTTACTTACTTACTCACTTACTTACGTCTGTTACTCCTAATGAAGCATAGGCCGCCGACCAGCATTTTCCAACCCACTCTGTCCTGGGCCTTCCTTTTCTTTTTAATAATGATACTTTATTCTTCTATAATGCAACAAATGGATATATATTTATCATGTATTCGAGGTTGTCGATTACATGGTACGAACTACATAGACTCTGTATATTTCCCTGACTTAATATATAAACTATATTTTACTTTCGGTTATGGTCCTTCATATCTTTGTCATCTCTTTAGAAAATCATATTCTAGATTGATGCGTTATGACAATAATGTGTAGTTTTAAGATGACTAATCATATTTGTCATACTATTTCCATTCACTACAAAACGATTCACTAACACGATGCACTTACAACAAACTGACTAAGAGGTACATCCAATGGTAAAAATCCGATTACCCACAAATTATCCAGAACCACAATATTTGATTCGGAATTCTACCAATTGTGTCAGTTTGTATGGGCGTAGAAGTGAAAACTGTTCCACCAATGTTGTTGGTATGGACGGCTAATGACTCTATACAAATACAATTACAATATTAAAGGCTTTCTTCCCATAAAAACACTATTTATCATAACGATAATGATAAATGAAATCCATGAACTACCTCAAAGTATTTTCTCAATTCATTTCATGATATTTCATTTTCCATGGATAATGACCGAATGAAAATAAACAGCATAGTAACATTAAGTGAGTGAATATTAAAAGTGATGAACATAGAAAAATGGTAAATAAACGAAACTGCATTTTCGTTAACATAATTTCTTTAAATAAACATATACTTTTATAAATTTACAGTTCCACCAACATTGAGATTATCCGATTCGTTCTCCGATCGAGTGATCATCAAGGCTGGAGGTGCTATGGTGTTCGAAATACCATTCACTGCCAGCCCTAAACCAAAAGTCGAATGGACATGGAGACAACGAAGTCGACCAGATGGTGAATTGGGACCGGTACAGAGTCCACGATTCAAGCCTGACGTGGTATCCGGATTGACTTCATTGCCTGTGAGTAAGGTGAAGCGTGAGGATGCCGGAGACTACACAGTGGTGATCAGTAACGAGTTGGGTGAAGTGTCTGTGACTATTCAGATGATTGTAATTGACAAGCCATCTGTACCTCGTGATTTGGAGGTGATTGAGAACAGTGGTGAGAGTGTGTTGTTGAGTTGGAAGGAGCCGGAATTCGTTGGTTTGTCGTCGACGACGACGACGGATGTGAGTGTGAGTGGTGTTGGTGGATTGTTGGAGTATGTGGTTGAGATGCGTGAGTCTAGTCAACGTGCTGGTCGTGGAGTGAGTAAGACGAGTGAATTGAGTATGAGGATTGACGGTCTTCAGATCAACAAGTCGTATGTGTTTAGTGTTGCAGCGAAGAATGATGTTGGTCAATCAGAGTTTGCAGAAACGAAACCAGTTTCAACTAAATTAGATTATGGTGAGTTGGTATATGTATATCATGTCAGTTGGAAGTTTACTCTCAATAACATCTTTTCAATCTAGCTTCAACTAACTAATGAACTCAACTATTAAATAATTGTATCTGCAAATATCTCTTTCTGAGAATTATGCATATATGCTGCTTTCTTCCTATTTAGGCATCCATATTGTGTACTTTTAAGTAGATTTCTCGACTTTATTCTTGAATATATATATATTTGAAGAAACTTCCTTATCGTAATTTCATATACACAGATTTCTTAAAGAACAAAGAGCATCAAAATGAACGATCGTTTCCAATTACTTCTTCATCTAGTTCTGTGGTTATAAATCTAAGATTATTACCTTCAAACAATAGACACTGAAGATACGACTGGTATCCTAATTTTACAACTAGCTACCAGTAACACCTTCTATATTCGAAACGTTTCCCAGCCAATCGAAATCAGAAGTCAGATGCGAAGAGGTAGGAAAGATATATTTGATGCGTTATCAATATATCGAGAAGCGTTTACTCTAAGCTGGCTATTGAATATAGGAACTGTGTCCCAAGCTGGGTTGAAACGTGATCCGGCACGGATGCATGACCGAAAGCCTTCAGTTAAACAAGTAGACTTGAAACAATGTGGTCAGCATCCAATGTCGAACACTTAGAAAGCTATTGATTTTGGGGAATTATTTACAGCTACAACAGTCTTAAAATTGAATTAATCTTTAATATGAATGGATGATGACAAGTCAGTCAGTCACAACGTAGAACTTCGTATGTACGCACATCTGTTCGAGTTGCCATATCACATTAGCACAGAAATGCAGTTTTCGATTCAAATCCCATAGTGGTAGAGGTAGTGAGAATATAAGCAGTAATTCGAAAGATTTAGGTTTGAAGATGTCATCCAAGGAGTATAACCCAGTAAATTAAATTTGGCGTGAGAAAAAATAGGGACATGAAGAATTTAGAAGATTAGAATTTGGTAGAACACAAAGAGTGGATGTACCTTTGACATTGCAAACGATTTTGAGCCATGTCATTCAAGGTCTCTAACCATCGATTGCTATCATCTCACGGATCCCAAGCAGGTGACAAACTTCATGTACTATAAATTACTAACAAGTTAAAGTGAAGTCATCAATGTGAAGTTCTACGTTGTGACTGACTGAATGACTTGTCATCTTCCATTCATACTAAAGATTAATTCAATTTTAAAATTTTGTCTATTGTAATACGAGTAATAATTTTAGATTTATAACCACAGAACTAGATGAAGAAGTAATTGGAAACGATCGTTCACTTTGATAACCTCTTTATTTAAGTATTTCTATTATTACAAATTCTTTGCACTATAGATCAAAGTCACCATAAGATTGCCCACTTACGTTACATTTTCTTGTGAGACCGTTGTGCCAATTAATTGAACTATGCATTAATCTGATTGGTGGATAATTAATACAAGGAGTGAAATAATATCCGTAATCCTAATGTTATTTGTATTGAAAAATAAATAGTATTGTGTAATAAGGAGACGAAGATTATCAGAACTATGTGATGATATATTAGCGCAATACATTTCAAACAATCTGATCACACACATACAGCGAAGGTTATTATCTAAGAGAGAACGATGTTCATGCTTCATTCAAAACCTAATAGAGATGAAAACGATTGTATCACATCCCACTGCGTTTACTAATTTAAATGTGTGTGTCGTCCCACATACATAGTGAGGAGCAATCGTGATCTGAAAATTAGGGTGTGAACATGTACCAAAATGGTTGCAGAAACAAATAGAATCAAATGACCCGATAAGAGTAGACGATAAACATCCATCATCCTCCATTGCCAAACATGTAATCGAAACAGGCCATACGATTGACCTTGACTCGGCTTTTGTGGTGTTGTATAAAAAGTGTAAAAGGGCGTATACTAGGGTTTATTGAAGCCTTAGCCATCCGAAAATTCAACTCCCCTTTGACTAATTCAAAAACAGTTTGTTCTCACCTTAGACCTACCCTGATAATATTAGCTTATTATCCAAAGTGATTAGGTGTCAAATTGTTTTCACATTATTTTATCACTATTATCCTTGTCTATTCTTATCCCCCCCATTTCCAGTCTAGTTGACCTTTTATTTTTATATATAAATGTGTGATCAGATTGTTCGAAATGTATTGCGCTAATACCTCATCGCATAGTTCTGATAATCTTCGTCTTCTTATTGCACTATCGAAATTTATCAAATGGACTAATTGCTTTAAATAATATTGTATTTGCGGTTAATGTCAATTGCTTTCATCTGACAATAGTAAGATGGAAAGCAATCGGTAATAACTGACCGACAATCTTATCATTTTCCATCCTCTTAATGAATAAGATTTCAATTTTTTACTGAAATAACGGATTCATAGATGTGTCTAGATATGCTGACGTTTTTTTTAAGAGATCAATATTACAATCTCCAAAATGTAGCATTTTCGAAGAATCATTGGTCTAAGTGCATGAACTGTTGAAGTTCTTCTTTGTTTCGTTATACAATAACAGTTTATTGGTTCAATTATGCTTGTAGACATATCATTCAAATTAAGATGTAGAGTGACGTAGTATTATTGTCATTATTATAATGTCAGTTAGTCAATCATGTAGAATATTATGATTACTGACAGAGATTCATGGAAGAAATTCATGTTTGAAGCCTACTGTCATCTGGAAATTATGCTCTAACTTTCTAAGATTCAGTGTATAAACGATTAAAACGTATAGACAAAGATGGATTGTGGCTAGCAGTGGGATACGGGACGCGCGTTTCATCCTATTTGAAACTTGTTAGTTGGATGAACCTGCAATTCAAAGTTGATGTTCACTCTGGAATTCAAACTCAATACCATTCACTTCAAACGCCATAGTTCTTATTAGAACTTATTAGAACTTACCTACTGAGTCCTAAGAAATATACTCGAATTAGCTTAGAGATCAAACAGTGAAAGAAGATAGTATATTCAATCTAATTATATTTTTAAGCAACATTATGCATTTGTATTGAAGATTGTAGTTATTTAATCTATTGTAAAACCCATCATAGTAGATAAGTTTACGTTATTGTGAACGAGAACACGGGTAGGGACAACCGGTTGAATTCAAATAAAAAGAATAAAGAATCTCCTGGTAAAATATGAGAACCATAAACTGAATACTTCATTTGCCAATTTCCTTCACATTCTGTATGATTCTTCCAGTTCAAAATTCCTTTTATATTTTTTCATTCTATTCTCTTCAACTCGATCTTCTTAGCCTTTCGCTGCAAGGTTTTCCACTTCCTATTGGTATAACATAATGCTTATGTCTATCGACATAAGTAGCATATACCATAACGTCATACGAGATTTTAAGTTTGTGTTTTGATATCTATAATCATGGTCAACTTCAAATTCTCACGGTAAATGAAAACCGTTATCAACTGTGCTTTAAAACAAATTTAGGAGGTTAAACAGATGATATGTAATGAAGTTAATCGGCAGCATGTAACCGAACAAAAGTCACAATATTCTCTTCATATCTATAGATCATAACATGATATAAATTGTAATTATTACACATATAATTAAGCAATAGAAAACCTTTATTGACATATGATTACTACCTGCATTAACCTTATTAGCTTTTGGACGTTGATCATAAAGTACTCATTTGCGGATACAGCAAAATAATTGATGTGAGTTTGACTTCAGCCTATTTATTGATGCTGTTTTTGCAGTTCAGTGAACTGAATTCTTGGTTGTCTGTAGTTCTATGTATAAAAGAAACAATTGTTGTAACAACATATTCTTATTGTCGGAATGGTAACCTACAAACATTTCATCATTCAAACAATTAAATGAAATCAAATATATGTTGCAAAATTTTAATGCAGAAAATAAAAGCTAATTGATGTCTCTCTATCTAGGACCACCTCAGAGTCCAGTCAATGTGAAGGCAGTGGTCAATCCAGAGAAGGCGTCTATCAAAGATCAAACGATAGAATTGACGTGGGAACAACCAACCGACCAAGTGTCTGCCAGTGGACCGGTCACAAACTTCTACATCGAATTGAAGCCTGAAGACTCAACTCGATGGCAGGACGTGAGTGCCGACTTCACAATCACTGAACCACACTTCACACTTCCTACTGATAAATTGCAAGAGTTTGTGAGTTATGAGTTCCGTGTAACAGCAGAGAATAAAGCTGGCAAGAGTAAACCTTCTTCACCATCGAACGCTGTTCAACTAGGTAAATGATAACACTTGTTTTGGTTGTGTGTGCGTGTGTGTGTGTGAGTGGGTGGGTGGGTTTGTGTGCAATTATCTATATGCATCGACTTGCAAGTGATTTCGCTTAAATCAATCTACTCGCCAAGATCAATGTATCCGACTGAGATGTGATTGAGTCGGAGAGTATGATGGACTAATTAGCACGTATCCTGATCATGTCCTCAAGAGTAACTAGTTCCAGTGTGATCATTTCTCATGTTGCCTATTAGACTGACCTGTCGGAATGATCGGATCGGTCAGTGATAATGTATGATTGGTTTTGCATAGACTGAAGCTGTACTTGCAGCTGTCTGTTCACTTGAGGAATTTCGTTGTAGGAACTAACTACTGAACGTTCTAGGTTACTTGTTTTTCTCAACTGACTGACTACCAACGAAAGGTGAAATGTAGTTCATCTGGCAAATATATCAGTGGTCTTTATGACGAACGAGAGAATTGGTCGTTTGAGGTGGTACTGATCTTTCTCATTTTCAATTGTACACCAATATCATCAAACTCAAATAATGTGTGTTTTTAAACCATTACATTTATTGACTAAAATTAAATTTTCATTTCGGGGTTGTATAGATCGTCGAATTTCATTGAGGTCGTGAATCCATCAATGTTAGACTTTCATTAAAAACGTGGAAATACTAGACTTTTTTTCGTCCTAGCATGGAACTCGTCAGCATTTCACATCCACGATCTCGCGCGCAAACGCTTCGCTTCTAAACCACGGGATCGGTATCCTACGGTATTATATTATAAATTCGACCAATCTATGTTGTCGCACAACCATCTTGCACAGTCTTGGGTGGGTAACTTACTCGCTCTACGCAGTTGAGCAGTATACTATGATGAAATGGCAGTTCAGTACTTCCAGGTTCACACTGCCTGTTTAACATTCATCGGATCATGATTTCAATGAGAAATTACATTCTCTACAATGATCCTATATTTTGGTTTTCATTATTGAGCTCTAAGTCACTTCAACTCTTGGTAAAATAGAGTGAACTCGTCTGTCAACTAACTACATGAAAAGGGAAAAAGTCCGAGTTCTTTTTTTGCATATCTAAGTGTATTCGGTTAATTGTTGCGTTTTCTTTTTACTAGACTAATTGTTGAGACATATGAAAACGTATGTTCTCTACAGTATACAATCACAATTCTACCTTATGATGGCTCCTAGCTATAGTTGTATGGATGACTCGTTGAAAAAGTTCATTTGCAAAATGATTATCTTTTCATGACCATCCAGCAATGAGCACCGATGTGAAAAGATAATACTAGGTTATAAAATCTTCCCATTGTGATGTTTTAATCAACACATCATTGAGAACTTCAGGATGTCTATATCTACATGTGAGCTTTAAAAGCGGACGATAACCGTTTTCAGACGTCATTATAACCACGAATGTACTTTATAGTGATTCAGATGAACATATATGAATGACTATGAATGCTACTTTGAAACAAATGTTACTCAGCATAGAAATCTTAGTGGTTGTTCTCAACAGTATGATAACCAAGCAAGTAAAATTACTCATAATGAACCGATTAGATGGTTTGCATTCCGTTTTAAAGTATATTCCTTTAAGTGGTGATCATATTCTTATTCAAATAGAGCTACAACTTTCAGTGAATCTTACTGTTATTATTAAAATTGCTTTATCACCATTAAGAACACTGTGTAAATCACTGAAAGAATTTATCCTTTCTTTTTTAAAGGTATTCCACTACAATTTGTTCGTCCGTTGATTGATGTTACTATCAATGAAGTTAACGAAAAACCAGTTCTATTAGAATGTGAATTATCACGTTCACCACGTGATAAGGTACAATGGTTAAAAGACGGTAAAACTCTAAGTCGTTTACCAAACCATGTATCAATTGAAGAATCAAGTGACAATAAAATTCACTCAATTAAGTTTCGTTCATTAACTGAGGACGATTTGGGCATCTATACGATAAAAGTAGAAAAGTTGTCAAGTGAGGCGAAATTGTCAATGAAAGGTATGTTTATTACATCATTATATGTATAAATATATATCACTCAAGCAACATTCAAGAAAAATCTGTTCTTTTTTGGATACACATCAATATGCTTTTCTTGTTATTTCAGTTCCACCAACATTGAGATTATCCGATTCGTTCTCCGATCGAGTGATCATCAAGGCTGGAGGTGCTATGGTGTTCGAAATACCATTCACTGCCAGCCCTAAACCAAAAGTCGAATGGACATGGAGACAACGAAGTCGACCAGATGGTGAATTGGGACCGGTACAGAGTCCACGATTCAAGCCTGACGTGGTATCCGGATTGACTTCATTGCCTGTGAGTAAGGTGAAGCGTGAGGATGCCGGAGACTACACAGTGGTGATCAGTAACGAGTTGGGTGAAGTGTCTGTGACTATTCAGATGATTGTAATTGACAAGCCATCTGTACCTCGTGATTTGGAGGTGATTGAGAACAGTGGTGAGAGTGTGTTGTTGAGTTGGAAGGAGCCGGAATTCGTTGGTTTGTCGTCGACGACGACGACGGATGTGAGTGTGAGTGGTGTTGGTGGATTGTTGGAGTATGTGGTTGAGATGCGTGAGTCTAGTCAACGTGCTGGTCGTGGAGTGAGTAAGACGAGTGAATTGAGTATGAGGATTGATGGTCTTCAGATCAACAAGTCGTATGTGTTTAGTGTTGCAGCGAAGAATGATGTTGGTCAATCAGAGTTTGCAGAAACGAAACCAGTTTCAACTAAATTAGATTATGGTGAGTTATTATATGTTTACTCTGTTTACTAAGATTCGAACATTTTTTCGGGTAATTTACTTAACAGTATTTACATTTAGCTTAATAATGATAGATGTATTTTAGATATCAGTGTATGTCATCTTTACCTTTTTATTCACCATTTAACTTCTATCTTTTATGTCATTCATGGTAGGTGAAAGAGGATAGTTTTATGTTGTAGTAAGTAGTATTTTACATACAATTTTTAAATTTGTAACTTTCTTTAGGACCTCCAACTCCTCCATTGAATGTTACTGCATCTGTATCTCCATCATGTGCTGAACCAGAAGATCAAATAATAACCGTAAATTGGTTCGAATCTGAGACAGCAACAAGAACAACAACATCCACTGGATCAGCTCCACTTTATTACACTGTAGAGTATAGAATAGATGAAGGACGTGTTTGGAATAAATTAATCTGTGGTAAAGAAATTACTGATACGAAATTAGACTTTCCTCCAATTAAAGAAAACATGACTGCTGGTAAATCATATGACTTTCGAGTTATAGCTGTTAATAAAGCTGGTACAAGTGAACCATCAAAACCATCGAATTCAATTCAACTAGGTTAGTTTCTGTTCTTCTTTTATTAATGATTACTAGTTGATATACCTTTGCCTATTACTTATTGATATGTTAGATTAACATATGGTCATAGAATAGCCGCTACGTTTTATATCTGATCTATTTATTTTCAACATTACATATAATTTTACTTACTTACTTACTAACTAACTAACTAACTAACTAACTAACTAACTTACTTACTTACTTACTTACTTACTTACTTACTTACTTACTTACTTACTTACTTACTTACTTACTTACTTACTTACTTACTTACTTACTTACTTACTTACTTACTTACTTACTTACTTACTTACGCCTGTTACTCCCAATGGAGCATAGGACGCCGACAAGCATTCTCCGACCCACTATGTCCTGGACAATCCTTTCCAGTTCTTTCCAGTTTACATTCATCTTTTCCATATCTGCTTCTATTTCCCGGTGTAATGTGTTCTTTGACCTTCCTGTTTTCCGCTTCCTTTCCGGATTCCAAGTTAGGGATTGCCTTGTAATGTATATTGGTGATTTCCATAATATATGTCCAATCCACTTTCAACATCTTTTCCTAATTTCCTCTTCCATTGGAAACTGGTTTGTCCTCTCCTGGTAAATCAAAATACATTAAATATAGATTTATTCGAGATTAGTTTTACAAAATTTGGTCAAGTTACTCGACTAATGTTTAAAACATGTGATTATACTCATACATAAGCATAGTTGGCTGGTGGCTAGCAATGAGATCCAGGACACGCACTTCGTCCTACTTAAGACTCGTCAACTGAACGTACCTGCATCCCACAGTTGATAATCACTCTGGAACTCGAACCCAGCATCTTTCGCTTCAACCGCCATCACGTTATCCACTTCGCTACTGAGTCCGATAAGCTACTAGCTTGTGTAATCGGGTGAAGTTTAAATTCACTTAGTATTGTTTACTTGAATCTTCCTATTGATGTTTAGGAGTGCAATTAATTAGTCTGTTATTGGCATATGTGCATTCTATGCGGAGTGCCTCGATACTGACTTAATTCACAAGCATTATAAGCATATTTGAGATGCAAGTACATCCAACTGACGAATCCCTAATAGGACGAAACACACATCAAACTGGATTCCACTGCTAGCCACTATCCATCTTTGCTTATAAAACTTTTAAATTAATTCACTATCAAGGTGATACATACAGCATGCACATAATTGACTGATCAATCGCAGTTTTAAACATCAATGAGAAGATTCAAGTAAACAATATGAAGTGATCAGAAGGGGTTTTTGTGGATATTTCAATATTTTCATAGTTGTAGCGATGAGTCGATTGAAGCTAGACAACCAAGAAAAACCTGGGAGCACTGGACGGCCGTTCCGTCCTATTATGAGACTCCTCAACAGTGCGCATCCACGACCCCGCCTCGCGAGATTCGAACCTAGGACGCAACAGTCTCACGCCAGAACACTTAACTGATAGACCACTGAGCTGGCATCTGATGGTATTAATGTCTAACTTCAACAATAGAACGAAATGGCCGTCCAATGCTTCCAGGTTTTCCTTGGTGATCTAGCTTCAATCGACTCATGCTTTCAACTATGAATATGAAATGAATCTATTCATCTACAGTTAAACATCATATTTTCTATTTACTATCATTATTATTTCATTAATTTACAGGTGTACTGCTTGAATTTATACGTCCATTAGAAGATTTAATTATCACTAATATTGAACCAATTGAATATAAATTAGAATGTGAATTATCGCGTAAACCAAGAACAATGATTGCATGGACAAAAGATAATAAACCATTAATTATAAGATCAGATGATGCACATATGAAATTTATTGATCAAGGCACAATTCAATCCATTCATTTTACTAATTTAATTGATACAGATATTGGTGATTATGCAATACAAGTAGAGAATATTACATCCAAATGTAAATTAGAAATTAAAGGTAAATATGATTATTTTTTTATTTAGTTAAACATATAAATATTGGTACAAGGGGGGGCACCAGATATGTATGTGACACACAAATCTCATTTGGTTTATGTGAGGGCTGTGATACTGCCCAGGTGCTCAAACTGAAGCACATGGTTTCCTTAAGGGGCCACACCCGGAGCCTTCGACCTGAAGGTCTAATCCACAAGGCAATGGAGCATCGTGAGGAGATGTAGTTCCATGGTAACCGGTGACCAAAGATTGATTCATATGCCATTTGTTCCCTTAGCATACTGGAGCCTATGTGCACCAATGGTTTGGAATCAGGGTTTTCCAACTCCCCTAGATGAACCCTCTGTATCCACCGACCCGGTTAAAGCGCTGGACATTCGCTTTTTGTCCTCTTAATTTCGTAAACAACACCCGTGGTGCAAGAAGGCAGTGAGTAGGTCTTCCCTGTCAGGGTCTATATAGGCGTGGCCATGTGAGAGCATTTGGAGAGGGAGAGCGGACTCTCCCCACTATCGGCAGAACCAGGGCATTTGGGGGCTATCTTCAAGTAGGATTGAATTAACAGTTGTTGTGGACTACGACTGGTTAGTGGAAAAAGATAAATAGGCTCACTCTATACTCTGTAATGTAAATCTTCTTACTTTTATCTTATAACCCTAATTTTACTATGGATTGATTGAATTTATAATATTAATCGCATTTATTGAACTGCACATCTGTTTTACAATGAATTCGAATAGTGAAAGCCAAATTATAATACATATGTGTAGTAAATTTAAGTAAAATCTTACTGTGATGAATCTACGTTGCTTTTACACTTGTATTTCATTACAGAACTTTAAGCTTGTTGACTTAGATTTAGCCGCTATCGTAAGCAATCTTATGGTTTAATCTGATATATTACTGGATCTATCGCGAGACTGATAGGCCCTGGGTTCGAATCTCGCTAGGTGGGATCGTGGATACGCACTGCTGAGGAGTCCCACAATAGGATGAAACGGCCGTCCAGTGCTTCCAGATTTTCCATGATGGTCTAGTTTCAATTGACTCATGATCTCATCTATAAAATTACAAAAATCTCTACGAAACCCCCTTGCGATATTTTAAAGTTGTTTTTTTTTTCATTTATTATCATTGTTCAAACCATAAGTGAATGTTGTCAGACAATTGTTTACAATGCATATCGTTTCCTTTTTTTCTTTAATGTTTACAGCTCCACCAACAATTCGAATATCTGATCAATTTGAAGATCATATTACTTTAAAGGCTGGTACTTCGAAAATCTTAGAAATTCCATTTACATCATCACCAAAACCTAAAATTAAATGGACATGGGCACCATGTACTGATTTAACTCAAGAACAAACTCCTAGATTTAAACCAGATATAGTTGCTGGTTTAACTACATTACCATTAAGTCGAGTAAAACGTGAAGATAGTGGAGCATATAAAGTTACAATAACAAATGATCTTGGTGAAATTTCTATAACAATTCATGTTATGGTCATTGATAAACCATCTCCACCAAGAAATCTTACAATAACTGATACTACAGAACAATCAATTATGTTTAATTGGGATATACCAGTTAATGTAAATGAAAATGAATCTTTAGAATATGTTGTTAATTATCGAGATGCAACTAAATATTCAAGTCAACCAATTAATGTTTGTATAACCAGAGAATTGAAAACATTGATAGATGGTCTTAAACTGGGATCTCAATATATATTCTCAGTTTGTGCACGTAATGAAGTTGGTGATTCCGCATTTGCTGATAGTCAGTCTTTCTTAATAAAGTATTCTTTTGGTAAGTTAGTTTTCTTGGGTCTATTGTTGTTATAAGCATTACTTGAGAATGGAGTAGTTTATTTGTTATGTGTTACATATATCCCATATTTATTGTGATTGTTCTCTTTTTTTTTAACATAGACCCACCTGAAGCTCCAGGAATACCTCAGGTTACAATATTAGAAAGTGGTCGCGTTTCACTGGAATGGACACCTCCTACATCAGACGGTGGTTCTCCCATCACAGAATATCTCATTGAAAGCATGGATGAACGTCCAATTGTAAAAGGTCAGCGCCGTACATCGACCTACGGTTCACGAGCACAATGGAATTCACTCACTTCAGGAGTTATATTTGAACCTAATGTCCAACCGAAAGCTACAGTAACTGGTTTATCTCCTGATAAGCAATATACATTCCGTGTATGTGCTGTTAATAAAGCTGGTAAAGGGCCATTTAGTCCATCGTCAGAATCTTGTTTACCCTTAATGAAACGTAAGTTATTTAACAAAATGTTGATTTATTCTTTTATGTTTATTTATTCTCTTATCCAAATTTCTATCAGCAGTCTGAGGTATTTTATAGGTTGTTAGGTTACTTATCAAAGTACTTGTGCAACAGCAGCACAAAATACATATTACTTGGTACTGATTTCTCTGGAGTAAATGACAAAGTATACCGAACATGACAATTTGATTTTAGTAATTTTTATATAGTTGAAATCATGAGTTAATGGAAGATAGACCATCATGGAAAACCTGAAAGCACTGGATGGCCGTTTCATCCTATTGTGAGACTCCTCAGCAGTGCACATCCACGATCCCACCTCGCGAGATTCGAACCCAGGACCTATCCGTCTCGCGAGCGAGCGTTTAACCACTAAACCACTGAGCCGGCCGGCGTCCTCGGAAATTAAGGTGACATGTTTCTTTCTTTAGAAAGTGAAGCCAATCTTGAGTGATAGTATGCGTCTATCAACGTTTCTCACTCATCATTTGGCTTATATCTGATTGGCATAGCAAACCAGTGGATGAAAGCAAAACTTACATCGCTTCAAGTTTTGTTGCAACTTATCCTGTGTTTTATGTTCTTAAATTATTTTTTTACTGATTTAGCTCCTAAAGTTCCTGGAAAACCTGGTCCTATAACCGTCGAACCTTTAAATGAAACAAGCGTTAATTTAACTTGGACACCTGGTACTGTAAATGAAGACTTTGGACCAGCTGATTATTATGTCATTGAAGCTTATGAAGATGATGGTAATGATTGGAAAGAAGTTGGAAAAACAACCAAACCAGATGATTGTAACTTGAATGTGAACAATTTAGACAGTTCAACACGTTATCAGTTTCGTGTTCGCGGAGTGAATAAGGAAGGTGTTGGTGAACCATCAAAACCATCAGAAAGGGTTTGCTTAAAGAAAGGTAATTTTCAATGTAAACATCTATGCTCAAACTTATTTTCTCTTCTGTTTCCTTACTGATGCTTGTATCTAACCCTATTTGCGCACACGGATTTACACTAAAGCAATTAGTCCCTTTGATAAATTTCGATAGTGTAATATGAAGATGAAGATTATCAGAACTATGTGATTGATATATTAGCGCAATACATTTCGAACAATCTGATCACACCTAATATACTTGTTAAGAACATTTATATATAAAAATAGAAGGTCAACTAAATTGAAAATGGGGGGGGGTAAGAATAGATAAGGATAATAATAATAAAAATAATGTGAAAACAACTTGACACCTGATCCCTCTGGATAATAAGCTAATACTACCAGGGTAGGTTAAAGATGATAACAAACTGTTTTTGAATACACAAAGAGGGTTTGAATTTTCGTATAGCTAAGGCTTCAATAAACCCTAGTATACGCCCTTTTACACTTTTATACAACACCACAAAAGCCGAGTTAAGATCAATCGTATGGCCTGTTTCGATTATGTGTTTGGCAATGGAGGATGATGGATGTTTATCGTCTACTCTTATCGGGTCATTTGATTCTATTTGTTTCTGCAACCATTTTGGTACATGTTCACACACCCTAATTTTCAGATCACGATTGCTCCTCACTATGTATGTGGGACGACACACACATTTAAATTAGTAAACGCAGTGGGATGTGATACAATCGTTTTCATGTCTTTTAGGTTTTGAATGAAGCATGGACCTCGTTTGATCTTTGACCTTCACTGCACAATACGTTTATATATAAATGTTCTTAACAAGTATATGTTTAAAATGTATTGCGCTAATATATCGTCACATAGTTCTGACAATCTTCGTCTCTTTATTAGACTATCGAGATTTACACTAAGGCTAAACTATTGTAATGTACCCAGTAAGGTTTGAGATAACGACTTTGAATCTCCAATGTAAAGCTAACAAGTTAGTGCTACTTTGAAAATGGTTTCTTTATATAGTGCTTAGGGCTCTGTAAATGTAATGAGGGTTCATTGTACGACCACTGCGTAGAAATAGCATTGTACACATGAAATCAATCTATACTTTTATTTATTTTGGATGGATGGTAACGTAACTTCATTAGTTCTAATGAGAATTGATAGCATTTTTAGAAGGACTGAAGACATTATCATGGCGATGATTCATATAACATTTAGGGATTAATCTTATCAATTTATAGACTAATTTAATCTTAGAGTTATGATCATTTGCCAACTCTATTCAATCACATCCATCCTAGCGCTTAATTCAACCAATCACATGAGAGTAGAAGACTAATAATGTATAAGAAGCATATTTACCAAGCCGAATGAAAGTGTACTGACCCAAGAAAGGACTGTAAGATGTGATGTTAGCCAGATTCATCGAATTTTCTGAAGTATTAAAAAGAACATGTTATATCTAGAGATTTTGATCCTTACTATGCCGCGTACTACTAGACTAATTGAACGTTCGAACCCGCAACGTCGCAAGAGAGAAGACAGAAGACTAGTAGGTAGGAATTTTATTCCCCAAAACAGTGTCAAAATATAGTACAGAAATCTCATGTATTTATAGTTTTTTTTGACTGAGAGTAAATCATCATTTCGGACAACCAATAGACACATAGGGATCACTCTTTTCCATCCAATGGGGAAGCTACACATCGACATTCTAGAATATTCCCCTAGCAGTGATTGGATGGAATGTCTTCGACCCTTTCTGGGCTTCTTGAGGCTTCCTAGAGTTTACCAACGATCCGTCCTTACAGAACTAGTTACCAATACTTGTCAATTATGATATGAGGTGTTCTTGAATAGAATCAAATAGACTACTTATCATTTATTACTAGTGTTATTATTAGTACTATCATTGGCTACTGTTTTTGATTCATTTTAGATGCTCCATTAGTTATCATCAAAGAATTAGAATCAATTCATTTAAAAGAAATTCCTCAAACAATTGAATTCGAATGTCATCTTTCTAAATTACCACAAAAAGTTCAATGGTTCTCTAATGGTAAACGTATAGATACATCAAATTTACGTAAATATCATCTAATTGATGATGGTAAAATACAAAAACTAGAAGTATTCAAGATTACATTAGATGATATTGGTGAATATTCTATTAAAATTGATAAATTAGAATCAAAAGCAACATTTGAAATTGAATGTAAGTTTGATGTATCATTATTTTTGAAGGGTTTTTGTGAAGATTTCAGTAATTTTATAGTCGAAATCATGAGTCAATTGAAGCTAGACCACCATCGAAAACCTGGAAGCATTGGATGGCCTTTTCGTCCTATTGTGGGACTTCTCAGCAAAGCGCATCCACGATCCCGCCCCGCAGGATTCAAACACAAGACCAATGAGTCTCGCGCGCTAGAGCTTAGCCATTAGACCACTGAACCAGCACCCAAGGTTAAACATTAACACCTTTGGATGCCGGCTCAGTGGTCTAGTGGTTAAGCGCTAGCGCGCGAGACTCATTGGTCTTGTGTTCGAATCCTGCGGAGCGGGATCGTGGATGCGCACTGCTGTGGAGTCCCACAATAGGATGAAACGGCCATCCAATACTTCCAGGTTTTCGATGGTGGTCTAGCTTCAATTGACTCATGATTTCAACTATAAAATTATTTCTGTTTTTTTTATTGTTTGATTTTTGATTAAGTGTAATAGTTTAATGGGAACTTTCGTACTTTGTAAAATTAGTTTCTGTCATGAATTGATATCAGTTAGGGAATCATTAAGAATTAAAGAGGCATAGAGGATTGTTTCCTCCAAGAATGAGGGTTTTCAAAGGTGAAGAACACCTTAAACACTTCACAAAATCAAAATTCATGACTTTTATGTATAACTGAAAGTAGTTAAACCCTAATGTACCATTGTATTGGAATTCGTTGATTCCTATTCTTTTGAATACATGAAATTTGTGATCAAAGTACGATGATGATTATTACCACTGTTTTACCCTCGATGTGGTTGATTAAAGGGTCGGTTGCATCTTATTACAACTTTACGAACTGATGTGTGGGCGAGAATGATAATGATTGGCTGTTTTGCTGAGTCAGACGTGTAGATGGTGTAACAGGTGTTATATCATTTATATATTCCCCTATCCTGATTACTATTAATTGACTGTTCCTTGTTCTTGGATTGTGTCCGGTTTCGGTGTGGGAAATATATTGACGTTTTAGTCAGGCTAATCTCGTGTTCTTGATCTGAGTTGTGTGTGTTGAAGTCTTGTAGAATAGACACTGGGGTGAGGGAATTTAATGTAGATATTCGTCTAATGTAAATTAACGTCCCACATGCGTGTAAAAAGTAAAAGGACTGTTATAACAAGAAATCCTAAAGTTATAACAAGTATCCTACCGTTTATAACAAGAACCTATCTGGAAAGTAATCATTACAGAGATTAAAGTTATCATAAATTTGTTCAATGTAACTTGATTCTCAGTGATCTTTCAAATGATTTCATTTTGTATTAAAAGTTGTTTTCACCTTTGAACGAATATCCATGAATTATATATCTAAATAACAATGGGTTGGATTTCTTTCATTCACATTATCCGTCAATAACATAACAAATAAATTGATCAATCTCTTTTGGTATATATACCATCTTGTGCAGATTACCTCGATATTCACACGCATTAAAAGCAGAGCTGAATTGTGTCTAGTAGTGGAACCTAAGATGCCTGTTTTATCCCATCTTTACCTCATCAGCTGAATGTGCCTACATCCTAGAGTTGATGCTCACACACAGACTCGAACACAGATGCACATATGCCAAAAAAGACTAATTTTTTGAAGTTCTAAACATCAATAAAAAGATTAAGATAACAAATACAAATGAATTAAACTTCACTCCATTCCACAGGCCAGTTACTATCGAGATTCAATAGCTAATTGTATAGCGCGATGGCGTTCGAAGCAAACGGTACTAGGGTCGAGTCCCGAAATGATCAATACCTGAGATGTAGGTACATCCAGTTGACGAGTCTCAAATAGGATGAAACAAGCATCAAACTGGATTCCATCGCTATCCACCATCTATCTCTTCTTATAATTTATGAAGATAGATTATTTTTTGTATTGTTCCATTGTGACCCTCATCATTTTCTGTTAGGTAATTTTGAAACAGACAGTAAACTACATTCATAGTTGAAATCATGAGTCAATTGAAGCTAGACCACCATGAAAACTTGGAAGCACTGGAAGACCGTTTCGTTCTATTATCAGACCCCTCAACAGTGCACATCCACGATCCCGTCTCGCAAGATTCGAACCCAGGACCTATCAGTCTTGCGCCAGAGCACTTAATCGATAGATCACTGAGGCGGCATCCAACCACATTCACATTACATTCATAACTAGAATAACTGTTTGTACTTTTTTGAGGATATAAAATATGAATTGAAAGAATTTCTTTCCAACTGTGGGAACAGTGGTATTTTCTTCATGTATTCTTTTCGCAATCATGGTAACTTTTTAAAAGATATTTATCAAAATTATTTGTGTTTATTCTGTGTTTGCCTATAAAAGGCATCCCGTGATTTAAACATACAAATAAATTACTTTATTACCTTTCTTGTTTAGTACCACCTAAAATTTGTCTACCAGATGATTTCACTGATACAATCGTACTTGCTCAGGGAAGTAATCGTAATATAGAGATACCATTTACTTCTTGTCCACCTGCTACTAGTATTGTTTGGTATTGGAATGGTAGTCGTACATTGCCTGATCCAACAAAACGCACTGTTCCAGATAATGATTCAAGGCGTCAAGCAGTACTTCGTCTTACTGCATTACAAGTTTCTGATGCTGGAATTTATGAAGCTATTATCACCAATCCATATGGAGAAGCTAAAGCATCCATAACATTGAAAGTTCTTGGAGTACCTGGCCCAGTAACATCATTAGAAGCACATGTTGAGTCACCTACAGAAGTATCTGTATTATGGAAACCACCTGAAGATGATGGTGGTAGCCCATTGACAGGATACAAAATTGAACAACGTCAATTGGCTCCTGAACCTGGAGGTGTTTTACGTTCTCAGGCTAAAGAGTGGAAGTCAATTGCAAATATTAGTTCAAAATCGAAAACATCTGATGACGAAGAACCATTTGTACATCGTATCACAGGATTAACTGAAGGAGCTACTTATTTGTTTGGTGTTTATGCAGTTAATGATTGTGGAAGTGGACCAAGGAAAGAAATTTCCGATGGCTTATTAATGAAATCTCCTTATGGTTAGTTAAGTTGTTGAAATATCTATTCATTTTTATTTAATTTTGTATGACATAAAACTATTATATATGAAATACTTACAGAACTCTCATTCAAATTGTATTCGATTAATCATAGAAAAAAGAAACAATTAGAGACTGACCAGTTGTAGTCCTAACACATAGATGAGAAGATTCAAACAAACAATACTAAATGAATTTAAACCTCACCCCATCGCAAAAACAAGTGGCTATCAGGACTTAGTGGCCGAGGGGATAACGCGATGGCCATTGAAGCGAAAGGTACTAGGTTTGAGTCCCAGAGCGAACATCAACTCTGAGATGCAGGTACATCCAGCTGACAAGTATCAAACAGGGTGAAACTCGCATTCTGGATTCCACTGCTAGTCACTATCCATCTTTGCTTACAAAATAATGAGTTTATCGAAAATGAACGATTCGAAATCCTATCAAATTCTTATTAGATGGATAAACTTGTATTTCGGAGTTTATAAGTTGGTGATAAACAGTTTAATGTCTGTTGAATGAGATCATTCATATTTCTTATACTCTACTATTTACTATCAGAATATAATCATAGCGAAGAGTCAATTTTTTTTTTAAAAAAGCAACAATATACGACCTTTTTTCCAATAATTAAATTTTTGATTGAGATCATGAATTAATTAATGTTAGATCACCATTGAAAACCTGAAAACACTGAATGGTCGTTACATGCTATTATTGAACTCCTCACAGTACACATTCATGATCCCATAGGCGGAATTCGAAGCCAAGACTTTCGGTCTCACGCGCAAACGTTTATCCTCTAGATCGCTGAGGAGGCTCAAGGGTTGCGTAAGATCTTGGATCGATTGAAGTCAGATATAAACACCCTCTGATGCCGGCTTAATGGTTTAGAGGTTAATAGTTGGCTTGCTAGTTCTGGGTCCGAGTTTCTTTGATGTGAGGTCGTGAATGTTCACTGATGAAAGGTCCCATACTAGGACGAAACGGTCGTCTAGCATTTCCTGGTTTTCAATGATAATGATGATCTCGTTATTCAATGCAAAATAATTTAATACATTAGAAAGTTCCAGGACAGATAAATACTTAAAGTATACAGTTTGGGTTACAGCATAGAATAACGCTCATGTACCTGACTTTTATCTATACACATATATGATAGTGTTATATCGTTATGTTTCTTTATTTTTATGCTACAGATATTCCGGAAATTCCAAAACAACTTACTGCCAAACCAATAAATCATTCCACTATTGAATTAGAATTCAAATTACCAGTGACTCATGTGGAAGCACCTTTAACTAGTGTAATTGTTGAATATCGTCCTAAGAATGTATCAAGGTAAATACTCTTAAAAAATATAATAAGATGATTATTTATTAAAATAGTTCTATGCTTAGAATCCATTTATATAAAGGTCTTATTAAAGTAAATCATAGGAAATAAGTAACTCTTACTTACTTACAACTGTTACTCCTTGTGAAGCACAGAAACCTGACATGAAATGATCAACCAACTCTGTCGTGAGTTATTTCTTCTAGTCGCTTCAAAATGTTATTCATCCTTTTGATGTCTGCCTACAATCCCGGAGCAACATGTTCTTCAGTCTACCTCTTTTCCTTTAGTCTCTAGGATTCTAAGCTGGGGTTTACTTTTTGATGCAGTTTGATGATTTTCTCAATGTATGTCCTATTCAATTCCAGTGCCTTTTCTTAATTTCCTCTTCATCTGGAAGCTGGTTTGTTCTCTGTCACAGTAAACTATCGCTAACGGTATCAGACAAACGGATTCGGAGTATCTTGTAATGATTGCGGTTCTTAAGTACCTGTACCGTTTTGATGAAGGTTGTGGCAGTCCTTCAAGTATCAGCTTAGTAGAACAGAACTGTATTGGCGTTTGTATTAAAAATTATGACCTTCGTGTTGTGTGACAGTTGTTTTGAGTTTCAGTTGTTTTTTAATTGTAAGAATGTGACCCTTGCTGTGCTAATCCATGCCTTTCACACTTGCATCAGATCTTCATTCTTTATCAGTTATAATATACAGGTATGTAAAAGCCTTCACCTGTTCCAGATTTTCTCCATCAAGTATAGTTTCGTTGGTGATCGTTGTGTTATATTTGAGGATCTTGCTTTTTCCCTTGTGTATGTTGAGGCCTACTGCTGCAGAGGCTGCCGCTGCACTTGTTGCCGTGTATAAGATAGAACAGCTAGGTCATCTGTGAAGTTTGAATCGTTAAACTGCGTCTAACGTCTTCATTAAATTCTGCGCTTCTCCTGAAATATAGAGATCTCCATAATCCAGTCAACAACTGGTAGAAAGAGAAAAGGCGATAGTAAGTAGGGTTTTTTGACACTAGTCTTCATGTGGAATACGTCTATACATCTGGAATATGCTATTTAAACACTATTGAGATGTTAATTTTTAAATCATGTTGTTCTATGTACTCATATAATCTTGGTTCTCCCATCAACCTTTGCTATGATCATGGAGACATAACATATCAGCTGACAATGAATATATGAATTGGATGTGACCAACTTGATCTTGTGTGCTGTTACGGGTATGAGGGCTAATATCACTTTCCGGCTGCCCACACCGTGGAAGGGTATTTCTTGAGGGACCTGAAAAGGAAGTTGGATTAATGTTGGTCTTAATGACCTGGGAATGTGACCACAGTGCCCAAGTGACAACTGCTTGAGGCCGATCACGCACGGCTATTTTGTAGGAGATTTTTGTCATGTTAGCTCCGTTCTTCAAAGGACCTTACCACCGGAGACGGAAATCCGTGAGATAACAAACAAACCGTGTATAAATTTGTTATTGTAAGTAAGAGAAAGTAAGATTTATCCGATATCTTGTAATAATCAAGAATAAAGGGGACTATTTTATAAGTTAATTCTCAATTTGTTTATATTGAATTACTTAATCATTAGATGGAAGACTCAAACATTTGAACCATGTTCTATGGTACAAATTGATAAACTTGAAGCAAATACAGAATATGAATTTTGTGTAAGCTGTACTAATTTAGCTGGAAAAAGTGAATCATCAAATCCTGTTAAAGCTAAAACAAAACAATTGCCAAGTAAGCAAAAAGGAATCAAGTTTATTTTTCCCTCATTTTATTAAAACTATTTTTTTTATAGTTGAAAGCGTGAATCAATTGAAGATAAACCACCAGGGAAAACCTGGAAGCACTGAACAACCGTTTCGTCCTGTTGTGGGACTCCTCAGCAGTGCACATCCACGACCTCGCCTCGCGAGATTCGAACACAGGACCTACCAGTCTCGTGCCAGATCTGGTCTCGTTTCAATTGACTCACGCTTTCAACTATGAAAATACTAAATCTCTACAAAACCCCTTCTGATAATATTTTTTTCGAATTTAAAGTTTCGAATGATGGTGAATATTTGTAGCTACGAATGTGGGTGTTGGAGTAATTGTGGTCTCTTAGCTAGTTGGTTTGATTGTGAAGTTTACATTGTCATTTTAAGCAACATTATCATCAGTATGTACTTTCAAGTGAAGTGAGCTGTTAGAATTTCTCCATAGTTGACTAACAGTTTGTTCTGTCAACCTGAGATTTGTTTGGTTTTTATTCTTGATTCTATGATTGTTATCTGCATCTTTCTTTTTTGATTGGTTTCTCTTATGACTTGAGCTCTGATCTTGCAGGTGTCAATCCTTTTGGCCGATAAGTTCAGTTCAATATTTCACAACCATACCAATCAGTTCAAAGACTATTACGTCAATACTAGAAGTTAACTTTTTAACCTTTGGTTGGTTTAGGACCAATGAAATTAGGTGGAATTTACCTACAATTAGAGATTTTTTATTGAAATCTCAATGGCACTCAAAGTCTTCTGAAATTAGGAAACTGATGAAACTGAGCCTTCTTAGAAAACGTCCAAAAGAAATCTTGGACACAGCTGGCTTTGCCTTCATTATCCCGTTCAGATAATTATCGAATTTGTTGCTAATTTCAACATGTTTTCTAGAAGCCACTTAAATTTTAGAATCTAATAAACATAGCTGTTTTCTATTCATATACTAACCTTCAAAGCAAAGGGTTTCTTCCATACTTTCCTCATTCTGTTTTTCATCCGGGATCCAAGAGTAGGAGACTTCCGAGAAATGGAAATGTATTACGAAGTCGGTATCTAAGCCTTCAAGCAAAATATGTAACGTATCGTATATCGTACAATCAACAAATGCTGATAAAAACTGAATGCCTCTCGATCTAAAATACTACAAGAGCTTAAAATATGATTACTGACTAAATCATCGAGTTATCAGTTAATTGGATGGGTTTTAATGAGCCTCCTGAAATACCTGATCCAATATATTCCAACAAATATATACCTCAAGTATAGGATTTATCTTCTATCGGATTCAAAGTATGTTACAACAATATCATCAACGAAGTGGATTTACTTCTAAAACTTTAGATATTAGTCATTGATTCATAAATGATCAGTAATCACTATTCCTTTAATACTTCTTCCCCACTGTTTCAGTACTATAATCTTTACTGTTAAAAATTGTATTCATTTCAGAACCTCCCGATGCTCCAAAGCTTGACAATGTTACACCAGTCAATACAAACTCAGTAAAAGTTAATTGGTTTTCTCCAACAAATGATGGTGATAGTCCAATTACATCATATCAAATAGAAATGTGTGATGCTAAAAATACTACTGAAATATGGAAATCGATTGATGCTTTAAACATAGATCGTGTAGATCAAAGTCTACTAACTCCAGATGAACAAAAGTCATATGAGTTAATTGTGAAAAATTTAGACAATTCTAAATCTTTCAAATTTCGTGTTATCGCTATGAATAGTATAGGACCAAGTAAACCATCTAGAAGTTCACAACCTGTTACACCTGGTAAGTTATTTACTATCTACTATTTCTTTAGTAATAAGTATTCAATAATAAAGTAGAACTTATCTGTGTAGATATCTTCATGAAAGGCTTAGAATCGGGAATGAAACGGGCATCTTACAGAACGTTGTATTGTAGTGAACAGAACACGACTGGGGGCAATCGAATGTATTTAAGCATATATTACAGAGTATCTCACTAAATTCTGATAGCCATATAGCAAACAGTTAATTTGCAAAATAAAAATCAATTGTCTCAATCTTCAATGTTCCTTCTGTAAATATCAGTCCATCTTCTCTGATTATTATTGTTCATGCATTTTTGTACCGATTGCGCTTTATTCCTGTTCGTTCCTCATCGATCTTCTGCCAAAATACATTCTATGTCTGACCATCATCATTTACTACTTATATGGATATAAGTAGACCACACTACAGTATCTCAAACTATTCCTATAATGACTTATTTATTACTAAACTGATTGAACAAGTAACAGTACACCGTACGATTGAATAAGATCTATTTGATTTAACCACAGTACTGGCTGACGTGGAACGTTGAAAAGAGTTCAGTTCTCAATGTTGCTAAAATGTGATATATTCCTTCTGCATATGTGTTGTACTCACTGTTGATTAATGACATAAAGCATACAATTGTCTGACTAAATAAAATATGATTAAATTAATTTGAGTCGATTCGGCTAGTTACTTTATCTTAATCGATCAATCGTATGTGAACTAACCAAATGGGATAAAGCATCAATTAGTTATTCACATGCAACAAAGAGGTTAACACTGCCCACTATCAAAAGTCAATCAATTGTCTCAGACTTTTTTGTTCCCTCATTTCTACAACAATCATTCTTTGTTCTTGTTCTCTTTTCTTTAATCATCTTAACTTTCTGCTTCCAGATATTTCACTTTCGATTGATGATGCATACTACTTCTATCTATCGACATCAGTAGCACACCATACTATGTTGACTTTTGTTGTGAATTCTTTATATAATAAATAATAAACTTGGCAGTTAATTTGGTTAACAATAAAAACCCTGATTCAAAAATTGACTATTCACTACTTTTTGAATAATATATTGACTTATAAATTTAAATCAACAGCTGAATGGTGTATCCGATTGATGATCATGGTGTTGAATTACTTTAAGTGGAATTTTATTCTCTGAGCTGGATAGTTTAGCCGTGTTAGCTCTCATTGTTCTTCTGAACAATATCAACACAAGCTGCACATCTACCCAAAGATTTTTTCGGATAATGTTTTTTTAGAAGAACAATCAGAGTTCTACAATTAAACCATCCAGTTCGGAGAACGAAAATCCCTTCCTCAATTATCCACTTGAGCTAAAAATCTTCTCCACCATTCAAAGTTGAATTACTTGTTGATAAGTTCAAGTAATATATAATTTTCAATTTATCAATACAAGTTATATAATATATTTCATGTCCATTAAAGAACAACATACAATTCATGAATAACGCTATAAACGGCCCGAATCCTCGAATATTCATCATTTCAAACAATGTCATCTTCACTTTTTTAATACAATATCGTTAGACCATATAATCCTGTTATTCATTTCTACCCAAAATTTGTTCTGATGATGTCGTTCAGAAGGATGATGAAAGCTCCACGACTAAACCATCAAGCTCAAAGAACAAAACCCCATCAAAATCTTGTTATTCTCATTAATATCTTTCATAAACAATCTATTGCTAATTTCGTTTTTTCGTGGATCAGTTGAAGTTAGACATTAACACCGTTGGATGCCGGCCGACTCAGTGGTCTATCGATTGAAGGCTCTGGCTTGAGACTGGCAGATCGTGAGTTCGAATCTCGCGAGTGCAGGATCGTGGATGCACACTGCTTAGGAGTCCCACAATAGGACGAAACGACCGTCCAGTGCTTCCGGGTTTTCGATGGTGGTCTATATTCAATTGACTCACGCTTTCAACCATGAAAATTTCGTTTTAACCTGAAAACTTATGAAACTTTACCTTTCTTTTCGTACTAACAATAATAGGTATTGAAGTCAGTATTATTCAACCCCTGAACAATGTTTGTTTTGATGAAATACCAAAATCTGGAACAAATATTGAATTAGAATGTGAATTAAGTCAATCTAATTGTCGAATTAATTGGTTATATAATGAAAAACCAATTATATTGGGTGAAAAATATGATTTCTCTCCGGAAGGAAATATTTATCGATTAATTATTAATAATATAACACTTGATGATATGGGAGTTTATGAATTGAATTATAAAAAGTTAAAAACACAATGTAAAGTGGAAGCTAAAAGTAAGTTGAAAATGTTGAGTTATTAATTTAACTACTTAATGAAAGTATAAGTAGTATATTTTAGCTTGATTATTTTATTTATAACTCTGTATTATGTATCTAAGTCCAACATTTGTTTTTCATTCAGAAATGATCATCTGCTTCTTATCATCTTCAATATTAACTAAAATTGAAAATTTCCTATTTATTAGTCTTAGATTTCAGGCCAATATATTTATATATTAATAATAATACGGTAGTAAACGAGAAGACCAAAGGAGGAAAGCCAAATGTTTTTGAATATAACATTACAGAATCTTTAAGCAATGATGGATAGTGGCTAGCTGTGAAATCCAGAACGCGAGTTTCGTCCTATTTGGGACTCTCCAGCCGGACAAGCAGGTGGCTATTAGTAACTAAGTGAATATCGCGATGGCATTTGGAGCGAACGGTACTGAGTTCGAGTCTCAGATGCAGGTACATTCAACTGACGAGTCCCAAATAGGACGAAATATACGTCGAAATGGATTCCACTGCTAGCCACCATCCATCTTTGCTTAAAGAGCTTGTGACTGAAGGCAATATCAAGGTGATTTGCACAGGATGCACATATGCTAATAACAGACTGATCAATTGCACTCCTAAACATTAATGGTAAGATTCAAGTAAACGATACCAAGTGAATTTAACATTACAGAATTTCTTGATAAGATCAGAGAACCATGCAGTAATACTTCATTTGCAAAATATCTATCAATGTCTCGGACTTTATCATTCCTTCATTTCCATACCAATCACTCTCTGTTCTGGTTCTCTTTTCTTTGATTTTCTCAACCTTCTACCTCAAGGCATTACACTTTCGATTGGTGACACATATAACTTATATCTGTCGACATCAGTAACATACACTACACTACCGATCACATGAGAATAATTCTTAAGAAGGTTTAGTAAACTGTTAAACTAATCGTTAATTTTAATAATTATGAAGAATCCATTTCTAATAAATGTGACTAGATATTCAGTGTTTGGTTAAACTCTTCATTTTAATACCATGAAAAGTGACTTACTATATGAACTTATTTTGACTATTAGACGAAATAAATTTTATGATTTTCTGTTCATTCATAGTTGAAATCATGAGCCAATTGAAGCTAGACCACCATAAAAAACCTGGAAGCACTGGACATTAACACCATCGGATGCCGGCTTAGTGGTCTATCGGTTAAGTACTCTGGCGCGAGACTGGTAGGTCCTTGATTCGAATCTCGTGAGTGCGGGATCGTGGATGCGCACAGCTGGAGAGTCCCATAATGGAACGAAACGGCCTTCTAGTGCTTCCAATTGCTTTCAATTGACTCATGATTTCAACTATGAAAATACTGAAATCTCCACAAAACCCTTTCTCATCATCAAATTGTCTGTTGCATGTTAACCAGTCACTGTCTAAATGAAACTTCAGCACTGGGATCTAATTAAAAAGTTGGATAAATCTGGTAGTCATTGTATTGAAAAAAAGACTGTTGAAAATATTCTCTGATTAAAATTATTTCTATCAGATTGCTTCTTCTAGTGATCAAGATAAGTGAATTCAGGATAAGCAGATACACTCCAATCCAGGCAAGATCCTCCAGGTTATATAACTGACCTCCATAAAATTAGAAAATAAAACAGAAACCTATTTTCTCACTAACTTAACCCTATACCACGATAAACTCATTTAATAGAAAAGCATTCATGATAACCACTTAAATCCTAAATCAATGAACATGTTTTATCATATTAAATTTTTGTTTTTAGTTCCACCAACACTTCTTGAAGATACTGAAGAAAGTCATACACGTCGTGTTAATGTTGGTTCAAATTGTGTATTTGAAGTACCATTTAAAGCTTATCCAAAACCTATAATCAAATGGCTTGCTCAAGGTATACCTGTAACTGATAAAACGAAACGTTATCAAATCAATATAGTAGCTGGTTTAACATCATTATCTATACAACGTGTACAAAATGATGATACTGGTCAATTAGTTGCTATGATTGAAAATGAACATGGAAAGTTAACATGGAAATGTGAATTAATTGTTATTGGTAAGTAATTATTTAAATTATTTCTTTATATTCAAAAGTCATTGAATAATAGGAACTCACTAAAGACAAATGGTGAACGGTTGCTCAACTTCGTGGATTGGTTGAAGTTAGACACTAACACTATCGGATACCAGCTCAGTCTGTCGGTTAAGTGCTCTGGCGCGAGATTGGTAGGTCCTGGGTTCGAACCTCGCAAGGCGAGGTCGTGGATGCGCACTGCTGAGGAGTCCCATAATAGGATGAAACGGTCTTAAAGCAGTGCTTCCAGGTTTTGCATGGTGGTCTAGCTTCAATTGACTCATGATTTCAACTATGAAAATACTGAAATCTCCACAAAACCCCTCCTCATTATAATCATATGCTCACTAGTGACTGACTTCAAGATACATATCCTGGAGTTCTAGTGGGAAGCAGTGACCAGTGGAATTCAACCAAGTCTGTTGTAGAGATATCAACTCACTGAAGACAATTGGTGAACGGTTGATCAAACATCGTGGATTGGTTGAAGTTAGACATTAACACCGATGGATGCCGGCTAGCTCAGTGGTCTATCGGTTAAGTGCTCAATTATCATTTCTTCTCTAAAATGCTCTGTGAACCGATCGTATCCGAGCATCAAGTACTGAAATTTGCACCATGACCTTGAAATCCCTCAAACATTTCTGATTAGTTCCTCCATAAATTATAGTTTCGCCTATACCAAACTTGAAACTTCACACTTTTATGTCATCAAATGAATCAATAGTCAATAGTTGTTTCAATGTATCTGATCAATTTAAGGGAACACAAAAGTTTTTCTTTTAAAAGACGTTTCCCATTTACCATGTTTGTTTTTTTCACTTTTTTTTTCTTATTATCATCAGATAAACCGAAGCCTGTTGAAAATTTAAATGTTACCCCAAGTACAGATCAATTACATATGATTATTAGTTGGAAACCCCCGCGTAAAGATATCAATAATCCAATCACACATTATGAATTAGAATATCGTAATTCAAAAAATCGATCATGGCAACTATTTAAAAATGATACCTTAGATACTAATGATGATTCCTATAAAATACCAAATGATTTAACAAAATTGGAAATGAATATAACCGATAAAGAAACTATGAATAGTTTAGCATCCAATACAGATTATTATTTTCGTATAGTAACTGTGAATACAGTTGGAAAAAGTGAACCAACTGAAACATATTCATCCATTAAAACACCATTATTACCAAGTAAGTTTATATTGAATGAATAGAATCTTTTTTTTCTTTATATTATTGTTATAAACGGTAGGATACTTGTTATAGCGCTAGCGGTTTCTTGTTATAACAGTCCTTTCACTTTTTTGGACGCATGTGGGACATTAATTTACATTAGACGAATATCTACACTAGATTCCCTAACCCCAGTATCTATTCTACAGGACTTCAACACACACAACTCAAATCAAGAACATAAGATTAGCCTGATTAAAACGTCAATATATTTCCACTCCGAAATCCGACATAATGCAAGAACAAGGAACAGTCAATCAATAACAGTCAGGATAGGGGAATATATATAACACATATAACACTTGTTACACCATCTACATGTCTGACTCAACAAAACAACCAATCATTATCATTCTCGCCCAAACATCACATTATTCAAATAAAATTATTTGAAAAATATTTATTTAAGAATAAAAAGTTCCGTAATATACAAATCAATAAAGGGATCATTCTTATTGTATGTGTATAACACATCAGAAATTATTTGTTTACTTAGTTACGCCTGTTACCTCTAGTGGAGGAGTATAGGTCACCCACTAGCAGTCTCCAACCAACCCTTTTCTGGGCAATACTTACCAGTTGTTATGCATACTTTTCATATCTGATTCCAATTCCCGACGCAGTGTGTTCTTCGGCCTTCCTCTTTTCCACTTGCCTTCCGAATTCCAAATTAGGGCTTGCCTCGTGATACAGTTTGGTGATTTCCTTAATGCATGTCCAATCCACTTCTAACATCTTTTCCTAATTTCCTCTTCAGATTGAAGCTGGTTTGTCTTCACCCACAGTAAGCTGTTGCTGATGTTATCCGGCCAATTGATGTTGAGCATCTTGTGTAGACAACTGTTCATAAATACTTGTACCTTCTTGACAATGGATGTCGAAGTTTTCCATGTTTCAGCCCCGTACAGTACAACTGTCTTGATGTTCGTAATGAAGATTTTCACTTTGAAATTAGTTGACAGTTGTTTTGAGTTCCATATGTTCTTCAATTGTAGAAATGTGGTCTTTGCTTTGCCAATCCTCGCATTTACGTGTGCATCAGATCCCCTTTAATCATCAATGTTACATCCCAGATACATTAATGCTTCCACATCTTCCAGAGTTTCTCCACCAAGTGTGATTGGGTTGGTGTTCTCGGTGTTGTATTTGAGAATCTTGCTTTTTCCTTTGTGTATGTTGAAGCCTATTCATGTAGAGGCTGCTTCTACATCAGTTGTCTTCGTCTGTATTTGTTCTTGCGTATGGGATAGGAGGGCCATGTCATCTGAGAAGTTCAAATAGTCCAATTGATTCTGAGATGTCCATTGTATTCCGTGCTTCCCCTCAGATGTCGAGGTCTTCATAATCCAGTCAACCACCAGAAGAAAGAAGAATGGGGAGAGTAAGCAGTCTTGTCTGACTCCGGTCCTCACTGGAAATGAATCTGTCAACTGTCCTCCATGCACCACTTTGCACTGTATTCCGTCGTATGAGTTCTGTATAATGTTAAAAATCTTCTCAGGAACTCCATAGTGTCGAAGAAGTTTCCATAGCGTCCTCCTGTCCACAATGTCAAACGCCTTCTCATCATCACTGAATTTGATGTATATTGATAAGTTCCACTCAACTGATTCGTAGTGTCGCAATTTGGTCTGTGCACGACCGATCCCTACGGAATCCAGCCTATTGATCTCGAAGTCGAGCGTCTACTGCGTATTTCATCCGGTTCAGAAGCACTCTATTGAAAGCTGTTCCTGATACTGGTAGTAGTGTGATGCCTCTGTAGTTCTCACATTTGCTCAGATCTCCTTTCTTTGGTATCTTGATGAGATATTCTTCTTTTCAGCTTATCAGCATCACTTGTTTTTTCTCCCAAATCTTCTTGAATAGGGGGTGAAGCATGTCTGTAGGCACTTCAATGTCCTGCTGCTTTCCCATTCTCGATTTGTCTGATGGCCATCTTGATTTCCCCGGTCGTTGGTAAGGTGTCAGGTATAGGAAGGTCTGTAGATGCTACTTCGATGTCCGGTGGATTCAATGGGGCTGGTCTATTGAGCAGTTCATCTAAGTATTCTACCCATCTTTTCCCCTGTTCTTGAATCTCCGTCAAACAGTTAAGAATTGGGTGTGACATATAAACCAGCAAAATCAGTTCAATCAAACTCATTCATATCAAAGGATGAAATGATAATAGAAGAAAAGTCAAATATCATCTATAAAAAAAATTATTCTAAGAGAAACAATACATCCAAAATAGTGGCCTACCTCTTTATCCTCTTCTGCACAAACATTAACTAGTTGCCAAACGCCAGATACAATTATGAACACAAGTTTGATCAGGAAAAAGGCTGAAACATTAGGTAGAGAGAATATTAAGAAGATTATAGAATTTTTAAAGGCTTTGGACACAGGTCGATCAGCAATCAATAAACATACTGTACTCGACCGAACTTATCAACCATTAGGAAAAATCATAGTCAACTATTAGGTCAAAATTCAATTCAAGGAGGATGACAATCAAAACAACTATGCCAGTAATGACAGAACAAAGGTTAACGACAATCTGCAAAGATCAGGGTTGATGGAATAGACTGTCTGTCAAAAGTGAAGAATGTCAAATAGTTCACTTCTATTCTATGAGTTACTGAATATTATTAAGTAGTATAATTTATATACAAAAAATGATTGCAAAGTAAAGCACTTGGAATTGACAGTTGTTTTTTATCAAGTATTAGTTCGAACAAAACTGATAATGAAATTTGATATTTATATAGATAATTTTAATTAATCCACTATTTCCATCCATATGATGTTTTTTATAGAACCACCGAAATTGAAATATGATACAACTTTGGAAATGTGTAAAACAACCGCTGGACAAAAGCATTCTATACCCGTTAGTGTAGAAGGTGAACCATCTCCACAAATAAACTGGAAATTTATTCCTGACGGTCAACCGAGCGATGAGAAAACTTCACTTCCTAGCGATGCACAAACAGAAGCATCTGGTCCTGACCAAGATGGTGTGAATAAGATTGCTTTGAAATTCCGAAAAATATCACGATCATGTGATGGCACATATATTTTAACAGCTGTAAATAGTGGTGGTGAAGCTCGTGCTGAATTTCGTGTAACTGTGTTAGGTAAGAAAAACCTCATTTTTTCTACTTTCTAGCCATTATATAATGCTTGGTTTCTATTTCATTAGTCAGAAGTAATGAATATCAAATACTGGAAACGAAAGCCACAGCTTTACAAGTTCAGTTGTATTTCAGTATGCCGATGAACATCACGACATCTTCGAATTCTCTACAGTAGAATCTCTTTCTTAGATCGATAAATTCAAGCATATGAAATACAATCTTCAACACCCATCAGTAGTCAAAAGGGAAATGTTTCATGTTTTAACGAGAGAATTCATTGTTTATGGTTTCAATTTAGTGATATGTAACAATGATAAGAAACTCAATACCATAATGTATCACAGACTATGAAAGTACAGAATGATTTAACAGTGATCCTGTATTTCAGAAGATTTCCAGTAGACCTTAAATCACTGAATATAAATAAAATATTTTTGCCTTTCGAAACAGAAAATCACGGAACATGATATTTACAGTTATATAATATACCCTTATGGTCGAGGTAATCTTGCACTGGTTATCAAGAGAACCAGACACCATCCAGACTTTCACGCGGCAACCCAAACAGTACAGCTCAATCCCGTTTAACAGGAGAGTCAGATACTGCCCAGGCTTAACCCAAGCAGTACAGCTCAACCCAGCCCTATAATAGAACTAGACACTATATAGGCTCTAACGCTACAATCCGAACAGTAAAGCCCAATCCTGTGGCGCAACCACCCAGGTACCAAACACCCTGGTGGACCAATGATATTTACATATTGTTGATTTAAATGTGATATCGTAAAATATTAGAAAAATAAAATTTGAGGAGCCAAATTTACTCCATCATGAGAAAGGAATTACACAAAGTCCCTAAGTAAATTAGACCATGATAAAGACAAAAAATGCTGAAAAAGTTCAGGTTGTTTTGTTTTTTCTAAAGCTTCGTTAAATCGATAAGAAAAAGATATACTTACTTACTCCTGTTACCTCTCGTGGAGGATCATAGACCTCCTACCACTATTTTCCATCCATCTCTGTCATGAGCAATCTTTCTCACTTGTTTCCAGTTGCTATTCATCCTTTTCATATCTGCTTCCATTTCCCGACATAGTGTGTTCAGTCTTCCTCTTTTCCTCTTCCTTTCAAGATTTCAAGTTAGGGATTGCCTCGTCACACAGTTTGATGATTTCCGCAATGTGTGTCCTATTCACTTTCAACGTCTTTTCCTAATTTTTTATCCAGATGGAAACCGGTTTGTCCTCTCCCATAGTAGTAGGCTGTTGCTGCTGGTACCCTGGCCAACTAATATTGAGTATTTTGTGTAGACAATTGTTTATAAATACTTGTACCTTTTTGATGATGATTGCGTTAGTTCTTCAAGTTTCAGCTCTGTATGGTAGAACTGTCTTGATGTTCGTATTGAAGATTGTGACTTTGATATTGGTTGACAGAAAAAGGCTTATATTCTATTAAATGAGTTTCTTTTTCTCTAACTAACAATTAATGGATAATGTTGATAAGGACGATATTTGATTATGCAAATGTTAAATTGATGATCACCTCATGTTTGCAGCAATCTGAGATATCCATCTCTGCTTACTATGCTTGTGAATTAAGGCTATATCGAGTTAATACGCACAGTATGCACATATGCCAATAAGAGACTGACCAGTTACAGTCCTAACACATCGATGGGAAGATTCAAACAAACAATACTAAATGAATTTAATCTGAGATCCCGTTTCTTCTTTTTTTTGGGGGGGGGGGTAATTCTGAACTAAGTTAACTAGGAGAAGTATCCAAAGTTTACTATAATCAAACAATATATTGTTTTACAATTGTTTTGTAATCATTTTAGGTTTACCAAGTGCACCACAAAATCTTATTGCAACAAATCTATCAAAAACTTCAATTCGTCTAAATTGGTTACCACCTAATGATAATGGAGGTAGTCAAATATTAAATTATGTTATAGAACAAGCTGTAGTCAAAAGTAATCTTGCTACGCCATCTAGTGTAGGTTATTGGGAACCAGTAACACGTAATCTTCCAATACATGAAGCATCTGATGGTTCTACAGGATATATTTATGATATTATTAATTTAGCATCAGAAAAATATATGCTTTTTAGAGTAGCAGCTCAAAATAAACAAGGAATTGGTGAATATGAAGCGATTACAAATCCTCTTTTAGTTACATCACCACATAGTAAGTTGATTTTGATGTTGTGCACATGTTGGTTATTTCTGTTATAACTTATGGCCTATTACCACTATCACTATATGAAGTAATGATACCACCAATTAGAGAACATCAACTTGTCGACCGGACCAATGATGCATAAACTCATACGAGCAGTCTAGAGTCTTTATTGGTCCTCCTCCTTGTCTGTTGAGTTCAGAACAACGATTTCAGCTTCTACGATATGAATCATGTATTTCAAACATACTGCGTTTATATACAAACCAAACAGACCACATCGTACCATAACATTTATACAAGATCTAGCCAGAAGTGAATGTGAATGTGGGAGGCTGTATTTAATAGACTAGGCATAACTCAAGAATGGTAAATCGTATGATAATAGTCTATGGGTCAAAATAAAGCTTATAATGAATGGAACATGAATATGCATGGTAAGCAAAGATGGATAGTGGCTAGCAGCGGAATCCAGCACGCGCGTTTCGTCCTATTCGGGACTCGTCAGCTGCATCTCAGAGTTGATGTGCACTCTGGGACTCAAACCCAGTACCTTTCGCTTCAAACGCCATCGCGTTATCCACTCAACTACACAGTATGCACATATGCCAATAAGAGACTGAGCAGTCGCAGTCCTAAACATCAATGGGAAGATTAAAACAAGTAATACTAAGTGAAACGAATATGCATAGTTCAATTTCCTAATAATTATACAACAATAGTACATGTATCGTAATGGTCCGTAAATGATTCTCTAAAATTACCATTCATAATCCTCGTCGGGATATAACAATTTCAGATTATTCAATCGTTTTTAAATATTATAATTACAATAGTTTAATGAGATAACTCTCCAAGGTTCAAAATAATGGATATATAGTGTGGTGTGGCTTACTTATATCCATATAAGTAGTATATGGTGATGGTCAGTCATATAATGTATTTCATCAGAAGATTTATAAGAAAAAGGCAGGAATGAAGCGCAATTTGTATGAAAATGAATGAATAATGAAATCAGAGACGATGAACTGATATTTGCAGAAGGAACAGTCAAGATTGAGTCAATTGATTATTATTTTGCAAATCAACTATTTACTGTATGATTATCAAATTTTAGTGAAATAGTCTGTAATTTGTGCTTAAATACATTCGATTGTCTCCACCCGTGTTTTGTTCACTACAATAGTTCAAGTTATAAAGGAAATATCATTACACTAGGTTGTAAGTACATTTAAGTGACAATACACATACTAAGTGAAATATGTACTTTAATGCTGATTAGTCCCACAATAGGACAAAACAGCCGTCCAGCGCTTTCAGGTATTCCATGATAGTCTAGCTTCAATTGACTAATGATTTCAACTATGAATAAAATTATCATTTTTTCTTTTCATATTCCAGATTTACCTGGACCACCAAAATATTTAAATGGTACAACTGATAAAGATGGACAAGTTCATTTAGAATGGAAACCTCCACAACAAGATGGTGGTGCTAAAATTATAAATTATATTATAGAAAAATGTTCATCATTAAAAGATGCTAATTGGTCTGAGATTAAACTTCCTGATTCACCTAATACAATCAGAATTATACCGAATCTTAGAGGTAATTTGGCTTATTTATTTACTATTGAATACTTTTTTTTATAAACCAAAGTTAGTTTTCTTTGTTTAAATCAGAGATTGATATAAGCCATCGTTGGAAACCAAAGAGTAGTTTCGTCCTAGTATGAGACTCCTCAGTAATGTACATGTACAACCCCATCATTGAGGAACAAACGGAGGATCCTCTTTTTTGAGCTTGACCACTCAACCTCCTGGTCATCATCCATTAATTAAAACTATACAAATTCTACAATCTTCACAAACTTCTCCATACTAACAAAGTCATTGTTTTTTTATAGTTGAAATCAGGAGTCAATTGAAGCTAGACTACCATGGAAAACCTGGAGGGACTGGACGACCGTTTCGTCATATTATGGGACTCCTCAGCAGTACGCATCCACGATCCCGCACTCACGATGTTCGAACCCAGGACCTACCAGTCTCAAGCTAGAGCCCTTAACCGATAAACCACTGAGCCGGCCGGCATCCAACGGTGTTAATATCTAACTTCAACTGATCCACGAAGTTGAGCAACCGTTCACCAATTGTCTTCAGTGAGTTGATATCTCTACAACAGATGTGGTTGAACTCCACTGGTTGACTCCCACTGGAGTTCCATAATAGGACGAAACGGCCTTAGAGCAGTGCTTCCAGATTTTCCATGTTGGTTTAGCTTCAATTGACTCCTGATTTCAACTATAAATATACTGAAATATCCACAAAACCCCCTTTTGATCTAAAGTCATTGTTGTCATCATTAGTTAATTAACTTGCAATTCTACTTTACTAATTCATATTTCTATTCTTCATTTAATTTATATGTATCGTTATGATAGATGGTATTTGCTACTTCCGTGTATCAGCTGTCAATGATGCTGGAAAAGGTTCACCATCTAATATCATAAATGTCGATGTGAAGAAAGGCTCTGGTAAGTATTTATTTATCTTACAAATAAGTATTTAATATAATATCAGATTTGTTATAATAAAATCAGCAAATGACTGTTATGACAAAAATTAATAAAGAAAATTGATCTGATCTATTGGACAGAGTCAGTCAAGGTTTACATGAATTACTTACTTACTTACTTACCTACTAACGTCTGTTACCCCTCGTGGAGGAGCATGGGCAGCTCATCAGCATTCTCCATCCAACTCTGTCCTGGGCAATCCTTTCCAGTTCTTTCCAGTTAACATTCATCCTATTCATATCTGCTTCTATTTCCCAATGTAATGTGTTCTTTGGCCTTCCTGTTTTCCGCTTCCCTTCCGGATTCCAAGTTAGGGATTGCCTCATGATGCTTATTAATACTCACTACTAAGAGAGAACTATCATAATGCACGATATGAGAACTTACCTTCATATGAAATACACAAAGACTATTGGCATTATATAATACTTCAAATATTTCAGATTTTACAATTATATAATCTTCTTCTATTCGTAAAGATAAACCTGATCAACCAGGTCAACCAACTGTGGAAGTAATTGCAGATGGTGCTGTTCAATTGCGTTGGTCACAACCATTAAATGAAGGTACTGGTGGACCGATAAAAGGCTATGAAGTACAAATTTGTGAAGTTGGTTCAATTAAATGGAAACCTACTTCATCTGATTTATGCTCAGAGAATGAAATTCGTTTAACTGGGTTAAATCCAGCACAAGATTATTTATTTAGAGTAGTTGCAGTTAATGATGCTGGATTAAGTTTACCATCTGAACCCAGCAGACCTATTCGTCCAGGTGAGTTATGATTACTGATTAATATGTCTGTGCAGATATTTTTGATTTTCAATCAGTAAAGTAGGAAAACCTGTACACTGTAGACATTTTAACTCAATGATATACTGGAGTAGTAAATCTCATGTAAAACTTAGAAACAGTCTTTAGATGGTGGAGAAGATTCGTAGCTCATGTGGGTGATTTTGATGTAGGTTTGTTCTCTGAACTGGATGGTTTGGTCGTGGAGCTTTCATCGTCCTTCTGAATGACACCATCAGCACAAACTTCGGGTCAATAAGAACTAATCAACATCGAGATGCACAGGACAAGCTGTGAATCACATGTGGAAAAATTCAAACACTTCACTTCTACCCGAAGTTTGTGCTGATGATGTCGTTCAGAAGGACGATGAAAGCTCCACGACCAAACCATCCAGCTCAGAGAACAAACCTACATCATAAACAGTCTTTGAATTTGACAGTAGTTAATGTTATTAGGACGATTTCAACATACTAATCTGATAAAGGATTCTATTCTGTATACGTCTGTCAAGCATAATCATTTGAGTAAATAATTCATGTCAACAAGCGGTATTACTTCGGCTTATACTACTAGTTGTTCAGATTTATGTATGAAAAGAGCGGAGATATTTACTTTGTTATCGTAATCAACTGCGATACTCCCTGTTCAATGTCTTAACAAATCCACTAATAAATATCAGAACTGAAGTCAGTGAAAGATTGTATCGCTCCAAGTAATAAACTAAATTATTTATTCTTAATACAGTAATGTTTATGCCATTAAGACTAATATGTATCTTAATGGCTAAGATACTTTAATCACTATATTAATCACAGCCTACCAGCTATTTGTCAATCACATAAGGCCTTCATACCAAGTCGGCTTGCATACAGTTCCCATTTCAAGTTCTATCGTAATAGTTAAAAAAACCTATCTACTTTCAGCTTCTCCATCTCGATGAATGAAATATATCGAGTACCAGTATTCATTCATTTGGTTATCATCGATGTTTCATGAGTATTCATATAGTGTTAAGCAGATCCATAATGGTTTGAAATCTAATAATTTAACATTACTGTTTACATACCATCAAATTCTGTTGGCTCTTGTACTAATAACTGAACTTTATGTAGACTTTTCCTATGTTTACATTTAATAAGTTCATATAGCTATGGCCCTTTATGATGTCAGGAGTTTCGGAAAAAAATCCAGTAGATTCAACTATAGGTCTTCTGATGTACATCGTCTTCTCTACAAGCATATTCTATTCGATAGCCGTGCTGAAGCTTTTGTTCAGTTGTCAGGAGAATAACATTATGATGTGACCTCCTTTTTGCCTAAAGCACGATCTCTATTATCTACACGTTCTCCTGGATACTGGGCTTTCAGAATACATACATGAGGAATGGTTTACATCATTAATAATTTATATCGGTTCAATTAACTGCATTCAGTGGTAACTTCTAACTAATTTATTATAACCTCAGTCTTACTTTAACATTAACTTAGGCCTTGATTTTGGTTCCACTTAAGAGACCTTAGCTTTACAAACTCCTATGCCAGTAAGAACGCGATCATTGTAGAGTAAAATAGCATAACAGTATTGTTATATCTAGAGCTTTGATTCTTACCATGCCGCGTACTACTAGACTAATCTCATGTATTTATAGTTTTTTGGCTGGGAGTAAATCATCATTTCGGACAAACAATAAGCACATAGGGGGTCATTCTTATCCATCCAATAGGGAAGCTACACGTCGACATTCTAGAATATTCCCCTAGCAGTGATTGGATTGAATGTCTTCGGCCTTCTCTGGGCTTCTTGAGGCTTCCTAGAGTTTACCAACGAGCCATCCTTACAAGTATTATCCGGTGAAGTTAAAAACAATCGTTATAGATTGTACTTTTATCTTAGCCTTGTCAATACTTATCAAATTATAATCGGATTTTTATTGTACCTTAATACTGGTGTGAATGAATACTTGATTACTTCTCGAATTAACCTTAATGAATAAACATTTAATATCAGTTATTTGTTTATGTTTAACTGTTAAGGCATTAAAGATGGATAAAGGACAATTTTATTTTTGAACTTTTAGCTACTGATGTGGATTTTGTTCGTCAGTTGGAGAATCAATCTATTACAGAGTTACCATCTGATGTTGTATTTGAATGTGAACTCTCTCGTCCTGGTATGACATTGATATGGTCTAAAGATGGACGTGATATAAATTTATCATCACGGTGTGTGTATAACGTTATTGGAGAAGGTGATAAAGCTTTTTGTATTCATCGACTAACTCTAATAAAGGTTAGTCCAGATGAACAAGGTGTATATAGTGCGAGATTAGTAACTGGAAAAAAAACTGAAGCCATATTGACAATTGAATGCCCACCAAAAATACTATATGATGGACCATTAGAAATACAATTACTTAGTGGCAAAAGTACAGTGATTGAAGTACCATATACTGGTGCACCATTCCCAGACGTCAATTGGTCATTTAATCACGGACCATTAACGATTGGAGCAAAACGTGAATCTCCTATTGCATCAGTAGATACAGTGTATGGATTAACATGTTTGCGTCTGCGTCATGTTACAGGCGAAATTACTGGAAATTACAAACTTTTGGTAAGTCATACAGTTTATTTCTTTCTGGTCGGAATGTATACATATAATACAAAAATCTTTGGTTCTAAAACTGATACTTTTTTTCTTATAGATAAGTAATGAGCTGGGAAAGGCAACTTTAGAACTTATTGTGAAAGTTCTAGATGTTCCAGGACCTGTTCGTCAATTGAAGGCAACAGTTCAAAACCAACCGTCTGGTACTGCATTACTCACATGGCAAGCACCAAAAGAGGAGGGTGGTTCACCAATACTTGGTTATCTTGTCGAAAAACGTGAAGCAAATAAACGTAGTTGGACACCATTTGGCTCTCAAGTTAAAGAATTAAGCTGTACAGTTGATGGTTTAACGACTAATACAGGTTATTTCTTCAGAGTTATGGCTCGAAATATATCAGGCTGCTCTGAGCCAACAGAAACCGATATATCAGTAGTCATACCATGTTTAACAAGTGAGTTTCTAGTTTTTCAAATAAATTTTATAGTCTATTTAAAAATTTTATCAGTTCTAACGTCCAATAGATAGTCTTGCTGAGATATGACTAAAAGTAGAAAATAATCTAACGTATTGATAAGATGTTTTTAGCTGCTTGTATTCATTGTAGTGATCTTAATAGCTGAATTCACAAGTCGATCTAAGATAGACCACCATTGAAAATCTGTAATGACTGAACGGCCGTTTTACCCTAGAACTGGACTCTTCAGCAATGCGCATCCACGATTCCGCACGTCCAACTCGAAGCCAGGACCTTCGGTCTCGTGCGCGAACACTTAACTCCCAGACTATTGAAAAATAATTCAATTAAGTCCATATAAACTCTAAAACAATATAAATGTAACAATACAAATAACATTCATGTGCAAACCAGATTATATTGGTATATATATGTGTTACGTCCTTGATCGGTCTACCCACTTTTGTGCCGAGTATAACTTGTCTAATCTAGATTAAGACCTCGATGCGATAGGCTGACTGGCTAAACCTTGAGGCTAATATGCGTGAGTTCGGAGTGCAGGTAGAGAGACAAAAACGATTCTATCCCTGATTGGCTGACAAACACGCGAGAGAGAGAAGACAAGACAACTGGAACACTATTCGCTTTATTCCAATCCCGATTTGATACCCTAATTCCGAAATCAGGTTAGTGTAAAAAGATACATGTATAAATAGATGACTAACCCGACGACAACGTACAATAATCAGGAAAATACAATGATTGTTGAAAGCGTGAGTCAATTGAAGCTAGACCACCATGGAAAACCTGGAAACACTGGACGGCCGTTTCGTCCTATTATGGGACTCCTCAACAATGATAAATACTAAATCTCCACAAAACCACTTCTATAATTAAATACAATGATGTCCAAAACTGGGGAATTACAGTAGAAAATAGAGTACAAAAGGTTGCGTCTAAATTACAATAGCTTTGGAACGGAAAAGGCTATGGCAGTGAATCATACATCAAACGAAAGCTTATGATCTGTAGAATAAATTAGGGACAAAAGTTAGTGATGCCGAAAAAAATCAATAGGTATAAATCATACATTGAAGACCTGGAGGCACTGGATGGCCGTTTCATCCTAGTATGGAACTCTTCAGTAGTGCTCATCCACTATCCTATCCTAGGACGAAACGGCTCTATAGTGCTTCCAGGTTTCCAATTGTGGTCTAGCTTACATCGACTTATGAATTCAGCTATTAAAATCACTACAATATTGACAAACCCCCATTCTAATAATAAATCATACAGTTATATAAATTAGTTAAAGAAGGCAACCGATTCTACCAATATACCTATTACCTTTTACTATATATTCTGTCAGTCCGTGAGCTAAATTCATTATAGGGATTGTCTGTTGTAGTTAAAACAAACTTGTATGATTTGTCTTGTAAATTACCAATGATCAACTATTATCAAGTATAATTTTTTGAATAATTTTATATGCGACATTAGGTGTAAACTCATCCACAACTACTCATGACGGTTGAAGAGTAGAAAGGATCTTGAATCTATTGTCAAATTACATCTCAGTGGATCTTGATTTTTAATCAACATATTGTAGTTGAAAGCGTGAGTCAATTGAAGTTAGATCACCATGGAAAACCTGGAAACACTGGACGGCCGTTTCGTCCTATTGTGGAACTCCTCAGCCGTCCAGTGCTTCCAGGTTTTCCCTAGTGGTCTAGCTTCAATTGACTCACGCTTTCAACTATGAAAAGAAAAACTAAATCTCCACAAAAACCCCCTTCTGACAACATATTGTAGTTGAATAACTAGTTACAAATAGTTCCATTACTTTTCTTCAAACATGTCATGAAGTGTTTCCAGTTAACCATATTCACTTGACATGAATTTGTTGTCGAGGATTTCCGGATAGTAGATGAAACCTGAAGTTGGAATGAAAATATACCTTCGGTGATATCGAATAAACGGAAAATCATCCAGGTTGAGGAAGCATCGAATACACCTAGTTTGTGGAAGGTATTTATTGTCTATATCTGATCTGTGGGACTTTGAATCAACTTTTATAGTAATTTTAAACTTTATTAAATTAAATGGTAGACGTACAGATACTCCTTAAAAGTATAAATAATTAATTATAAAACAACATTTTTGTGGTGTATTTCTTCTTGTTGAAAATCATTTGATTTATCTTATAATATACAGAACCTCCATCGGCTCCAGGGACACCAGAAGCAAGTGATATTGGTACGGATTCATGTCGAGTCAGTTGGGAACCACCCAGTTCTGATGGTGGTGCTCGACTGACATTTTATCATTTAGAGAAAAGAGCAAATCTTAAAGGTAATTGGGTAAGAGCTTGTGCGGATAAATTACCTATTTTGGCGAATGAAGTAAAATCTACCTATGTGACAAAAGTAACTGGACTCGTACCAGATAATGTCTACGAATTTCGTGTAGCAGCTGAAAATGCTGATTTCATGGTTGGTGAATACTCGAATTCAAGTCATAGAATTTCAACTCAGCTACCATTCTGTAAGTATTCACTTATAACATTTGTTTTCTATGAAATATGGTGAAATGTCTATTCCTATAGCTATCGAATGAGATAAATGATGCTATTTACAGGTTTAATAACATTTTCTTCAGCGATCAGGAGAGTGTTTGCCTAAGTGTAAGTATAAGGCCTTCAGAGTATGACCGATAAAACTTGCTCCACAGAAGTGATTAGAAAGATGTGATATGACTGGATAAGATGACATTATTTGGGTCAATATTTTTTTATGCCAATCCATTAGGAATTTCGACCAGGATGGAAGGTGCGAAGTTCATTCCGTATAACATTTTGAGGTCAATATTTTCTTGCATCATTTCAGGATAAACTTTGTTCTTTATGGCAAATTGACGTGTAATTGGTGTAGCACGGGGACAATATCACAGATAACGACTGTATGTATGACTGTATGACTGTATGTATTCCGCCCCCCCCCTTAGGTCATATCATTAAAAAAATTGGTTTATAAATAGAGTTAAGCGAAGAAAATTTCCTGTTGACCACCTCCAACCACCACCTTACCTCAATATACATAGTGCAAGCAGTGTCGAGCCACCTAGACTGGTGGTCACATGGCAACTCGATCGATAGCATTCGATCAGCACTAAGAAGGACCTGACACGCATGAGATTGATCACCACCCAGTGATCAATCAATTGTGAAGAAAATTTCCATTTTGACGAAACCAGTCGCTTAAGCTATGCATTTGTATCTACGGTTGTTTGGCTAATAGAAAAATAGACAACATTGCATCATAAAGTGATTCGAGATTTAAAATATCAAAAGGGGTTACATAATAATCCGGGGATTAGGAAAGACTAGGAGGATAAAAATAATTTACGGGTCAGAATTATGAGAGATAATTGTCCACTTGACACGTATGAAAAAAACGAAAAACGTAAAGGACATAGTAACTATTTAATCATCATTAGAAGTTGTTAGACCATGTTAATGGCTGGTTACAGTTTAAAACTACAGAACAAGACTAAAACATACCACATAAGGGAATCAGCGTCAAGGAAGGATGAGCGGTTGGACATATCGGTTTTGCGTTTTGTGTAGATTACTATGAAGGAAGACTCATTTGGACCGACGTGTCTAGAGTAGATCAGGTGTTCTGTTATTGAACCGGTGATCATTTTGCATTCTCCTTTTCAAAGCCACAGCTTAAGTAAATGATTGTTATCGAAAAGAAAATTCTCTTCTCTGAATTCTCTTTATTTTAATTCAATGACACTATGGGTTACTTTAGTATATAAAAGATTGTACTGTGGTTTTAGTTACTGTGATTTCAATGTGAGTTAGAAACTTGTTTGTAGACGTGCTTTTTGAGAGTCTATAAATCTTCATTAACCAGTTTTTCGTGTTCGCGCTCTTACGTCATGGAAATTGTGGTAGTTGCCATCTAAAAGTATATGGAATAGGCTTGAGGAATTGCAATAGTTTCCAATTTTCATATAAAAGAAGTAAGACTGTAGACTGAACATAGTCGATACGTACATAATGACGACGACTTCTCAGATATAACAGTTAGCTACCCAGTTAAAACAATCCCGACAGATGAATCTCTCAGTTATAACAGTGACGAATTTTGAATACATTTCATAGCCTAACATTGGTATCTCATTCTTGTTTTTTTTCAATCGTAAGATTTATCTGAATTTATTAATATTTGAATAATTTGTTGTTATAATGACTATCTAATCAATCTATTCATTTTAGCTGTACCGGGTAAACCTTCAAGACCTGAAATTCAGAATATTACAGAAACAACTATTGGTTTAGCTTGGAAAGCACCATATGATGATGGAGGAGATTCAGTGAAAAAATATGTTGTTCAATATAAGGTAAGTTTGGCATAATGTAATAAACAGGGTTACTGAAGTTTAGATATTTTCTCTGGATAATTTAGATACCTTACGTGAATATTGTTATACACATGTGAATGTAGTTACCATCGGTAAGACATGTTGTTACAATCTCATGAGAAATCATCATTTTTAATGTAACTGCAACATTCTTGGGTGGGGGGGAAGTGATATCTGAGTTACAAAGATGATTGATGACATCGGTCTTCAATAGCATGAACTAATCTCTAATGTCTACAGTATATTTCTACACTCCGATACATTAACGTGTATTCGTATATACCTTTGTATCCCATCATCCTTGACTTCTGGTTTGATTGGCTTTAGAACTGTTGTATTAGAACAGGCTTCGAACAGTAGCGTAGACAAAAACACTGCATATCCGTGAAATCTTCACTGTCATATGTCTATATATTATATTCAAATAATTTCAAGTTAGTAGCACAGATTCTTTTGTTCCAAGAGCCAGCTGCCTTTAATGATTCATTCCTTAATAACTAGCGGATGATGAGTTCTAATACATAAGAAACCGTTTCCGACCACATGTAATGTTACTTAGGATTATTTCAATTACTTTAAGAAAAAAGATTGTTATTGAATGATGGAAAATTTGTTATTTATTCATCATTAAAATCGAGTAAATTCCACGTTGTAGAGTCTGATATTCAAATCGATATCATTGAATGATCATTTGGTCAAACTTTATCACTGTTGATACAAGTAAATGTGACAAATAATAAACTATTGGAGAAGTGAAATGTTTACTACAAAGCCAAATTCATTTCATTTTAAAGACCGGCTACAGATTCCCTCATCGGAATCGTAGATGCGCACTACTATCAATATTGGAGTCGTATACAAACAACAAAAGAACAATATCTTTTATGATCTGTAATATACTAGTTAGTACTGATGGTTGAAGTCTTGCTTAGGACTACCAGGTACTACGTAATTCAATTGTTTAAAAACCCGATTACCAAAGCGATAGGAGGTTTGTCTAGAAAGTTGATTTATGGACTGTATATGTACACTAAACAAGCGTAAGGATACTAAGAGTGTAGTACATTTATTTTTATTCATTTTATTTTCATATTTTTATATCTTGTAATGTTATTATGTAGACTACATCATCAAATGAATGGAAAACAGTCAGTGAAATGCCCGTTGATCTGGAATTTACTGTAGCTCATTTACAATCAAATGAACAATATGAGTTTCGTGTAGCAGCTATCAATTCAGCTGGTCAAGGACCATGGTCTGATACATCAGAACCATGTAATCCAGCTAAAGCTATCGGTAAGTATATAAATATGTTTATTTACCTATTGTGGTTGATGAGGTTAAGAATCTTCATAGACAGAGATAGTTGTGTCACGTTTTACGTATGTCTGAACGCCTATCACCACGACTCTCAATGCTGAATAGTGTTAAACACGCTTGAAAAGAAGTTAGGAGCGGCCAAACCAAAACGTAGCATTAGTCCTTGAGGTCACTAACTTCTAGTTTGAGCCATGTTGGTAAATGCAGACTACTTGGTTGGGATCTGCGTGACTATCATAACAAGTGGTTAGAGACTCTGGGTGACATGGCTCAAAATCGATCACAATGACGTGGGTGCATACACTCTTTGTCTTCCCTTAAACTGTGAGGTTAAAATTACTTCATACCTTTCTTTCTACTAACTAATTCTTTCTTCCTGTATTATATCCTTATATACAATCTTTCTTTTATATATTACTACCATTGAAGTAACTCCTTTTATGAATTCGGTGTTCATCTTGTTGTGCTAATGAAGTATGGCAACTTGGACCGATGCATTTATGTGCCTGGTCCTACGTTGTAGCTGACTGACTGACTAAGTTTACAAGCTTCCTGTACGTATTGTCTAATAGTTCAACTCAGAACATGTATTTAATTGCAATCCAAAAAACGTGAAAAATTAATGATATATTACTGGTAATATTGTTTATAAGCCGGGAGGGTTTATTTCCTAATTCTGTTACTAACACTACTGTAGTGAATAGAACACCGGTTAGGGATAAATTTAGACACAAATTACAGATTCTCTGACTGAATTCTGATATCCATACAGCAAACAGTCAATTTGCAAAATAACAACCAATTGTCTCAATCTTCACTGTTCCTTCTGTAAATATCAGTTCATCGTCTCTAATTCGATTGTTCATGCATTTTCCTACCAATTGTGCTTCATTTCAGTTTTTTCCTCATCGGTCTTCTGCCAAAATACATTCTATGTCTGACCATCGTAATATACTATTTATATCGGTATAAGTAGACGACACCACACTTGTCCCCCTTTAAAGCACCATACCACACTACAATTAAAAAGATATGTATAAGTTACTTGATGTAGACTTGATTTTCAGCTATGAAATGGTTACTTTACGTGACAAGATTTGGATCTTTGTGTGTGGTTTAAGAATGTCAAGTGTCAATTCATAGAAAAACCTTTTTTAAAAAAAAATTTTTGGTTAAATGAATGGAGAAAAAAAACTTCAATAAATGCAAACAGATTTTATGCTGACAAATTCCTCACTGTATTATCAGTACAAAAATCAAGGATGTTGTTATGTCCTTATGCTTTGCGAATATCTTACGTGACTTATGGTCAATTAGAACACCAATTTATTGACCAGACCCAACGATGCATAAACCAGTACAAGTAACCCAAAGTCAACTTTCAGTTCTCATAGATTCTTGTCTAACCCAGTCGGTTCAGTTCCGACTGTCAATGTCAGCCTCCACTATAAGAATCCTGTATTTCAGACACACAAAGTTTATCTACAAACAGATCAGATTCCATCATACCATCAAATAGAAACTAACAGTTATGTAAGATCAAGCCCAAAAGTAGCCTTAGTGTGAGAGACTGTAACTAATAAATTGGAAATAAATTAAGAATAGTAAATCGCATAATAGTAATCAGTAGATCAAATGGCAGCTCATAATAAGATGAATGTGAATACGCATATAATATAGTTACTTAATAGTTATACTATAAGTATATGTATAATAACAGTCCATAAATAAGTCCTAGCAGTTATCATTCACTTATCCTTCATCTGGATATAGTAGATATTTTCATAGTTGCAAGCGTGAGTCAATTGAAGCTAAACCACCAAGGAAAACCTGGAAGCACTACTGTAAGGCCATTTCGTCATATTGTGTGACTCCTTAACAGTGCGCACCCACAATCCTGGGTCCTAGGTTCGAATCTCACAAGGAGGGATCGTGGATGCGCACTGCCACTGAGGAGTCCCACAATAAGACGAAATGGCCGTCCAGTGCTTCCAGATTTTCCCTGGTGGTCTAGCTTCAATTGACTCACGCTTGCAACTATGAAAATACTAAATCTCCACAAAACCCCTTCTGATTATAATAGATATATTTTGATATACTTCAACAATGCGTTTTTTTTCTTCTTTAAATCATTAACTATAATCTATATATTTTATGAATCTATTAAATTCTAGAATCTTCTAAACCTTCATTAGTCAATCCTTTAAGTAATGTAACAGTATTAGTTGGTCAGTCTGTGGAATTGAATTGTGATTTTCAATTAGGTGAACCAAAAGGAAATGTTACTTGGTAAGATAAAGATTATTAAAACTATGCAGTATATATTGTAAACAATTATTTTTCAATAATTTAATTATAAATAGTTGAAATCATGAGTCAATTGAAGCTAGATCACCTCGAAAAACCTGAAAGCACTGTACGGCCGTTTCATCCTATTGTGGAACTCTTCAGCAGTGCGCAGTCCTGAAAAAACAATGGGAAGATACAAGCAAACAATACCATGTGAATTTCTGTATGGGTGTTTTTTCAGCAAATCTAATTCTTTACCTTATACAACTTTTACATAAGAGCACAAAAGGCTGAGTAGAGCCCAATCGTATGACCTGTTTTAATCGTGACTGATAATGAAAGAAGGTGGGTGCTGATTATCCGTTGCATCGATCTTAACACATATTCAGCCAACCTCAGGTGTAAATCATGATTAATTCTCCTTATGTATATGCGTGTCCTCAAAAAAACACGAAAATTTGGAAATAACGCAATTATTTACATGCTGTTTGGGTTTCTTGAGAAATATGGACATGTTTCGTAGGTATCAGAAACATAGTAGGTCTCAGAATACTGAGGCCTTTCCATCGTCTTGTGAATATAGGTGTAAATCCGTTATCTACTAATGTTTTGTTTAACACCTCCTCCTCTTCAAAAGTTTCATCTATACAGATACAGTTCATCCTGTAAAATAGACCCTTTATTAAATGTCGGTTGTATTGAGATGGACAATAACTAGGAGAACTAAAGTACTGCTTTGTCTATGTAGATTGTCTATAGATAGTTTGGTTAGTTAGCTATGAAGTGATAGGGCTTTAAAATACTGATTATTAAATGGAACTATTTACCTTTTTTATACTTCATTAAAATTATGAACCGATCTAAGGCAGACCAGCAATGAAAACCTATAAGCACTGGGTGGCTGTTTCGTCCTAGTATAAGACTCCTCAGTAGTGCACGTCCTCGACCTCGCAAGCGGCAGTCAAACATAAGAACTTCGTGTGCGAACTGTTTGGGTTGTGTTAGCCTCTTTACATAAATAAACTTAGCATATGAATCGAGCATAAAAATCATGTCATTTTTTCACAGTACCGAAATATAAGGATCTAAACGAATAAAGATAAAGGAAATATTGTTCATAGTATTTGATAGATTATCACTTCTTTTTTTAGGTTTAAAGACGGCAAACCAATAAGAAGTCAAGTCAAGTATTCAACAAGTTCAGCATGGGAACGCAGAGCCAATTTAAAAATAAATCGTACTAAATTAGAAGATGCTGGTGTATTTAGTTGTGTAGCAGAGAATCCATCGGGTAAAGTTGAAACAACATGTCGTGTAATTGTAGCTCAAAAACCTATTTTGAATCTTGAATTAGATAAATCTGCATCAAGTAATGTAAGTGGAATTTTAAGTAAATCAGATCACTTAACTGGTAGAGTCGGTGGTTGTTTAGTACTGAAAGCTACTTGTGAAGCTTTTCCAGATTGTGAATCTATAATATGGTTTATCAAAGGAAAACAAGTGGATTCAAGTTTAGATTCAGAATTATTATCTCGTGTAATAGTTAATGATACACCTACAAGTCGAATTTCAAATGTACCTAAACCTCAAGTTTCCATACTAACTATCAGTAATTTACACCTTTCGGATGCTGGCGAATATGGATGCAGTTCAGTAAACGAAGTAGGATCTGCTCAATCTGCTATAAAATTAATTTTAAATGATCGTCCACAACCGCCAATGTCTATTGAAGTAGTTGAAACTCGTGGTCAAGACTGGATAGAGGTTAAATGGGAAAGACCATCTAGTGATGGTGGTTCAAAATTGACACGATATATTATTGAACGTCGTGTTATTGCTGCTTCGACTTCTGGCGATCGAACTACATCAATCCATGAAACAAATTGGTCTAATGCTGGTCAAGCTGGACCATATGATGATCATTTACGAATACAAAATTGTAAACCTGGAACAGTTTATTCATTCCGTATTTTTGCTGAGAATGAAATTGGTATGAGTGATCCAACGGAGATTGAATCACCTTATCAAATGAAATTATATACAGGTAAATATATATCAAGTGGTCACTTCATTGGAATGTTTACTTTGGGTACAAGAAATAATTTTTAGATCTAATTTTACATAATGATAAATCTATGCAGGTTGCTTGAATATAACTGTTACGTCCTTGATCGGTCTACCCACTTTCATGCCGAGGATAATTTTTCTCATGTAGTTTAAGACCTCGACGCGATAGGCTGACTGGTTTAACCTTGAGGCTAGTATGCGCCAGTTCGAAGGGGGGTAGAGAGACGAGAACTATTCTATCGCCTGATTGGCTGACAGGCACGCGAGAGAGAGAGAAGACAAGACGACTGGAACACTACTTTATTTATTCCCAATTTCTGATCAGTGTAAAAGGATACATGAATAAATAGATAACTAACCCGACCAAAACGTACAACAATTGGGGAGATCCAATCATGTTCAAAACTGGGGGATTACAGTAGAAAATAGAGTACAAAAGATTACATTTAGACTACAATAGCTTTGGAACGGAAAAGACTATGGTAGTGATGTTCTTTGTTAGATTAGAGAACTGACATGTGTATGAAGTATGTAGCAAACTTCATTAATTGTATTAAGTTTCACTTTCTACCACCTGTGTATGGATCCGTTTAACTAAGTTAATGTAGTGTGTGTCCTCAGTCTTACTCACTGAAGACTTCCTTATTAGATATCACGTAAAGCATGTCAAATTTCAGGAATGGATGTTATTTACCTTGAAGACTATTTGAAAACTGAGAAAATGAGTCCTACTGGCTCTGATTTACTTTACTGATACACCTATGAACTTACCAATGCACACAAAATATTACGAAGTAACCAGACATTTATTAACGGGTATCATGTATGTTACGGTATAGTCTACAGTTTGTCCTAGTCATGAATCCAAAGATACGAAGGAAACTATTATCGGTTTAATTAGAAGGTACAATTTTTGTTTACCTTAAATTGATTTAGCCATTTAAGTGGAGATAGATTTGATTATGACTTTAGGTTCCACATAATAACAACACTTGTTTACCGAGTGATCAACAAGGAGATGAGTGTTAAGAACTGAATTGATATTGATTGCCAATTAGGATTAGAGTTAGCACACCTCAGACAATTAGTTACTTCCATACAATATGTAAATGTTTGTATCCCACAAATAATGGAATCCTAGGTCGATCGGATAACAATGAGCTGATGTAACAAAATAATATTACATACTGCAAGCCAATCGTTATTCAATTATCCAAGCTACGTTTCATATTCCAAGAGTGGATATCAGTTAGTATGCTAGAAACTAAAGTCAACTGTATATCCGTATAGTTTTTGTATGCAATATTGATCATGGGTCTCAGTCCAGTCGACATTAGAAACTATAAATCGAAGGACAGTTGTTTCGGATTAATAAAGGACTTCTCGAAATGATACACCCACTGCTTACGTAATTAGGTTATTAAGAGTGTACAAGTAAACAAAGGTTGTTTATATGTCTTTTAGGATAGTTTCAAATCAACAATGGATTATCTTTACATCTAAGATTCCTTTCTGTATTCCCGTTTAGATATACCATTACCTCCGACTCATGTCACAGCAGAACGTTCATCACCAAGAGAAGCTAAAATTCAATGGCGTCCACCTATTAGTAATGATGGTGATTCTATTCAAGGTTATATGGTTGAATTACGTGAAACACCAGATCCAAAAGGTCAATATACATCAAGATGGACACAAGCTAGTCCGAAATTAATACGATCCGGTACTACCTTAAAAGTTGATGATTTACACCCTGATATGTTTGTTCAATTCAGAGTTCGCGCTCGCAATCCAGTTGGATTTAGTGAACCATCTGAACCATCTGATTGGATTGAGCCTATACAAAAAAGTAAATTCATTATTCTCACTTTAATTACACCATTTTTTTTGGAAAACCATTTTTTCAATTATGGGGGATTTTTGGAGATAGTAGAATTTTCAGAGTTTGAATCACGAACTGATCTTAGCTAAATCACCATTCAAAATCTCACAGCACTGGACAACTGTTTCTTCCTAGTATAAGGCTCTTCAGTAGTGCATATTCACGAACCCATGTCCAGGAATTGAACCTAGAACCTTTGTAACTATTAGTTGCGTAAGTTGCTAAATATGATTTACATAATCATTTTGAATGATATTATTTCAAAGGGCAAGAAATATTTCTTCTCCTTATCACCTGAATGAAGAACTGACAAAAGCTAAAATAATGTTTTAAAAGTAATGGCTATCTAGAAGAATTCATAGATAAATTCTACTATCATCGATCAGGTTTCATAGCCTGTAAATTGGATACAACATACTTCTTAACTAAACAGTAATCTGTCGGTTAAGTGCTCTGGAGTGAGACTGGTAGGTCCTGGTTTCGAATCTCACGAGGTGAAGTCGTAGATGCGCACTTCTGAGGAGTCCCACAACAGGACTAAACGGTCGTCCAGTGCTTCTAGGTTTTCCATGGTGGTCTAGCTTCAATTGACTCACGCTTTCAACTATAAACAATAGTCATTTGATGTGAGTATTAACATACACTAAACGCTTATCTTATTGTAAAGAAATTGGTTATCTTCGAAACGAATAGTTTAAAAATATACTTGAGAAGATCCTGATTCCTATGTAGACTGTTTAAACTTCACATCTGAAAAGTAATGAAAAGTATACATTTATTATTTTTTTGACATTTTCTAGAACCTCGTGAAAGTATCGATGAATCAGCGCGTAAAAAAGACGACACTATGAAATTACCGAAAGATGATAAATCACCTTTAGATATTGTACAAGAAGTAATTGCACTTAAAGAAGCTAGTCGTCCAAAGAAAACGATTGTTAAAGGTTAGTAATACTATATTTCCAGTTTTCGTATATTCATTTAACCTATGTGTAATAAGTTTGATTAATTAAAAAGTTGATTTCCAAAAAGATGTGATGATATCAATCTAAACTCAATAATCTCCACAACCCCTGTACTGATAATCATCATGTGCTCACTAGTGATTAGCTTCAAGATAGATTTCCTGAAGTTCTAGTTAGAAGTTGTGACCAATGGAGTTCAACTGGATCTGTCGTGAGGCAGTTACTCACTGAAGATAATGGTGGACGGTCGCGCAATATCGTGGATTGGTCGAATTTAGACATTAGCACAGTTGGATGCCGGCTAAGTGATCTAGAGGCTGAGCGTTCTCGCGCGAGATCGAAGGTCTTGGGTTTGAATCTGGCATAAGGGATTGTGGGTGATCACTGTTGAGGAGTCTCATACCAGGAAGAAACAGTCGTCAAACAGCGCTTCCAGGTTTTCAATGATGGTCTAACATCAATCCATTCATGATATCAATCTAAGCTCAAGTAAATCATTCACATTGTATTGAATAAAAATTCCGAATATTTCAATTGTAACTGATTTACTGTATGACTAAATAAAACTTTTCATTAGATTTACCATATTACTTTAGTTCTCACTCCTGATTATATAATCTGGTAGATTTATTCAATAGTAATGGTTAACATTGTGCCAACTGCGACAAACACTACATCTGACAAAGCGGATGCCCCCTTCATCTTCGCCTGCATGAACATCAATTAGCAGTCAAACGCCACGACATTTCTTCACTCATATCAATACACGTGGACAACTACGAACATACATTCGACTGGAAAAATGTGGAGATTTTGGATAGTAGCAATTCCAAAAACACCACAGAATTTTTAGAAGCTTGGCACTCAGGTCAATTAGCAATAAACAAGCACATTGAAATCAATACAATTTATCAACCAAACAAGAAAATTATGCAGAAACATAGGAACAAAAATCAAACTAATAGGAGATATAACCAAAACAAAGAAATAAACAATGACAGATTTAAGGTCAATAAGAACCAATCAACATCAAGGTGCACAGGACAAGCTGTGAATCACATGTGGAGAAATTCAAACACTTCAATTCTACCCGAAGTTTGTGCTGATGATGTCGTTCAGAAGGACGATGAAAGCTCCACGACCAAATCATCCAGCTCAGAGAACAAACCTACATAGTGTTTCATTCAACTTTAAATAGTTGAATGCCTTTAAAAGATGGTTTTATTTGCAGTATTTAAACGAAGAATTAGTTTCATCATACCTTTTTTTCTAATATTGTATTCTAGATGCACCTCGAATACAGCTTATCAATGAAGATACTTATCGTTTAAGACCAGGGAATAATTTACGTGTCGGTGTACATATTGATTCTGGTTCCAAAGCTAGTGTAGAACTTTTGACAGCAAGTGGACAACCATTACTTGGGAATGCACTTGGAAGAACTCGTATAGAACAATTTGGAGATGATTTCTATGTGAATTTACGTAATATCAATCTGTCTGATGCTGGTACTTATTGTATAAAAGCAATAAATACAGCAGGTGAAAGTAATCAATTAATTCATTTAATTGTTCTCACTGAACCACTTCCACCAAAATCTCCATTAATAGCTAAAGTAATTGAAAGTCCTAAAGGATACTCTGAAGGTGCAACAGTTGAACTAACATGGGGACCATCACCATTGCGAGATGATGAATCACCAGAACTTACTTCACCAGTATTAGGATATTGCGTTGAACGACGTGAAGGTCAACGTCGACAACAATTTAATTATCCTATTCGTTTGATTGGTTCAGATAAATTATCTGTAAAAATACCAGATTTGAAACCAGGAATTGAATATGTTTTTCGTGTCAGTTCATATAATGATGTAGGATCTAGTGAACCAACTTATTCAGAACCACTTGTCATTAAATCTCCATATGGTAAGCAAAACACTAAACAATATTATTTTAATTAATAGATAAATTAATATCATTTTTATCAGGAGAGGTTTTGTGGATATTTAGTATTTTCATAGTTGAAAGCGTGAATCAATTGAAGCTAGACCACCATGGGAAACCTGGAAGCACTGGACGGCCGTTTCGTCCTAGTGTGGGACTCCTCAGCAGTGCACATTTTGCGAGGCGAGGCCGTGGATGCACACTGCTGAGGAGTCCCATAATAGGACGAAACGGCCATCCAGTGCTTCCAGGTTTTCCATGGTGATCTAGCTTCAATTGACTCATGATTTCAACTATGAAAATTACTGTAATCTTTTTTGGTTAACTGTTTAAAGTCTTTTATTTCGTTTTCTGTTTAGATCGAAATATCCCAACATTGTTATTGATGTTGCTACATGAAAATAATGAATAAAATGAAGTACTTTTGAAATAAATTCACCTAGTATTGTTTGTTTGAATCTTCCCATTGATGTATAGGACTGCAACTGGTCAGTCTCTAATTAGCATATGTACATCCTGTGCGTATTGCCTCGATGTGGCCTAAATTCACAAACATTGTAAGCAATGATGGATAGTGGCTAGCAGTGGAATCCAGCTGACGAGTCCAAAATAGGACGAAACGCGTACTGGATACTACTGCTAGCCACTATCCATCTTTGCTTACAATACTTTTGAAACAAGTATAGACTCTCACAATTATACTGGTGTAAAGCATGCAATCCTAGGCTGAACTATGAAATAATCCAATCACCTATACTATTGTTACGCACTTTACTAGATATCCAGTCCATTATCTTATCACCCACATGTTAAGCCAATTCAGATGAAAATACGTTATCAAACTAACTGACATGTATAGGGTTGTGGAGATTGGTGAGTTTCATTGATGGGTTTATGATTCCAACGTACATAATTATCTGTCCGCATTCATTAGCCAATCACAGCTTAGTATGACCGGACATAAACCATTTTCCCAGTAATCATTGGATTTTATGTTATCAATATTTCGACTTCTTACTGTTTTTTGTTACCAGCAACATTTTAATCAAATTAGTGACATTATTTTCAGTCGATTAAAAGATCTCTATTCTTTTTAATGTTTTGGTCAAGGTGTTCCTGATGCACCCAAAGGTCCTTTAGTTTGTTCTGATCTTACGGATTCTTCATTGAAACTTACATGGCTACCACCTGAAGACAATGGTGGTCTACCTGTGAAAAGATATTATGTTGAAATGAAAGATGTTGGTAATCCTGCTGGATGGATACCTTTGGGTACTGTATCAGCAGATTCTACTTCCTATCTGGTTAGTCGATTACAACAAGGATTCGCTTATCGATTCCGCGTGCGAGCCGCTAATGATGAAGGGCTTAGTGACTGGTTAGAAACAGATAAATCTATATCATTCCGTCGCCCGGTTACAAAACCATCTCAGCCGGAGGGACCTCTACGAATGCTGCCAGATGGAGATAGAGCCGTCCGTTTAACTTGGAATGCTCCGTTAGACGACGGTGGATCTCCAATTAAAGATTTCATAGTTGAAGTATGCCTCGATAGATCAGGAGAACATTGGCAACCTGTTGGTGAAGTGCGTGGACTAAACAAACGAATTGAAAATCTCATTCCAGATGGTATTTATAGTTTTCGCGTCAGTGCTCGTAATGAAGACAATAAAGTCGGTCCACCGCTTTATTCAGAAATCTACAAACCAGGTGCACCTATGACGCCACCTGGCCAACCAGTTGGTCCATTAAAAGCCACATGTACCGGAATCGGTCAAGTGAAATTGGAATGGCAACCTCCAATAGTTGGTGGTCAAAGTGGTTGTGGAGTTCCTGACGAGTATTTAATTGAACGCTATGAACAAAAGAAAGCACGATGGGCGTACGTAACTCGTCAAAGTGCTTCAACTGGGACAAGTGTAGTAGTAAGTAACAATTCTATTTAATAACTGTATACCTCAAATCAGTAATTTCGAAAACCTAATTAATCTAATTATAAATACTTTTTACCTAGGTCTCTAACTTGCAGCCGGGTTCCGAATGTCAGTTTCGGGTACGGGCTGAGAATAGAGCAGGGTCTGGTCCTTTCCTCGAATCCGATCGTCCGATCACAGTCATTAGTCCATTTAATCCACCTGGTCCACCTGAAGGTCCAATTAATATCTCAGAAGTTCAAATGGGTGCTAGTCGAGCGGACTGTTCTGCTCGTATTTCTTGGCGACCTCCCTTAGATACAGGTGGTTTAACACTAATTCGTTATGTGCTACAAATGCGTTATGCTAATACTCCAGGTTGGCATAGAGTGACGGGGCTTCAACGAACAATTAGTACAGATGAAATCAGTGATAAATTAGACACTGGAAAAATAGATTTGGCTACTACTTCACTTGTAACTGGTTTAATGCAAGGTCAACGCTATATTTTCCGAGTTGCTGCTGTTAATGAAGTTGGAACAGGTGCATTTTTAGAATCCGAAACATTTGAAATGCCTGAAGATGATAGTAAGTTTTAGTGGCTTGTTTTTGTCTGTTGAAAAAAAAACATGAATGCATTATATAACTATACAGATATCTGGAGCATTAATTCAACCACCATTGTTATTAGAGTATACTATTTTTCTATAGATTCTATAATATGGAAGTATTCTTCTTGGTGTGAACATTTTTGTTATCGATTTGAACATCTCCATTAGTGATGATTTGACTTTGTTGCTTATAGTCCCTGCTCACCAGTCAAATGACTTGTATACTCTATTGTATCAATTATATCATGTAAAACTCTGCTTTTGATTGTAGGAAACGCCTGTAGTGACAAATAAATTCCCAGAATGAATAGTTCTGTAAGTCTTCAACTTTGATGATATCCTCCCTAGTTTGATTGGACACACCCGTAACTGGCTGCACTCTTCCAAGCATCTGCATAAGAGGACGTTTAGGTACGCTGTGTTGTGTATCTTTTACGACTAGTCAGCTAAGACTGCATATACATTGACAAACCGACCATTTCCAAAGTATATCTTCCGAACTCTTTATCCCTGACATCTGTTTTGACTGATTTTAGGATCCTCATAATAGAAGTTTAATATAGCAGTGTTGTTAATCACTGTACGTCTGTGCCACCTTTACACTTATCGATCACCAGCATTTTATCATGAGTACCCACGAGTCCTCGGAACGACTATTGCTAAAATCAGATATAGAGTACTTTTTAAAGGTGATAAATCTGTTGATTTTGATGAATTTTATCGACTAACAGAACTACAACATATTTTATCGATCGCAACCACCATTTACCTTGTCACGCTAGCCCGTTTGATTCAAGGTTAAGTTATAAAAACGCTAGTTGCAGCCAAACTGAAATATTGTGGTGTGATCTACTTATATCCATATAAGTAGTATATGGTGTGGGTCAGACATAGAATGTATTTTGGCAGAAGACCGATGACGAAAGAACTGAAACGAAGCGCAATCGGTAGGAAAATGCACGAACAATGGAATTAGAGAAGAAACAGTGAAGATCGAGACTATTGGTTGGTAATTTGCAAATTGACTGTACATTGTATGGTTTTCAGAATTTACTGAGATAGTCTGTAATCTTTGCTTAAATACATTCGATTGTCCCCAACCAGTGTTCTGTTCACTACAATATCACTAATCTATAAATTCATTGATAATTGGTCTAAGCAGCGATGGAAGCTGAACGTTTCCTATTTCGGAGTTTACAAAATAACCGTTATTTTTGGCTATCGATTTTTCGATTACATGGCACAAAACGTAAATAAATGTGCTGTTATACTACTTCAGAACACACAGACACAGAATAATGATGAATCTTTTTGTGAATCACTTATTATTCTTTCTATAAACTATATTTTTAACAGGCTGTAAACCTAAAGCAGACTGGGTTCGTATTGCTGGAAAATCAGCTGATAGCGTAACTGTAGAGTGGCTTGTCCCACACGATTGTCGTCATGACCATGGACCTAATCGAGCTCATCACTTAGCTATTGATGGTTTTCGTGTGTTTGTTCGACCAGCAACAACAACTCAACCAAGCAATGCATCTCAATGGCAACAAGTTGCTGAATTAGACCACTATCTTAATCGTCTGGTTGTAGGAAATTTAAAATCAAACCAATATTATTATTTTGGTGTAGCTGCTGTGAATCAGTCAGGTCAAGGTGAAATTATTTCTACTAAAGAACCCGTTTGTCCAGAAGCTATTACAAGTGAGGATTCATTTTTATCCTTATTATGAATTACTATGTAAGCTTTTCATTGTACTTAATGAGTAGCAAACTAATGGACTCAAACAAAGCTGCGCTACCCCACTTTTCCCCTACTTACTGAGCAGATGTTTTGAGTACTTTTGTAGTGAACGAAGACTTAAGCAAGGTAAACCAATTTATTGTATTATGTAAAATCACATGGTGCCTCTGTAAACTATGAAAATCATACATTAAATACATCATTTTCACATCTTCCTAGTAGTCCTTTACCTAATCCATGATTTTTCTAATTCTGTTGCTAATCCGATTGCTCTCCATTTTCTGTACTTCAATCTTCTGCTGTTATGCATTCCACTTTCTACTTCTGCTACATACTACTTATACCTGTTCACATAAGAAGCGCACATCACACTCTAACCTCGGTGAAAAAGTAAATTGTAAACGTTGTTCTTCTACTAGATGTTTTTTTCACTTTTAAAAATAATATTACCCTTTATAGATGTTTCCAAGATAAATGCATCTAAACAGATCACCAGGGGTCGGGGTAAAACTGATTTATATTGTTGAAGACAATAAACTGACAAAACATTGAGACGATGTATAGACTTGTAATAATGCTTGGTGTTCTCCTTTACACCGATAGGACATCAATTTGCCTTAGACGAATATCTACACTAGATACTCTGCCACTGTCTATTCTACAGGAGTTCGACACGTGACTGACCTGACTAGAATGAGAGTATGGTTCAGCGTCAGCAACCGATGATAAAAATAACTGCAAGGAAAACAAAGAACACATTTAATACCTGTCTGACTATCTACTAGCTGACTAGGTAAACAATCAATCACTATTCATTTCTTCCACATATCAAAAATAAAGTCTCGATTCGTAATATCAAATGAATTGGGATAGCATTATAGACTACAAGAGCACAGTATAATGATTGAGTAAATAGCTCTATCACAAGAGTATACTTTGCCTAAAGAAACATTAGAAACTTGTTAACAGGTTTTGAAGTACTTCATTCATGGATGTTCAAGATTCATAATAAGTTAATAGCTAACTATAGACTCCATAAGATTAGTTCCAATTGTTAGACATATCAACCATATATGTAAAGTAAATTAATAAGAATACTAAAACCAGTAACCTGAAATTTAACTATACGTTCCAAAATCTTGTTTTGACGGCAATAATGACGAGTTCACTGACTGGTACTTTGTTGTAATTTTCTTTTTTATGTAGCTGTACCAAGTCAACCAATCGGACCATTACAAGTATCTAATATAACAGATAATAGTTGTCAATTATCATGGTTAAGTCCTGCAAGTGATGGTGGTAGTCCAATATTAGGTTATAGAATATATAAACGTGAAATGTATCGACGTAGTTGGCAAGAGATTGGACGTATAACTGAACTATCTGGATTGACTAGTTCAAGACAATTACAATTTCAAGTACAATATTTAATGCATGGTACTGCTTATGAATTTCGTGTTGTAGCTGAAAATAAGAATGGTTTATCTGAACCATTAGATACACAAGCTCAAGTGCATCCAGCCAAAGAGACTAGTAAGTTATGAATAATATGTAAGAATTTGATCAATGTTTAATGTGTTTATCAATGTGTTTATCCGCCTGTAGCTCTTCTAGAGTTACTGACGGTCCCAAGCCCAGGTAAAGGAGGAGGGTTGGGCATGGGGTTAGCGACCCCATCCCGTAGAAAAACTAACTCGCTAAAAAACGCTAACCAGGAAATAATGTGTTTATCAGATTCAACAGAAATAATGTATGCACGTTCGATTAAAGTCAGATAACTCCTAGATTTTTTGGATTGTTTATGTACGAATAATAAATGGTTTTACAATAAATAATAATTAACTTAGAATTCCCTTAGTATTGTTTGTTTGAATATTCCCATTGATTTTTAGGACTACAATTGATCAGTCTCTTATTGGTATATATGCATACTGTGCATACTGCTAGCCACTGTCCATCTTTGCTTATAATGCTTGTGAATTAAGGCTATATCGAGGCAATACGCACAGTATGCACATATGTCAGTTAGAGACTGATCAATTGCAGTCCTAAAAATTAATGGGAAGATTTAAACAAACAATACTAAGTGAATTTTAAACTTCACCCCATTGCAAAAGCAAGTGGCTATCATGACTCAGTAGTTGAGTGGATAACGCGATGGCGTTTGAAGCTGACGGTACTGGGTTCGAGTTCCAGAGTAAACATCAACTCTGAGATGCAGGTACATCCAGCTGACGAGTCCCAAATAGGACGAAACGCGCGTCCTGGATTCCACTGCTAGCCACTGTCCATCCTTGCTTATAATTAACTTAGTTTAAGAAACTCATTATAAAGGTAACAAACCTAGAGACAATCAACTTACCACAGACAGGAGCAAAATGACCTGTTCAATGATGGCTGAATAGAAAACAACTGTATCAACCAATAAAAGGACTGTTAGTTAACAATAAACCAATGAAATACAAGTAATAGAATTGTACTATGAATAATCATGTATCAGTGCTAGTTTTCCAAACTAATCTTTAGCTCCATCCGCCCTACCAGTATCGTATGAAAATGATCAATTTATCTACTTCACTTAAAAAAAGTCTGCATAAATTCATGCATTATTGTTTATTATTATGGTAGTAATTAATTCCCTCTTACTTAGCTGACCAGTCAAGATAGTACATAAAATGTTTCTTGTTATATTACTTACTTACGACTGTTACCCCTCGTGGAGGAGCATAGGCAGCCCACCAGCATTCTCCATCCAACCCTGTCCAAGGCAATCCTTTCCGCTTGTTTCCAGTTGCTATTCATTCTTTTCATATCTGCTTCTATTTCCCGACGTATTGTGTTCTTCGGTTTTCCTGTTTTCCGCTTCCCTTCCGGATTCCAAGTTAATGCTTGCCTCGTGATGCAGTTTGATGATTTCCTCAATGTATGTCCTATTCACTTCCAACATCTTTTCCTAATTTCCTCTTCAGATGGAAGCCGGTTTGTTCTCTCCCACAGAAGGCTATTGCTGATGATATCCGAACAATGGATCTTGAGTATCTTGTATAGACAATTGTTTATCAATACTTGTACCTTTTTGTCGATGGTTGTAGTAGTTCCCTAAATTTCCCTAAATTTACAGTAATAACTGTTTTGACGTTCGCAATAAAGATTCTGACTTTTATGTTGGTTGATGAATGTTACCTTGTTAATAATTCACACATAATGAAATTCAATCTGAAAATACAAAACAAGCTATTAAGAACAGAATAGTTATAAATCCTAATAATGACCAATTAATACTTGTCCAAATAATTTAAAGTGTAGAAATAAAAAAATGATAGATAATGGAAGATAGAATAGAAATTTGAGACTGTGGAAGAATGAGAGATTGAACAAACTGTCGGACTTGAACTAGTGGATAGCTACAGCCTCTAATATACATAAGTTTTCCGTTTGCATCCATCTTGAGCTAACTCTTCTGATTGTATGTATTATTTTGAAAGAGACCCTTCACAAAGTGGAGTGACCAGAATTAACAATGTACTTAAATATTCAGGTTTGACTAACTTCTATAATTCTTTAAAGAACCAGGAAGAGTAATGTCGTGAGATGTATTTCTGAAGAGACTGTTTTGTTCGGATTATATTAGCCTCTCAAAGGGAGCTCTTTAGAAACTCATCTCCGGACATTACTCCTCCAGTTCTACAGGAGGTCATTCTGGGCGATAATAGATCAGTGGTAAGGTCTTAGATTACGAAGCTCGGTGGTGTCAGTCCGAATCCCACAGAAAGTATCAGTTCCCTCGAAATTCCAGATACGCAAAGACGAAGTACAAAATATAGTTTCAGGGTCTCCTATCTACTCACTCGGACCTATTAAATTTATTTCTGTATTATTGGTGTGAGATTTGAATAGGTTTTTATGACTTCAGAAGAATTGTCCAGGTTGAATAAACTTTTCTTCCTACTGATCACAGTAGGATTTACCAGAACATGACAAAATTCAGCTATTTGCTTTGCTTTATAACTGGAAGAATTAGGATTTTAGTCATCATTCACTGAAATATAAATATTACTTTATAAAGCTATTGTCCATGTTGTGATTGAACTCTTATTTATTTTGCAGGTGTTCCAGGACCACCTAGAGGACCATTACGTGTACGTGAAGTTCCTGATAGTATTGGGACACTGGAGTTGACTTGGTCACCACCATATGAGTTAGGAGGACTACCTATACTTGGCTATCAATTAGAAATACGTCAAGGACGTTCATTTAATTGGAAACCATATCCTTCATCCAATGAACTTGTTGCTTGTGGACCTGAAAATAAATTTCAACCGTCACATATTATTACCGATATACAACCAAATAAGGAATACTTTTTCAGGGTGTCAGCTGTTAATAAAGAAGGAGTTGGTTTACCACTCACTGCTGATGATAGTTATGTAAAAACTATTAACTTAGCCCCACCAAAACTTGTAATGGGTCGTCGAATTTCCCCCGATGAAGCTGAAGATCAAAGTCATGTGAAACCAATACTACAAGTTTCTTGGGAATGGACTCCATTATTGGCATATGAACCACAACCAACAGGTTTTCAAGTGGAAAGACTTGATATTGAATCTCGAGGTGGGAAGTGGGAATCAATTGATTTTATTCCTATCAATGATCGTACACAAAGAAATTATATTCACCAGTCCGTTTCACCAAGTTATGATGGGAGTTATAAGTTTAGAGTATCCACTGTATACAACGAAGGTGCTAGCCAACCAGTTGAAACGGGTGTTGTATTGGCAAGTCTTCCGACAACAGGACGATCAGATTCGACAACACCCGGTCACTATGTACCTCCCGTTCCATCTGTTTTGCTCAAATCTGATAGTAAACTGGGTTATGAACTTGAGTGGGAGGCTCCAGAAGGACAAGGTGCTGAAGATATTAGAGGGTATACGTTGGAAGATTGGGATTCAAGGAAACAAAAGTGGGCACCGTTAATAGAAATCCCAGTAAGTGCACCTCGCCAGTTAGTTTTAGCTGCATCGCACACACCTGACAAAGACTATAAAATGAGAATTATCAGCCATGGAAAAACTGGCAAGTCTATTCCAACGGAATTCGGACTATATCGGAGTCCGATTGAGTCAATCTCATCAAGACCTCCATCTAGATCATGGACAACACTACCAAGTACATCAGGTCATCCAATTTCTACGATGTCCTATGATAAAACTCATCCACGAGCAGATATTGACGATGATTTTGACTTGGAATTAGCCATGATTACGGGAGTTGAACCTGGTTCTGATGAAGTAAATGAGTTCATTCGTTCAAGGCGTCAGATGGTTCAAGATATGACGCAACGCATGATTACACCATCATCCCTAGGAAGAGTTAGTTCATTAGAAAAAAGAAGACTGGACCTAGATCGCACTGAAAGTTCACTATATTCGACTGGAAGGTTGACTTCTCAGTTAGGTATTTCATCCCCAGCCGGCCTTTATATTTCAGATCAACTAAGAGGAGAAATAGTAGGTCCGACATCTGTCCATCTCATTTGGCCTGAACCAAGTGGGTTGTTAGTTCCAGATAAAATAGCTTTTTATGACATTCAGAAGTGGGAACCTGCTCATTCTAAATGGGTTTCTATTGCCAAGGCTCCGTCTAAAGTTACAGACTTCACTCTAACTGGTCTCCGGTCAAGCGATGAAAATGGATGGTGGTTCCGTGTAGTGCCCTTAGGCCGTGATGCAGAATCGGTCGGAGCACCGTATCAAATGGCTAAACCTCTTTATCCACGACATCAGCATGCTACGGTTCCTTCTTCTGTTTGGGGTGTAGAAATTTCTCCTGTTTTTGGTTCACATAAGATAGATCAACGAACAATTCAAGTTAACTGGATGAAACCTAGCAATGATGGTGGTTCTGATATACTTGGTTATCGTTTACTAATTTATGATGCCGATACTGGTGATGACCAAGAGATAATTGTTTCTCCAAAATTTTTAACTTCTAAAATTGACTCTTTAGAAGCCTTTCATGTTTATAGAATTACAATTACTGCATTTAATCGTATTGGTGATTCTATACCAGTTACTTCAACTGTACCATTACATCGTGAAACACCTGGCCTGCCGTCTCTACCTTTACCACCCAGTGATTTCCGAGCTGTCTTAACAGATCATTTTAATAAAGAATATACCAGTTGTATTTTATCATGGAAACCTCCATCATTACTTCCATCATCACCCATAGATTTTTATGTTATTGAAAAATGGAGTTCACAATCTAAACAATGGATTCCATTTAAAAAAGTTCCGTATGATGTGTATGAAGTTGAAATCACCCATTTACTTGATGATGTAGATTATGGTTTTAGAATAAGATCACAAAATGTCGCTGGCTTAAGTGAACCATTATGCTTAAACACTCATATTCGACCAAATTTAGCCAAAGAAAAAGATACTAAAGCGTTGCCACCACCAGCTCCTGGAGCTCCATTAGAATTAAAACAACTTCATATTAATCAAAGTGTATCAAAGTTGAAAGCAGTGACAGAGACTGCTAATCGTGTGATGGAACTATGCTGGAGTCAACCTACTCTCTTAACAGATGATGTAGGTCCAGTTAGAGGTTATGTTGTTGAGGCTAGAAGAAGAGGTCAGGAAAACTGGGCGCTACTTGGTCGGCTATCTACTACAAGAGACAGACATTGGAATATTGTATTTGGTCCTCAAACTGGTGATTATGATAGGATCCCAATCCTACCTCACTCTCGACCACCCTCAACTCTTGACGACTCTTCTGGCAAATGGGATATGAGCTTGCCGCAAATCTTTTCGAAGAGTCATCCACCTCCATCTATGTTGCCAGGAGAACCAAAAGACTATGAATTTCGTTTATATTCAGAAAATGAATTCGGAGTAAGTGAACCAATTTATTTAAGACCCAAACTCAGAAGTCCTTCTTTGATTTCTGAACCACATTATAAAACGAAATCAGCTCTTGAGTACTACGAGTTACCAACTTACCTATCACCTCCAAGGGGACCAGTTCGTATAGAAGCCAGGCCAAAGTCTTCTTTGTACCATGACAGAATCCAAAGCGATAAAGATATCACACCAGAAGATTTGATTTTGCATTGGAAGCCTCCTTATGATACAACTAATATTTCTGGCTACGAAGTAGTTTATCGCGCACCATATGAAATGAAATGGCAACCTATAGGTAGGACAGGTTTATCCGACACATATCTAAAAATACCAAGTTCATTATTAAGTGATTTTCCACAAACTGTTCATGTTGGTGTACGTTCTGTTGGTGATTATATTCCCAGATTGACTGATCGTCCATATTCTGAAATAATTGAAGAAGTCTTGTCCGTTCCACAAAGTGTGTTTACGTCATCATCTTACCAACCTAAGCCTTATAAAACAGCAAAAGATACATTTAATCTACGGGCTCCTTCAGAGGTTCGTGCCAGTGTTTTCAAATACACTTCTGAAAAAGATAGTCCCGAAGAAGTAGCTGTGGCATGGCGCCCACCCAGCGTGAAATCAGTGGAAAAACATGGTTTGGAAAGTTTACCAGACTCTTATTTAATTTTAACTAGGGAGTTAGGTCATTCTGATTGGAAAGAAATTCAAACTATCCCTAGCAATATCACCAACACTCATATTAGATCATCTTTGCTACCACAAGGTCGAGATATATATATTGGTGTGGCGCCTGTCCGTGGTATTCAAATAGGACCAATTATGTCTACTTTAGATACAATAAAGTTGTCAGAACCTGTTAGCACGGGAAGGCTCTCTTCAAGAAGTTCTTTACCATTCATTTCAGCTGAGCCATTGATTGTTTTACCAGAAGGACCAGATGCAATACGGGTTCAATGGAAGCCTACAGAAGCGTTAATTGGTAAATTGCCTCAAAAAAGAATTTCAGATTATCGATTAGAAATGAGACGCCAACATGAAATGGACTGGAAGCCCATTGGAATTCCAAAATATATAGATTTATTGGATGGAATATTACCCATTTCAAGTCCAATAGAATATAGACTGGATAACCTAAAACCAGGTGAACGTGTAGAATTGCGTGTCGCTACTCGACCAAGTCATTCAGCCCCATCGATTCCTATAACTGATACCTTATTTTATCAGTTCATTCCTCCTTATGGTAAGATTTTTGGTTTATATAAGTTAGTTGCATTTTTAGTTTTGTTATACAAAATGGTTTGTATCAACTTGTTTAGTGAAATTGCAATACCGAATAATTGGTTTTATTCAGAATAGTATTCATGGACATACAAATATTCTAAAGCATGTTTTTTCTACAATATATAATTATCATTAGAAGAACAGTAGAAAAAAGATAAACAGTAAACTGAATCGTATACAAAGATGAATAGTGGCTAGCAGTGGTGTCCAGGACGTGCGTTTCGTCCTATTTGGGACTCGTCAGCTGGATGTACTTGCATCTCAGAGTTGATGTTCACTCTTGGTGAACCTATAATTTATGGACTACCTTTAAGCGACGCTAAAATGATCTTCAGAAAATGATCTTCACCTACTTACTAGGGTTAAATAAGGATTATAAACCAGTGAAAGGAATTAAAATTATGATTAAGATTATGATACGACGGGGAAGGCATCAACTTAATAGGATTTTGACTCCTAATTTAAAAATTAAACTCACTTTTTTCATGAAATTCCAAATACATTTTATCTTTTTTAACAGATGTACCTTCAAAACCTGGAGGACCTTTAATAATTGATATAATACCTACCTATTCTCCAATATATTCAAGAAGGCCATCATCTATTCTAGAAAGGATTGAATCTCCGTTATCATTCTCAACATATACAACACCACATTTGGACTCAAAAGGTATTCAACTTAAATGGCATGCACCCAGTGACACAGGTGGTTTACCTGTCACAGAATATGTGATAGAACGTCGTGGAGGTCCAGTGAAAAGTACCTCAAGTGAATGGATACCTGTGTTATCTGTTTCAGGAGAGACGACTTCAGCAGTAATTCCATTTTCAAGTACTCTGACCAATGTTCATCCTTATTCTTACCGTGTTCGAGCAGTCAATCGTATGGGTGCAAGCAGTCCATTAGAAACTTCAAGACCATTGGATTTTGAGACATCAGTGTTGGATCAAGCTAGCAGACCTTCTTCTCGTGTTAGTTACCGACCACTACCACCCTCTGCACCATCTGGACCCTTACGATCAGAATTTCTTCCTTTTGATTCAGGTCTTCATCTAGAATGGCAACATCCTCAAAAGAGTTCTTACAAATTAGATGAATCACTGTCTATGCCATCCGCATACGTAATCGAAGCTACTGAGGCTAGCAGACCAGATGCACCTTGGATCGAAGTTGGCCGTGTCCCTGGTACTGTAACATCAGCTGATGTTCGAATTTTGCCTACACTGTATAGAAGAGAGTCGACGGAAAGTCCATATACACCAAGCTCATACCACGTACCCCCTACTCTTCTATATCGAATAAGGGGTGAAAATGAGTTTGGTTTAAGCGCACCTCTTGTGACAAGAATTGAGCCACCTGGTCATCCTGTATATGAATCCAAACTTGGTTTCGAGCACCTAAAATTAAGCCCTGGTCGCCTTGAAGCTCGTTTACTGCCAATGTCATCAGAATTTCAATTACCTCAGATTGAATTACGCTGGCCGCCTCTTTCTCCAGAATACAGAAGACAAAGTTTCCCATCATCCGCTGATCGCCGACTTATAACAACTCCCATAACACCAGATATAAGTTACCTGGTTCAAGTTAAAAAGGCTGAAGATATCGGATGGCAAACATTAGCCACCTTACCATACGGTCAAGAAAGATTTACTTATCGCCCCAAAGTAGAAAAAATACTTCAGAGACCACGGTCTAGTTTGGGCTCAGTTCAGAGACCAGAAGAAAGACCAATATTTGAAGCTTACCAGTTCCGTGTAGCCCCAAGAAGTCATTTCGGTGTTGGGAGATTCATAGAATCGGATGTAGTCAGCTGGGGTCCGTCTCATTTACAAGTTGGTGATTACAGAACAGTAAGCTTACCGGGACGTACTTCGATGGAACTTATGATTCCGTCCGTTCCTCAACCAATGATACCTTCTCCTGAGCGTTTCCACTTGGTTGATGTGTCTACCGAGTCAGCTGGTGAACATATACAAAACAGATTGGGAAGTGTAACACTATCCTGGCATCCTCCAGCGGGTATGTCTTCTACTTTACGCTCCACTTCAGATTTCGTCGTTGAATCATGGCGTCCAGACAAACAAGAATGGTGGCCGATAGCAAGACGACCAGCTGCTATCAGTGCTGAATCTGTACCGGGCAGGTATGAAATAAGCGTCGATCGTTTACCACTCGGACAAACTTATCATTTCCGCGTTCTGACGGAAACAAAAGATGGTCGAAGTGAACCAGTTATTCTTCCGCAACCTGTTTTCATGCCACAATTAGATAAAGAAAAGAAAGGTAAGCCATCTTCTAATTGGAATTTTATCATTTTACTAAATTTGAGAGTAGGTTGACTTAAAATGGAGACTTAAACTTGACAACAGAATAGAATAGCATATATATATATATATATATATATATATATATATATATATATATATATTAATAGTTAATGAGTGATTCACTAGAATAGCATCATTGGTTAACAACCTTTTCTGATGTGCTACGTAATCGGAACCTAAATTACAATATGTGTAGAGATATACAGTGACTAGAAACTCTGGTTTACAGTCTAATCGAGTGAGTATTCTTCTTTGTATAAATTTATAAGCTTTACTTAAAGTCCACCTATTCAGTGATTCCCACTGCACGCAAAACATACTTCGAGGGGGCAATGTGACTAGATAACTTGAGTCTTTGCATGTTATCAACTATCAGTGACCACGTCTATCACCCATGGGGTGGGGCACAGAATTGATTTGGGACGATTATACTTATATTATTTGAGAAACTTTCAGATAGTTTATTGGCACTACAACTATCGTAGGTCATTTAAATGACAAGAATCACCGATCCTCTATATTTTTATTTTTGGATATAGATCCAAGAAAGCCATTCTTTGGGAATGGTAGTGATCCCATATATTTTATTATCATGTTTTCATCATTCATATCTTTCCATTAAAGAGCTTCATTTGCCTCGTGATGCAGAACAGGTTCTGTATGAGAGGGGCCATCTAATGTAGGGGTGGATGAGCGATGATCTACGGACGAAAATCAACCTACGAGACTACTTCAAAAAATGCGTGAGAGACAAGAATCGAGATAGTTTGAAATTATTTGAGGAGATATAACTTTTTCTATTATAATCTTAGAAAACGAAGTAATAAATCAAAATCTACCTGTTATCTAGAGAACTTGAGGAGCATAAATGTGCTCCTTTCTCAGCATTAGACACACAAGGCATCTCACCAAAGACTGTTTAAGAATATAGTTGTCAGATTTCAGAGCTCTAAAATGGATTCCCAAGATATTTCAAAAGTTCTGAATATATTGTATCAATGGTTAACATTATAAATGTTTCGTCTATTCTTATCTTGAAGTAGCTAGTTATGATTACTAAATGAGACTAAGTAACCTCCAGTCCAACAGTGACTTGAATAAACGCTTCCGTCATGCTGAATCTGTCTGAATCCCATTTATTATTGATAAACTATAAGTTTCACATTCTAAAACAGTCTGTACATAAACTGTTCATTTCTGTGGTCAGCTTATATTTATGAACCCTATTATTCAGAAACTTGGATCTCACATGATACAGTCAAGTATAGGGTCAATATTACACCATTTTTGCTAACTATAAAAATCTAGTGAAAAATTGTACCCAGTTTCTCATTAGTAAAGTTTCCTTATGTCTGATCAATTAGCTAGATCAAGTCAACATTTTTCACAATATTAGCTGTGGCTTGACGATGTCAAGTGTTGAGTATTGAAAATGACGGCATGTAATTCTAATAGGTTTTAATAAAGTCTAAATAAAGTTTGCCGAATTTTATCGATTGAAGATATGTCACAGTCGTTAGAAGAGTTGAAGAGGATAACTTAATCACGAAACTTCCTGTTTATAATGTCCAACATGGACTTCTTTTACTAATACGGAAACACGAATTTTTGAATACACAGATATTAGAGATATTGGCAATAATTTTAATGAGTTCAGGTATTTAGCAGTTTCGTTTTAGTTATTTTGTAATGATTTTTGTATGTACATTTTCTTAAATGTTCTCACAATAAACCATTTCTTATTACATAAACAGAGAAACCAGCTCCACCTTCTCATCTTAGAGTATCATTATTAACTGGCAGTACAAAAGGTGCTTTGTTAACATGGCTTCCACCATCAACAGTAACATTCTCAGGTCGACGTAGCAGTTTGTCATTACGTTGTCCTCCAACTGGATATATATTAGAATATTGTACATTACCATCCACAGGATATGAACCAACTACTTGGAAACGTTTAGCAGTATTGGATGCTTGGGAAACATCTTATCAAACAACTGATTTACAACCTGAAACTAGATATCTATTTCGTATAATGTCTCGTGGACAGATCACTGATTCACCACGTTCTGTAACACCATCAAGACTTGGAAAAGTTAGTCGAAGTACAATGGATTCAAGCGTTCTTAGTGAACCAATCCATTCAGAAATATTCGAAATACCGAGAAAAACAAGTAAGTTTACCCCAAATATTTTTTGGTACAAGTTTCTACATACCTGATCCTGTGATATTTAAAGTATATCAGAGGTATTCAGTATATTTATTATAGTTCGTCTATATTTATGTACGTCCTGTATCTCTTTCACGCTTATAAACACTAAGTCACCCATCATTCACCGAGTTGGCTATTTCTACCACTCCAGTTATGTGTTTTTCTTTTCGACATTTATCGTCCGCCTGCATTATTGAATGTCTGAAATATACGTCCTTCAAATACTTTCTTATTGAACCTTTTATGTCTACGGTATTATTCACGGGATTTACTAACAGAATATATGCGAAGTCAAATATAACCTGTGATCCATAAATATGAAGATAATTCAATCGTTATATTGTCAACCATGCTCACTAGAAACTGAAATATATCCGATCAAAGATATCGGAGTTAATTAATAGTCTATAATTATAGATGGTCGTAATTAGCTAAAGCTAAGATGAATCTCATCAATAGAATTAGAAAAATATTAGAAATATTATGATGGAGTAATCTCAGACAATAAATTTGCAGCTCAGAATGATGATTCTATAGTCCGTATATTCAGCAACATTTAACTAAGAATTGAAATAATTTAAATAACTACTTGAAACCGTTTCCAAGATGCACTTGGTATTGTAATGCGATGGTATTTGAAGCGAAAGGTACTGGGTTCGAGTCCCAGCCAGAGTGAACATCAACTCTGAGATGCAGGTACATCCAGCTGACCAGTCCCAAATAGGACGAAACGCGCTTCAAACTGGATTCCACTGCTAGTCAATGTCCATCTTTGTTCCCAAGATGGTTTAAGTATCAAGTTTCAAGAGTCTTGAAAATCTAAATAAACATATATCAGAATTAGAAGCATATCAGAAAATTGTCTTCTTTATTTTGAAACACGAATTTCTGTCATCACACGTAGTTATTTCTTTTAATCATGAAACAGTATGAATCGAGGGAAACGAGGCTAGGGGGCCAAATTTTGAAACTTCACAGAATTGAATAGCCATCGTTTTCAATGTTGTGAAATGAACTTAAAATATTTATATATTAATACTGGTGTGAACATGAATGAATAGTTGCATCAAGTAACCATTTAGTTCTTTTTACTCCTCACGGATACACTATCCGTATAATATTAGATTATATAAGTGTTATAATGAGAGATACAGAGTTGGATTATTCAGACTAATGACAATATATCATCCTAATTGACCATGTGATTGTGCTTTATTCAATTATCGTCTGACTGTTCGAATGAGAACCACATATAAACCAGAATTAAGACACAATACAAAACAACCATTAAGTGGAACCATAATGGAATGTAAGCGGGACGCAAGTGAGATGAATAATATTATAAGACAGTAAACTAAAATTTAGTGTACTGGGTATGTCAATCCTCTTTCATCGACCAATGCGTTAAATTTGATGGAATATGGTAGATAACCTTAAAAGTTTAATTCAAGTCAACTTGATGTCTTGTGTCCACCAAGTGAGCGAAAATCGAACTCTTATACACTCTTACCTGTTCTTTCTCAACCATGATAGATATTGTTCTGTCATGCGATGACGGACTTTCACTCAGATACATCAATAGTTCGGGATTGCCCTAAAACTTGTTGAGATACCTATTTGATGGTTTATAATTATACAAACCATTAAAAGATATTGTACGACTACAGATCATTCAGACTAACTCTATGAGGTTCTTACTTTTTTTCTTGATTCACAGTCTGTCAGTTATGTAATTTGGTGATTGAATGTTGAATCACTGCTTTAAAATGAATTGACTTCGATCTTTAATAATGGTTATGATTGTACACTACGGTATAAAAGTAACTCCAAACTGTTAACAAACAAATTTTCAGTAATTTACATGTCCTTATTTCAGTTGATGGTAAAAGGAGTACTGAAGACTGTGTTTGACGTTTTACATTTCTTTAAATTCTTCACTTATCAGAATATAGTAAAACTCATCATGTAACAGTAATAATTTATGAAATGGATCTATAAAATGACAACTACATTTTAATTGCACAGGGGCCATGCTAATCTTCTCTGTATCGTTCCAATTTTAGTATATGTACCGCCGAAGCGAGTACTTGAAATAGGAACAATAACGGGACGGACTGGCATGCATATAGCAAACAATTCTCTTTGCCCTGGAACGGCTGAGAGTGGGGGAGAGTCCGCTCTCCCTCTCTAAATGCTCTCACATGGCCACGAGTATATAGCCTCTTCCAGGGAAGTCCTACTCACTACCTTCTCGTGGCATTACTGTTGTTTACGAAATTGAGAGGACGAAGAGCGAATGTCCGGCGTTTTAACCGGGTTGGTGGACACGGAAAGTTCACCTAGGGGAGTTGGAAAACCCTGATTCCAAACCAATGGTGCACATGGGCTGGCTCCAGTATCCTGAGGGAACAAATGGTGTATAAATCAATCGTTGGTCACCGGCTACCATGTGACTGCATCTCCTCACGATGCTCCATTGCCTTGTGGATCAGACCTTTAGGTCAAAGATTCCGAGTGTGACCCCCTAAGGAAATCACTTGCTTCGGTCTGTGCACCTGGACCAGTATCACAGCCCTCATATGTATCTGTTGCTTCCTTGTACCAATATTTATATGCTTAAATAAATAAATAAATAATTTTTTAATTCCTTTTCTTTTTTCTAGTTACTGTACCAAAATTAACCGGTGATTTAACAGTTAAATCAACAACCAGTTTATCTTCACTCTCACCATCGGTTTCTTTACACTGGCAACCAATTGACGAACCATTAACAGGATATATATTAGATTTATATGATTTAAAAGAACCAACTGGTTGGAGAACAATTACACGGATTAATACAACTGAAATACGTCATCCATTTCATGGTGTTACAGTAACAGGTCTTCTACCAGATCATTCTTATCGATTCCGTGTTATACCATATAAAGATGATTTATTTGGTCGACCATTAGAAACATTGAAAGCATACACTGTTCCAAAAGCACTAAGACATGAGGATATTGATTATGAATCATTAATTATTCCTCCACCTAGGGGTCCATTATACGTGGAACCGGTCGGTGGTGGTGTTTATCGTTTAAGGTGGCAGCCAGTGCAACTAAGTGGATTAACTGACATTATGCACAGACGTAAATTAGATGAAGAAATTGAATATATCATTGAACAACAAACACCAAATCGAAGATTTTGGTTCGAAGTTGGCCGAACTCGTCTTACTGATTATGTATTACCGATTAACAGTGCTACAGTTAGATTTCGTATACGTTCATCATTAGCTGATATTTCGTCAAGTATCGACAAACACACTAACTATTCACTTTCATATGATGGTCTTCTCTCCGAATGGATTCATACATTAGATGACAGTTCACTATATGACAATATACCTCGTTTTGGGAGTCCAAAAAGACGATTATCTAGTGATGAAGTTTTTGACATAGGTCGAATTGTTCCAGATGGATTACGCGTTCTTCATATTGGTCCAACTTCTGCCTTACTAGGATGGAATTCTCTTAGAATAGATGAAGAAACATTACATCCATATCATCTTATTTTAGAACGACGTATCATTAATAAGTATAAACCAAGTATTTGGGAACCTGTAGCAAGAATTCGTACTTCTGATAATTCATACGAAGTACATGGATTATCTTCTGGTACAACATATGATTTTCGTTTAGTTGGAATTGAAGAATTAACTAAAACTCGAAGTACAAAATATTGTCAACTTTCAAAACCATTTACAACTCTTGGACAAATTGATTCATTTGAAGATGATATAAAAATGTTTTGGATTGATCAACCAAGATCATTGAATGCTATTAGTAAAATTGATGAAACTCAAGAAGGTATTATGTTAACATGGAAATCACCTGAAATGCCTAATCGTTTAGATGAAAAATTACTTTATAGAATTGAAGTAAGAGGTTTCAATATTTCAGGTGAACCAATCACTAATTGGATTAAAGTTATTTCAGAATTAAAAACAACACAATATTTTATTAGTTATAATAAATTAGATCATTTATTTAGTCAATCATCTAATCATTATCAAATTAGTAGTATATCATCTATATCTAGAAGAAGATATATAAGATCCATTGATTTCGATCAACAACAATGGCAATTTCGTGTATTCGCTGAATTAGATAATAAACAAAGTTTACCAGCTATCACAACAACACCAATCACATTGATTCCTCAAGCCAGTAAGTTGATTTTCCTTTCCTAAATAAGAAGTAGTGTTATAAAGGTGTTATTGAATCACTTTATAATTTTCATTCATAGACTGTAGCATTATATGAGTGTTATTACATCAAATAAATAAATAAAAAATGATTATCAGAAGGGGTTTTGTGGAGATTTAATAGTTTCATAGTTGAAAGCATGAGTCAATTGACGCTAGACCACCAGGGAAAACCTGGAAGCACTGTATGACTGTTTCGTCCTATTGTGGGACTCCTCAGTGGCAGTGCGCATTCACGACCTTGTCTCATGAGATTCGAACCCTGGACCTACCAGTCTCGCGCCAGAGGAGTCCCACAATAGGATAAAACGGCCGTCCAGTGCTTCCAGATTTTCCCTAGTGGTCTAGCTTCAATTAACTAACGATTTCAATTATGAAAAAAAATGATTATTGTAACTTGATTCTAACTGATATTTTAATGGATCTTATAAGTTTATCTTAATTTCTTTTGAACCGCTCGGTATCCAACAGTATTTCTTCAAACTGGTTCCCCAAATAGACCCTTTCCTGCAGTATTCCATAAGTTTCAGGTTTATGTTGTCAAAATGTTTGGTTTTTTAAATAAACATCATACTCAGTCCTTACTCAGATTTAAGTAAACTAAAGTCTGAGTATACTACTGTATATTGTATTCATCTATTAAGCTAAATATGCTTGTTGGCTTTGTTTCCGGTAAGTAAATTATTCAAACAAACCATCTAGTGATTTTTTTGAACTGAAGTGCTGTTTAATTTTGTTTTTCGATTCCTACCTAAATTAATATAACATATTTTTAACTGAATCAATCTATAACGCCGACCGGCTCCTGTAACTGTTCTCAAATAACCATTTAATCTTAGCAAAAATCAACGTTAAGCATAAAGAGATATATCATATGACATAGCGACCCTCGAAATCTAAATAACCGTGAACTCAAATGGGCTATATCGCCACTAGCCATCGATAGAAGACTGCCGCTTATTCTGAAGCACATGTCTAGACTCTGACCATGCTCTAGTACGAGCACTCATTTGTTTTTTCCTTATTGGATGTAGAAAAACCACTGCAAGAAACCCCTTAGAGTGAAGCCTAACGGTGAAAATGTTGTGAACAACTGGAGAAGCAGTTGGCTAATCGTCAAAGTGATGTTCGCCCTAATAAGTTATTTTGATATCCAGAAACCCTAGTGTTATGCCTGAAACTAAATCGATTCCGCGGTAACGAACGAAAGCCAATGACACAATGACACGATAAGCTATTCTAATCTGTTGTCCCAGGCCCCGCTAACTAGATGAAGAAGTCCAAGGCAAGTAGGGGAATATATATATATTCCGTAAGCAGCCGAGTACAAGCAATCAAATAAGGGAAAAAGTCAAGCGCATTTATACAGTAACAAATTGTCCTTGAGCACCATTAGTAAATAGCACACATAAAGAAACAAAGGACCAATAGCGGTTAAGATAGTTTACAGGTGGGAAATATGACGTGAAGGTAAAAGAGCGTTTTGGCGCGAAAACAGCTAAATTCAAATTTTCAAAATAAAACTACAAGATTAGGTCATTTACCAAGTAAGTTCTGGGGATTTGACATCCCCAACACCTAGAAAACATTAGTGACATCTGCAAGTGACTATAGCCAAAATATTAGGAAAATCTGTGAATTTCACCGGCGTCTTCTGACCTAACAGATATTCAGAAACTTATCCTGTCAGACTCCGAACATTATGAAGAAAGAAAGTAACTTATACTCAGACTGAAAGAAAAGTCTATGTAATGATCGTGATTAGTGGTGAGTAAGTAAGACGAACTGAATGGAAAATGTGGCGGCAGTAGGCAATAATAGACTTTATGTCATTACGCAACTTAAACTAATCACACTACAACAGCTGAGAAAGTAATTCAGCAAAATGTCTCGGATTAACTCTATGACTATAGTAATCCTTCAGTGTGAATGTCTCATATATACTCACTTCAAAAAGTTGATTTATTTCTAAGCATGTTTTCTTGTACTAATCCCTGTTTAACTGATGTTTTATCTGCTTTGTTGGAGAACTATGATCGCCATACATACACTTCTGTAAACTATAATTTCACAAGCTGAAGAGTTCCAAATCGTACGAAACACTCATCCTCGATTCTTCCGCTAAACACCATTCATCTCTGCGTAAAATGTTTATGACTTACTGGGAATATCTAGGCAATCCCCATAGCATGTACACATATCCCAAAACAGACTGATCACTTGCAGTTCTAAACATCAATGAGAAGATCCAAACAATTAATTTATACAGATCACAATTTTTCAAATGGTTTTTAGTTGGTATTTTATAGATTATGCCAACAAATACTATATGGGTTCTCGTTAGTGACTAGTTGTTCGACAAAATTAAGGGAAAACATGTGGTTCTAGTGTTGATTGGTTGGGGTTAGACATTAACACCACTGGATACCGGCTCAGTGGTCTATTGTTTAAGTGCTCTGGAACGAGACTGGTAGGTGCTGGGTCCGAATCCCGCGAGGCAGGATCGTGGATGAGCACTGTTGGGGGGTCCCACGATAGAAAGAAACGACCATCCAGTGCTTCCAGGTTTTCCCTGATGGTCTAGCTTCTATATAAAATGGTTCTAGTGTTTTGATGTGTACTGTTTTTTATATTGTAAATAATGTTTAATAATTTTCTTCATTGTTTGTTAATAGAACGAAGTCCATTACGTTTTATCAATTTGAGAGATGATCGTATTATTTATGCTGTTCATGGGCAAAAATTAGTTTTGTCTGTAGAAGTTGAAGGAGAGCCGAAACCAAATGTCTTTTGGTCAGTGATTAATTTGATTTTGTACTTGTTTTTTTTTAAATTAAAAATTATGTAGCTTTGGTTATTTCGTACAATTTAACTATACTACTAATGAAGTTTATATAGTAAACAGCTAAAATACAGTACTGTTGAGAAGAAAAAATCATAAATGTATAATTGTAAACAGTTTACATAATGTTTTGACTTGTATTATATAGAGTATTTTCTACTGAAATCTATCAGTTTATCATAGCATAACCATTTGCTTTAAAATCTTTTTTCAACTGACTAACCATTTATAATCTGAATTCATTTACTTACACCTGTCACCCCTCGTGGAGGAGTATAGGCCACCCACCAGTATTCTCCATTCAACCCTGTCCCAAGTAATCCTTTCCAGTTCTTTCCAGTTAACATTCATCCTTTTCATATCTGCTTCAATCTCCCGGTGTGATGTGTTCTTTGGCCTTCCTCAATTCAGCTTCCATTCCGGATTCCAAGTTAAGGATTGCCTCGTTATGCTGTACTACTACTGTATACAGTAGTTAAATGGGCTTGCTACACAAGCTAGAATAATATGAAGTATGCATTTATCGAAGGATGTTATTTGTCAGTCTTTCTAGAAAGGCAAATTACAACTGAAAATTGATAGTTGAGATCATAAATCAATTGAAGCTAGTGCACCATGGAAAACCTGGAAGCACTGAATGGCCGCTTCGTCCTATTATGGGACTCCACAACAGTGCGCATCCACGATCCCGCTTCACGAGATTCGAACCCTGAACCGAATTTCAATAAAATGTAATGTTGAGTGGTTTTTTTAAATCTATTTTTGTTGTTAGCTATTTCTGAAAAACATAATGAAAATGATTACAACAATTAAAACATAGACTCTGATAGACTACTTATCATGTAAAATCAACTTCCTTTTCGATTCGAAATCTTGTTACCTAAATATTTTATGTTTATTTTTATACTACTATTTAAAAGTAGCTTATTACGTCTTTTGATATAAGCCATTGCAAATCTTTGTCTACATCAGCAACTCTAATAACTCATCATACATTTATGCTCCAAAGTCGTTTCCGTTAATTTTCGATCTTTTGTACTTTAAATCATTAATTTCAATCATAGTGTTGCATTTTTCAGAATCCAGAAACTAGTTAGTACCATTATTATACAGATGATATTTTAATACAAAAAAATGTTCGTTGGAAGCACAGATGTAATCCTAATTCTTATTTTATTAATACGTGTAATTTTCTTTATTTTTAAAGGTTAATTAAGTAGAATCATAAGTAATTGACTAGGTTTAGATTCATGTGTTATCAGAAAGAAGTTTTGTGAAGATTGTAGTAATTTAATAGTTGAATTCATGAGTTAATAAAAGCTAGGCTATCATGGAAAACGTGAAGGCACTAGACGGACATTTCGTCCTAGTATAGGACTCAGCAATGCGCATCCACGATCTTGCTCGCAGGGTTCGCGCTCGAACGGTGGCGCAGTTTAGTGGATTGGTTGGAGTTAGAAGTTAACACCGCTGGATGCCTGTACAGTGGTCTGGAGGTTAGGCATTCGCGCGCAAGACCGAGAGTCCTGGGTTAGGGTCTCACAAGGTGGGATCATGGATGTGCACTGCTGAGAAGTGCTATACTGGAACGAGGCAGCCGTCTGGTGCTTTCAGGCTTTCTATGGTGGTTCAGCTTTAATTGATTCATGAATTCAACTAATAAAATGATCGTAATTGATTTACCCACCTAGTTCTTATACAACTGATTTATAATATAACTGAATACGCATTAATATATTTTAACCTTTTCTTATACAAAATATTTGTCTTTTCTTCTTACATAGGTATTTAAACCACATACAAATAGACGAGAAAATTTTACCTGGTTGTCGTGTGGCTCAAATTGGTGTTGGTATTTATGAATTAACTATTGAAAAAGTACAACCAAGTCATGCTGGTTTCTTAGAATGTCGTGTATGGAATATTTACGAGTCAATATCAGAAACATGGGAACTGATAGTTTCAGGTAGGTGTTGAATTTTAAAATAAAATATTTAGCTCCACATAAGCATTATATATAGATACTACAATCGCCATTCTCACAAGAAGCAAAATTCTTCCTCAAAATTACAGATACTCCTTTCTAACAAGTGCAAACTAACACGAAACCCAAGTCTTATTGTTTCCTGTCAGCTACCTTCAACGATGGTTTAGTGGTTGAAGCATCCGACTTTCAACCTTTGTATCTCAAATCCGAGTAACAAACCACTTATTATTGCTTTGGGCAACCAGGTGGCATCATTAGTCGTCACTATCAGAATGTGACTTATATCCAACTACCTGGAGAATGAGTTAATTTAACAAATAATAAATTACCTAACACAACATATTTATCAATAGAGGTTTATGGATCGAAACTAAAGGTCCAAGGTTACACTCCTAGTTACGGGATCATGGATATGCACTACTGAAGAGTCTCACAATAGGACAAAACGCTATAAAATGCTCCCAGGCTTCCCGCCGTTGTTTGACGTAAATCGGTTTATGATCCAAATTATTTATTTATTTGGTTTATACAGTAAGGTATATGGTTTTGAAGTTACTATCTCCGCATACCAAAAAGCTTTCTGGTTCCACACTGATAAATCAAGAAAGATATAAATATTGAATGGCCAATGAACTGTTCAAATTACATACACAATACTAAATATTCGGATATATCTTTGGAAAAAAATGACAATAATGATCGATCATACCAATTACTCATACTCATTAACATGTATACTACTTATAAGTAGCTTTGTTCTGTTGTTAAAAATTGTAAATCTGTTCGAAGTGAATATTTTGAAAATAGTTGAACTTGAAAGAAAATGATCGGATAAATAGGCAGGCAATGCGTGTTTCGAGTCATAGAATTCTTGAAATGCTCTTTATGGTACACGAATGATGTTTTTAAAAGTACTTGTTAAGTTAATCGTGAAGAAAAACGGAAGGATGCAATTCGAAATTGAATATTTTTAATCAATTCTTTTTTTTAATTTAGCGGTGCCACGATTCTGCCGACTTGGATGGGCTGCACAACCTCATGAATATGAATTAAGACATGGAGACAGTTGGTATCTACGTGTTCCATTAGAAGGTTTAGATTATATACAAGACCGTGATTGGATTACAAAAGTTTGGTTCGAACGTTTAAGTCATTTAACTCCTGGTTTTTCAGTTGAACCGTTGGAAAATCGTGTTCGACTAAATCTATCATCTGGTTGTCGTTGGGTTGAAGTGGTTGTTGACAAATTAAATCTAGCTGATAGTGGACTATATCGACTATGGATACAGAATCAAGCTGGTCGAGATTACGTTGATTTACGTTTACGTATTGCTGGTAAATTTGTTTTCAATTACTTTGAATGATCTATCATTTATTTGTTTGAACGAATTCGCAATATTTTAGATAATTTACGATTTTTATTCCTATGTCACAATCCTACTGTAATGAAAGAGAACGCGGGTGAGGACAACCTACTATATTCAGCATTTCCATACTAAATGCTTTCCGTCCCCGTTCTTGCCTCCTCCATCTTCGCAACATTCTGGTGCCAGACATTCCATTCCTGACTAGCGTTATATACTACTTATGTCGACATAAGTAACACACACTACACTAACATCATTATATCGAATATACATGTACTGAGTGTTTCTAGTGAATTAAATGAATAACACAATAAACTGGGTCTTATAATTCACAGTTCTTTTATTCCCATTACTATTTTCTTGTCATTTTAATGAACCTTTATAATGTGACTATTCGAATAAAACCCGACAAAAACTAAGGCAGGATAAAATAAATTCATTTCATTCCGGGATTTCTCGTACAACCATATTCTTATCCATGTGTAACATTAGGGTATAATATAATATGAAGTGATAGACATCGGTGACAGAAAGAATTAAGATGGAATTTAAAAACATAGAAAAGGTAATTTTTATGCCGATCAGAAACTGATAAAACGAACCATGTAACAATCATGGACAGTGGCTTAATTTCGAAGATTGGTTGAAGTTAGACATTAACACTGTTGGATGCTGACTTATTGGTCTAGAGGTTAAACTTTCGCGCGCCAGGTCGATAGTTCCCAGATGTGATTGACGGCCGTTTCGTCCTAGTACGGGACTCCTCAGCAGTGCTCACCCACGATCCCGCTCGCGAAATTCGTATCCAGGGCCTTCGGTTACGCACGCGAACGCCTAACCTCCAAGCCACTGGACTGACATCTAACCTGTATCTCATATCCCTTAAAGTAAATAGTATTGTGTTGTAGTGAAATTACATTGGGAAAACAATATCCATGACATTTAAATTGTTACAATCATTAAAAAATGTAAGTCATTATCTAGAACAATTTTATTTTTCATTAGAAATATCTCACCGAAATTTTAATTAATCTTATTTTATTTAGATAAACCTTATACTACACTACAGAAACCTCGAGTAAAACCACATGGACCTGGAACACTACTTATAGAATGGACTCCACCTTTGATTACTGATCGTTTAGAATCTCTAGTTAAATTTACTGGTTATCGTGTAGAGTATCGTCGTGATGAACCTGGAGAAGATTGGTTCCTTCTTGGTACAACATCTGCTGATCAAACTTATTTTATTGCACGTAGTCAATTAAGAAAAGGTGTAAATTATCGTTTCAGAGTACGTTTAGAAAATTGGCATGGATTAGGACCAGCTAGTGATGCATCAGAACCAGCACAACTACCAGTACATCGGCTTACAGAAGGTATAAATAATAAAATTTACAAATACAGTTTTTTGTTGTATAAATGTAAATAAATTGCTTCTTATTAAAATTATCAATGGGTGAATAAAATGGAACTAAATTTATACAAGCTGGTGACTATTTAGATTCAGTAATTAAGTAAATAACGTGATAGAGTTTGAAGTAAAAGGTACTGGGTTCGAGTCCCAGAGTGAACATCAACTCTGAGATGCAGATACATCCGGCTGACGAGTCCCAAATAGGACAAAACGCACGTCAAACTGGATTTCACTGCTAGCCACTATCCATCTTTGATTATAAAGCTTGTGACTTCAAGCAATACCGAGGCAGTCCGCACAGGATGCACATATGTCAACAAGAGACTGATCAATTGCAGTCCTAAATAACAATAGGAAGATACAAGTAAACAACGCCAAGTGAATTTATGTTGGTCGGTTGAAAGTAGTCAGCAAAAGCTTCAAATCTGTTCAGCTCTTATGGAAAAGTATACAATTTCGTGTGTGTATCGAAGATTTAGGCTTAAAATTCTTGAAAATACAGTTTTTAGGTTTTTGATTGTGATATTTGTTTACTAGAGTTTGAACGGGAATTCGAAGCATAAATCTAGATGAATATAGTGTATAAACGACCATGAAAATTTGTTGATTTATTATTATCAAAATGGGGGTTTGTGGAAATTATAGTAATCTTAGTAGTTAAATTCATAAGTCGATCTAAACTAGGCCACCTTGGAAAAACTGAAAGCACTAGACGGCCGTTTCGTCCTAGCATGGGACTCCAACAGTGCTCATCCACGATTCCGCATGTGGGACTCGAATTCAGGACCTACAGTTTAGCATGTGAATGCTCTACTCCGTTGGATGTTGGTTCAGTGGTCTAGAGGTTGAGATTTCTCGCGCGAGACTGAAGGTCCTGATTTATTATTGTCTTTTCCAATTACTTAATGTTGAATTTTAACCAACCTTCAAAAATCAAAGAATATTTGAGCGAACAGTTGTTTTCAATAATTTCATGATCATGCTCCATGATAATTGTGACATTTAACGAAGGCCAAAATAAAGCTTGAATTAGTGACTTTGACAATATTGTTAAAAATGGTGAACTTTTACATCTGTGAGGACACAAATACTTCGAAATTGTGCTATTTGTAAATTAGAAAGGTCATTTAATAAAGGTCAGACTGACTCGTTATAGTGTCAAGCTATAATCAATATAAATGATATAATCAATAGTAAACTCACTTATTATTACTTGTTTGAATTTTCCCATTGATGTTTAGGATAGCAACTGGTCAGTCTCTAATTGGCATATGTGCGTATTGCCTCGATATTACCTTAATTCACAAGTCCCAAATAGGAGGAAACGCTTGTCCTGGATCGCACTGCTAGCCACTATCCATCTTTGCTTACAATATAATAGTAGTACAAAAGATTGAATGAATAAAATACATGCTAGGAGAATTTTGTATGGCTAATGTAGGTAGTAAAAATGACAATGATTATAATAATCCTATTAATAATAACAACGTGGTGTGAATATAAGAGGGGTGTTATCAAGGCAATTACGACTACAAAAAATTCATATGAATGTTTATATTAAAAAAAATATAAACAGAAAAGGAATTGGGGGCGGGAAGATAAGAGGTTTATAATATCCGCAGTTTAGATATTTGGTGTTCCAGTTGTGGACCAAGATAAACATAGAGGCTGGATACATAAGTTTGGTTTTCTGGAATTGATTCAGATGGCTTCAGCTATGTAGAGAAGCAGTAATCTAGCTCCTTTTGGTAGATATTTTTGCAACCTGATACGAAACACAAAGTTTCATCTATTTTAATATAATGTTCACAATCTACCAAATGAGAAAAAATGGCGCTGTTAATAGACATTGTGTCTCCATTTCCCAACCATGCTGATGGATGTTTACTAACACACAAGGATAAAGTTATTTGAATACGGCTTATGTACCTAGTTCCACGGGAACAGTTGGATTGATATACACATATAGAGGAGCTCATCATCGGTAACCTATCCTTGATTTGTTGTGTAAGTACTGGTTTGGTTGAGATTACATGTAACTTGGTGGCGTGAATGTCCTTTTAACAGATTTTTAGAGTCCATGCGTTAAAAAGGTCACCCGCCATATCCCTTTTAAAATCGAGTTTTGGATAGAGGTTTTTCATATTGACCATGTTGAAGTTTGTTCCTTTTTCACCTATTGAAAAAAATTTTCTGGCAAAATTATCCGGATAGTCATTAATTGATAATATGTACTTTAGTTTATCGATTTCACTATCTACACTATTTTGAGAACATAATAGTTTGATTCTGTGACTGAGATATATAACCAAATTTATTTTGTATTCAAGAGGTTTAAATCTATGGAAATGAGTATACTGACCCGTCCAATTATTTTTCCTAAATACATTTCTTTTTATGGAACCATCTATCCTTTTAGAAAGTAGACAATCAAAGAAAACTATACTATTATCCTTCTTCTCCTACTTTTATATTCATTTTAGTTTTGGATCTCAATGATATGGAATTCCGTCATTATACAGATGGATCATTCGATTCACGATATGACATTATTGAAGAGTTAGCTCGGTAAGTCAATATTATACTTATTTGATAGACACAGGTATCACTAAGCTCAGAGTAATCATTATATTGGTTACAAAAAATAGCCTATTTCATAGTAGTAAATGTATAAACTTTAAAAATACTCTGTATCTCATTTCTCTGGTTTGTTCTCTTCCACAGTAGTCTGTTACTGATGGTATCCGGCCGACTGATATTAAGTATCTTCCATTGACAACTGTTTACTTGTGCCTTTTTGATCATGATTGTATTAGTTCTCTAAATTTCAGCTCCGTACAGTAATAACTGCCTTGACGTACGTATTAAAGATTCTGACCTTAATATTAGTTGACAGTAGTTTTGAGTTCCATATATAATTCAATTGTAGGAATAAAAATTACTAAAAATCTCCACAAACAACCCCCTTATCATATGCTCACTAGTGACTGGCTCCATTAGGTATTTCCTGGAGTTCTAGTGAGAAGCAGTAACCAGTGGAGTTCAACCAGGTCTGTTGGGAGATATCAACTCACTGAAGACATTGGTGAAATGGTTTCTCAACTTCGTGGAATAGTTGAAGTAAGACATTAACACCGTTGGATGCCGGCTCAGTAGTCTTTCATCTAAGTGCTCGCGCGCGAGACTGGTAGGTCCCGGGTTCGAATCTCGCGAGGCCGGATCGTGTGTGCGCACTGCTGAGGAGTCCCACAATAGGACGAAACGGCCATCCAGTGCTTCCAGGTTTCCCCTGGTGGTCTAGCTTCTATTGATTCATGATTTCAACTATATATAAAAAATCACATTTAATGTGGATTTTAAATTTTGTCTTAATTTTTATTTGATGTATCCACGAGTTTTTTTTCCATCCTGCTGACCCTCCAAATAAAGACTGTATCCATCTCTGCTTACCATGCTTGTGAATTAAGGCTATATCGACGCAATAAGCACAGTATGCCAATTAGAGACTGACCAGTTGCAGTCCTAACACATCGATGGGAAGATTCAAACAAACAATACGAAATGTATTGTAGATTGTTTAAAATAACCTAGAAAATACAAACTTTCTTCACTGATGAATGTTTGAATGTAAAGTCAAAAGATTCAGTTTTCATTCTGAATAACTACCAATATGGTGATAAGTTTATTCCTTAATGGAGTAATGTTAATTAAATTGATAATTATAAAACATTTAGTTGTATGGAATATGTATATTGGTTTAATATGAAGAGAATTTTCACCACTAACTTGTATCAACTGGGTAAGTATTAAAAGATAGAGAGCATCGGGTAGCTATTTCATTCTAGTTTAAGTTGTGCTTATGCTTACTGCTTAGCAGTTTCAAACTAGGATGAATCGACTATCCAGTGTTCTATAGTTTCCTTTGGTCCCCCCCCCCAGCTGATATCCGTCTTTGGCAAAAAATACTTAAAAAAGAACACAATATTCAAAGTAATTAGTCCCTTTGATAAATTTCGATAGTGTAATTAGAAGACGAAGATTATCAGAACTATGTGATATATTAACATAATACAGTTTGTACAAACTGATCACACATATACTTGTTAAAACCATTCATATATAAGAATAAAAGGTCAACTAGACAAGTGGAAAGTAAGAGGAAACAAAGATAATAAAGAGAACCATGTGAGACTCACCGCGCTGGATAATAAACTAATATTACGACTGATGTGAATTGCGGAACAAGAAGCCTTAACAAACTACAGAAGCTATTTTTGGGGACGTTATTTCATTTAATTCAAAGCTTGTAAAATTAGTAATATTTACTTTTGTCCCTAGTCTATTCTATAGATCATGAGCTTTCGTTTGACGTATGATTCACTGCCATAGCATTTTCTGTTCCAAAGCTATTGTAATTTAGACGTAACCTTTTGTACTCTATTTTCTACTGTAATCCTCCGGTTTTGAACATAATTGTATCTCCCTAATTGTTGTACGTTGTGGTCGGGTTAGTTATCTATTTATTTATATATCTTTTTACACTAATCTGAGTTCGGAATTCGAGTGCTAGATCGGGATTGGAATAAAATGATTAGTGTTCCAGTTGTCCTTGTCTTCTCTCTCTCTCGTGCTTGTCAACCAATCAGGGATAGAATAGTTTTCGTCTCTTTACCCCAAGTAGTTGATCTCACTTCGAACTCACACATACACACACAAGGTTAAGCCACTTAGCCTATCGCGTCGAGGTCTTAATCTACATTACACAAGTTATACTCGGCACAAAAGTGGGTAGACCGATCAAGGACGTAACAACGACAGTAGGTTTAAGATGAAGACAAACTATTTTTGAATACATTAAGAGAGTTTGAATTTTCTTGTAGTCAAGGCTTCAATAAATCTTAATATACTCTTTGTAACACATTTGCACAATACCAAGAAAGCCATGTTAAAATCAATCATATGATCCATTTCAACTATATGTTTGACATTAAAGGATGATGGATGTTTATCATCTACTCTCATTGTTCGAAATGTATTGCGCTAATGCATCACATAGTTTTGATAATCTTTGTTTTCTTAATACACTAACTATGCAGCATTCATTCCTTAGTTTTTTTGTCGTTCTATTTTACCTTTGCGTTTGCTGTATCATTTTTGCGTAATGCCAAAATGTTTAGATGAGATTATTTTTCTTTCGTTTTCAGTACTAAAAATGCTGGTCTTTATAGACTTACTGAACGCTCAACTGGTCGTTATTGGTTAGGAACTATTATAGACACAAGTCCATCTGCATTGACTAAACGCCCAGTTAGTGCTTTAGGTAAACGTGACATTAGCTATCCAGAATTACCTCCACGTCCAGTTAGTGTTTTGGAAACTGAACGCCCTGTTCGTAGACGTGCTTCTTATGATATATCAAAGTATACATCTAGACATGATATTACTGACTGGGAACAAGAGAAAGCTGAACGTGAACTAAAACTGCTTTCGCGTATTCAACAAGAAAACTTTGCACATCTACATGAAGCTTATACAGAAGCTAAACGTACTATTTGTGTAATGGAAGAGTAAGTACATTTAGTTTTGATCCATAAATTTCCTTTTTTTCTACCAATTTACAACTAAAACCTGAGGTAACTCTAGGCGTTTACCATGCTAAAATTATTTAATCACCCTTGTACGATTAGTATTAGTTAGTTATAGTAATAGGGCCCAGCACAAATGTTCGTTAGCCAAAGTTGCCATACTGCATTAACAGGATGAAACGAAATTAACATGCTGAATATAAAGAGAAAGGGTAAACATTGGATAGTAAGGTTAAGAAAGAATGAAAAGAATACTTGCATGAAAGAATGTTTAAACTCGAGAGCTCAAACATCTAGAGTGGATCCATCTGAGACTGGTGTTGAAACATTTCATCCAACGTCTTTAACCATTGATCGTAATTATTTTGCGAACCTCAAATAGACAGTTCAAACCTAGCAACATGGCTTATTCTAACACTCATTGATTTCATGGAAAGATCCTGAATTGAACTTCTTTTAGTTTTCTTTTAACCAACCTATACATTATATGAATTGTAAGGAAAATTTCTACTTTTCATTGTCAAGCACTATGAACTAGTCGATGTTCATTTATAATAAGCTTTAAATTGTTGTAGAAACATTTTCAAATTAGACGATTTCCGTCTTTGATAAATTTGTGATACTCAGTTGTTTTCAATAACAATTGGATTTTTTGAACTCCAAGGTTCAGATTCTTCAATGATATTCGCTTTCCGATATTCTATGAGCTATCCTAACTCATTGTTTAGGTGGTTACCAGGACAATTTCTCAGATTTATAAACAGTTTTATTTACAAAAAGAGATGGATAATGGCTAGTCATAGAATCCAAGACATGAGTTTCGTCCGATTTCGAACTCCTCAGCCGATGTATCTGCACTCGTGTTGATTTTCATACAGGGACTGAGACTCATTACTTTACACTTTAAATGCCTAACAAGTTATCCACTTAGATGCTGAGTTCAAACAGCTATTAACTTGTACAACAGGGTGAACTTTAATTTATTCATATTGGTTGCATGAATCAAATCCAGGTGTGGACTACAAAACTGGAGTCCAGGTATATCCAGCTGACGATCTCCAACTAGGACGAAGTGCATGTCCTGGATTCCACTGTTAGGGACAATCCAAATTTGCTTAAATGCTTTCAATTTGATTGTAAGTTCAAGGTCATCCATACTGGAGGTACATATGCCAAAATTAACTGATCCAAACCAATGAAAGTGGGCCTCATTTATACATAAAGAGCTGCTTAGCTTGTGAATAGATTTTTGTCATAACATATACCTTATTTTTTCAGATTTAAATGTCACTTATCAATTTAGATGAAACTGATATACCCATTTTTTTAAATTATTATTTTTAGTGTTACATCCGGTGATACATTATGGCATCAACTAGGTCGACGTATTACAGTAACTGAGCATAAAGCAGCGGATATATTACGTCAGTTATTAGATTTAACTGCACAAATACACAAAAGTGGTGGTGTACATCTTGGTTTACAAGTAAGTGTTGTTAATTTATGCAGTAAATCGGGCGACACTATGATTTATGGATGGACCAATCAGATTTAAGATAGTAGGTCTTCCACTCATTTGGCTAAATACCATTTCGTCATTATGGCTGATAACAGTTCGTGTTGAAAACATTAAATATGATTTCTAACCCTAACGTTCAACAGTAAATCCTAATCCTAGTTCTTTGTACTAATTTATAACCCTCATTTAACCCTAGTAAGTAGATGGACATTTTCAGTGTCATTTTAGCGTTGCTCAAATGTCGTCCATAAATTATGGTTTGACCGTAAATTGATGGTGTTAATGGATCTTGAATCTGTTTTTTCTTCTTAAACTGTATATTTCAATAAACATCATAAAACTGACAAATAATTTGTGAGTATGGGGTTGTGAAGATTGTTGAGTTTTAATTCAGACCGTAAAACGATCGATGTTAGGTCACTATTTAGAACCTGGAAGCACTGGACGTCTGTTTCGTCCTAGCATGGGACTCCTCAGCAGTGAACATCTACTATCTCGCAAGTGGTTAATGATCTCAATTACAACTCAATAATCTCCACAACCCTATACTAATAATTATCATGCACTCACTAGCGATTAACTTCGAGAAGTAATTCTCAGAGTTCTAGTGAGAAGTCGTGACCAGTGGAGTTAAACCGTGTCGATTTTGAGGCAGTCATCCATCGAAGACAATGTAAGATGGTTGAATGACATCTTGGATTGTTTGAAGTTAAACATTAGCACCGTTGGATGCCGACTCAGTGATCTATAGGTTAGGCGTTCGAGAGCGTGAACGAAGGATCTGGGTTCGATTTTGGCGTGCGGGATCGTGAATGAGCACTTCTGAGAAGTCCCACACTAGGACTAGGCAATCGTCCAGTGCCTCCAGGTTTTAAATGATGGTCTAAACATCGATTAGTTCATGATCTCAATTAAAATAATTTATATCTTTTCGGAATGAAAGTTGCTTGTTTCTCTCTAATTTTAAATTTATGGCGATTCTTCTTTCTAATTCGACTATTCCTTTTTGGTTAGAATATATCTATCACCAGTACAATACATTTACTTGAACACTATGTCAATAATGCAATCATAGCTAATTCATAATCACGTAGATAAAAGTAGATTATTGAGTATGGGAGATAGAAAGATGGGGGGGTTGACATCACGTTGGAATGAGGAATTAGAAACATATTCCTTTTGTATACAGTAATTAAGCTGGAGTCAATGATTTGCTAAAGCCTCTGTGTTACATATGTAGTCATTGAGATACTTATTATTATTTAAGCGAAAGAGAAAAGTTGAGTAGAAGGGCTTGAAATCAAATGAAAAGAAACTGAAAGTAAATTGGTTACATTACTGTTCATAACTATTTCTTGTTTCGTTTATTCTTTTTTTTGTAGCCAGAGAATATCTTCTTTACTGATCAATCTAGGCAACGTATTGCATTGGCTGATCTAGGACAAATGCATGCACCAACTGTTGATAAAGCTGTTCGTTTATCATTCCGTTCTATGGTATATATTCCACCAGAATTAACTAATGCTATGCCAATTAGTAAATCGGCACGAGTTGGTCAATCTGCTGATATGTGGTCATTAGGCCTGTTACTTTACCAAATGTAAGTAATAATGTTAACTGTTAAAAAGCAATTACATTAAAGTCATTAATAACAAAGTAGTAATTCAGTTAGATAATATTTTCAGAAAATGTGTGAATTTGAATTGAAGTTGAAAAGCAGTCGCTCAATATGGCTTACTGAATGATATTAGATGTTTCAACTCAGCGGTCTAAAAATCAAGCATGTGTGGTGAGTCCTGAGTTCGATTTCTGTCGTTGCTCACTCCTGAGGTGTTCCATGTTTGGATAAAATAGCTGCTCAGTGGTTCTTAGTTTTCCATGGTGATCTGATTAAGGTCAGTTCTTGATGAATACTATAAATCTGACATTATTTGAAAAAATGGTCTTCTAAAGTTTGGCATTACTGACCACTGAAATCTAATCCCATGTTGCAACACTCATTTGGAAGTTATAAAAATCTAAGAGCACTTGGTATAACCATTCAGTCGATATAGGTCATGTCACTAAAGAGTTTCAAACTAGAAAAAAACAAGCTGTTCATTTTCTTGACTGATAATTATCACATTGATACTAAAATCTATTTCTTTTCATATAGGACTACTGGTGATACAGAAGGATCACCTGAACCAGAAAAACTTGAAAAGATGCATTATTCACCAAAAATGATTGATTTTACTAAACGTTTACTACATTCTGATCCAAAACAACGAATGACAGTTCATCAAGCTTTAGAACATCCATGGATAACAAGTATGACTAGTAAAAAGTATGATACAATTGAACGAGAAGATAAAGAAGATCAATTTAAATCTATTTCTTCATCAAGACCATATTCATCAAATTTATCTAAGAATTATGAATCACAAATACAAGATGAAATTCCAGAAGATGATATTGCTGAACGAATTAATAAACGTGCATATACAAGATTATTACGTTGGTTAGATGCTAGTTATATGAATGATAATGATGATATTGATATAAATGATACATCAACTATACGTAAATTATCAAGAGGTGGATCTATTCATGATTCATGTCATCGTTATTATTATGATTACCAAACATCATCATCTAAAGAATCTGAAGAGATTATTGTACATGCAAGAATTACACCACGTGGTCAAGCACCAGAAATATTAACACCTATGGGTTCAGTAAGTGCTGCAGAAGGTAGTACAACAATGTTACGTTGTGCTGTTTATTTACCAAAAATAAAAAAGCCATCACATCTTACAGATCAATTAAGTGATTTACAAATTCATTGGTCATTAAATGGTCGTGAATTAAATATTGGTCATCCATTACCATCATTAAAAACTCCTTCTACACAACATTATGTATGTACTTATGATACTGAAACAGGTGATATTAAACTTTATATTAATGATGTTACAATATATGATGCTGGAACATATGAAGTGACCATCATTGGTCGATATGGTCAAGTATCGGATTCAGCTAATTTGAAAGTTTATGGTAAATGAGTAGTATATAAAATATTTTATAATTTTTAAAAAAAAATTAATATTTACAAAGAAGGAAGTTGAAACTTGAATAGTTTAGTGACTTCTAACACCATGGTTAGTACAAAGAAATGTAGAACTAAGGAGGAATACCTTTTGCTGATCACCATTTAAATATCTGGAATTAGATATACTACACAATAGGTTTGTATTAAGCAGATCGATATACAATAGAACTACAGAAGATAATACATTTATTCATGCTATTATACTTTGTGACCTCCTACCAGGAGGTTCACTTATCGACTTAGAATGCGTAGATGACATAGTCCTGTTTGGTCGGGTAAGTAATAGTAAGGTTAGACACAGGGTATTAGGAAATTATGGTAAATCAGTTGATGAGGTCATGAATCTTCATCGACTGATATGGTTGGGCCACGTGTTACGTATATCTGAACACTGATTACCACGACGCGCTATGCTGACTAGTGTAGGGGATGGTTGGAAGAGAGTTAGGGGCGGCCTAACCAAAACCTTTCATCAGTGCTTGAATTCACTAACTTCTAGTCTGAGCCATGTTGGTAGATGCAGACTACCTGGTTGGGGTCCGCGTGACTATCGTAACCAATGGTTGGAGACTCTGGGTGACATGTCTCAGAATCGATCACAATGGCGTAGGTGTATACACTCTTTATCTTCCCTTAAACCTTGAGATTAAAATTGCTTCATAACTTTCTTCCTTCCTATACTATATCCTTATATACAACCTTTCTTTTATATATTACCATCACTAAACTAACTACTTCTATGAATTCGATGTTCATCTTGTTGTGATGATGAGGTATGGCAACTTGGACCGATGCATATGTGTACCTAGTCCTACGTTGTATCTGACTGACTGACTTGTTGCAGTATAGAAAGAGATGTCATTAAAAGCAGAAAATGATATTTAAGGCATAAGTAGAAAACAAGCACAGAGTAGTATAGTGTCTGTTGCTGTGTTAAGCCCTTATACCTTATTCAAGCTTCTGGAAAGGTCAATTTATACATTCTTCTTGAGTCATATTTTGTTAATTATTTACTTGCCAACCTGACTGTTTTTATATGAGCGTATGTTTGTGTACACTTGTTATCCTATTCATCACATGTCTGTAACCTACTTTTATCTGAGTATAAATATTGATTAACGCTTGATTAAATCGAGTTGGCTTACATGCCTTCTCTATTGCGCGTCATTTTGCTTCTCTCTCTCCTCTTCACTTCGTTTTTCCGATCGTTTCTCTGGATCAACGATTGCACGAAATATACGTATTTGAAATCCATTCTTGTATTGGATTTATTTAATTCCCTTATTCACCAAAGCGATTTAAATCGATGAAATATACGAGGATAGCCGATATGTGTATTTCGATGACAATCAGCATACAATCCACTTGGAGTCAGATATTAAAGTAGTAAGTTATTACGGATTTATAGCAAAACTCGAACTTAATACTTCTGACTTCAAGCATCGTCAAATTATCCACTTAGGTACCGAGTTCAGATAGCTACTAGCTTTTGCAATAGGGTGAAGTTTAATTAATCTTGTATTGGTTGTTTGAATCTTGACAATGACATTTAGGACTGCAATTGATTAGTCGTTTATCCACTTGACGGGTCCCAATTAGGACGAAGTGTACATCCTTGATTCCACTGCAAGCCACAATCCATCTATGCTTATAATGATCGTTACTAAAGGAAATATCGAGGAAATAACAGACTGATCATTTGCAGTCCTAAATGTTAATCAGAAGATTCAAGCAACCGGTACAACATGAATGAAGTTTATATTGTGTTTTGTTTTACAGATAAATTAGTTATGATTGACTTTTCTTTTCATTATTTTATGTAGAATCAACAACTCAACGTTCAAGTATTAATTCTGATTTATATGTAACAAGTGAATTAGGTGCACGTATTCTATTACCATTAGTTGATATGACATGTACAACTGGTGGTAAGATTCAAATGAAAGCTAAAGGTGAGTTAGACAAACAGTTGTTTAGTATTTTGTCATATGTTAATTGTTTTGTTTTAATGTTTTTTTTGTCTTATTTTCCTTACATACTGACTTGGATCTATGAAAAATTTATAAACATTGAATAATCAGAAAGGGTTTTGTGGAGATTTCAGTATTTTCATAGTTGAAATCATGAGTCAATTAAAGTTAGACCACTATGGAAAACCTGGAAGTACTGAACGGCCGTTTCGTCTTATTACTGAGGAGCTCTACAATAGGATGAAACGGCCTTCCAGTGCTTCCGGGTTTTCCATGGTGATCAAGCTTCGATTGACTCATGATTTCAACTATGAAAACATTGAATAGTTTCAATATAAGATTGTAAACATTGTTGAGTGTAATTAAAATCACAAACCCATATTCACTGTTAAGGAGTTCCACATTAGACCGAAACGGCCATCCAATGCTTCCAGGTCTTCAATGGTTATCTAACTTGGATCAGTTTATGATGTTGATAAAACTGAATATTTTATTTCATCCTAGTTTTAGATATACATCTTCACTTCACATATTCCATATAATTATTAAGCAATTAACCTACGCATATTCATGCTTCTCTCATTATAAGCTTTATTTCGACCCATAGACTATTATTATACGATTTACCATTCTTGAGTTATGCCTAGTCTATTAAATACAGTCTCCCACATTGACAACCACATTTGGGCACAGTCTTGTATAAATATTGTTTTCCATTTCGTGGTATGATGTGGTCTGTTTGGTTTGTATATAAACCCAGTATGTTTGAAATACATGTATCATATTGCAGAGGCTGAGATTGATGTTCCGGATGCAACACACATGGAGAAGCACCGATAAAGACTTCAGACTGTTGGTACGGGTTTACGCATCATTGGTCCGGTCGACAAGTTGCTGTTCTCTAATTAGTGGTATCATTACGTTATATATTAATAGAGTACAAGGCCATAAGTTATATCATTGATTTAGTGAATATCACATTAAGCGAAGCTACAAACATCGTTTTATAGATAATACATAATCATTAAATAAATCTTATCATATACTTATTAATGGAGTTACTTTTGTTCATTTTTTTTTCAGTTTGTGGGATACCAATTCCTCGATGTACATGGTTACATAATGGTGTCCCATTAACAGCTTCATCACGTAGACGTTTCTATCAAGAAGATATGAATGGTACATCATCTTCAGAATTAATGTTAAAACTTGAAATATCTGACATTACAATAGCTGATGCTGGACTTTATTCTTTAGTAGCTACTAACAAATATGGATCACAAACATGTTCAGCTGTTATTGAAGTATTTGGTAAGTAGATCTTTGTTTTTTCAAAATCTTTTACTTGTAACATCCCTATGTACATTTATTAGTTTATTAGCATTGTTTTTTCTTTTAGAGTAAAATATAATGATCTTACTTCTTACATTTACGTAAGAGTATGGCTAAGCATAGGTTATTTGGTAACTACTATTGTCATATGTATTGATGTATTGGGAAATTGTTAACCAGTCAATGCTATTTATAAGTGAATGATCAGGATGAAATAAATTGTATATCTACACATGAAATGTAAAAAAGTATAAATTGATAGCAAAGAGAGCCCTATTCCTAAAACTACAATTCATTGAAGATTCAGCTAGCTATTTCTTGCATGAAAGATTAGCAAAGGCAGTTAGTTAAGACATTCTATTGTAACCGGATGTTATTGCAGTCTCAGAAACATAGTTAACGTCAGAAGTGTTTGATAATGAAATTCAGTTGACTGGTTTTATATCCAGTAAGGCTGATAGATTAAATTATAGGGAGGTGGGGATATCCTGTACACGAAAAGTACCTTAATCATACGACCTGCTGAGGCAATGGGACATGATTCAGGGACATGTGAACTGGTGCATTGCAAGTTGAAATGTAGATGGCAAGATATTGAATTAATTGTAGTATATCGCAGTCCAGAATGAGTGGTAGATGACTTCCTCCTAAGCAAACTTAAGTCCTGGTGTAATAGGAGAAAAAACCTTATATTAGGCGACTTCAATGCACCGTATACGAACTGGGTTAACTTAGAAGTAGGGTCATCGATAACATCAATTGATTGCAAATATTTAGAAAGCTCAACTGCATTAGCTTTATTCCAAGACATTAGAGATCCCACTAATCTTACAATGGGATTTTCTGGTAGACCAGTAACATTCACTTAAATTAAAGATAAATTACCTGAATTTGCCTCCTCAATGTTTAACTACAAATCTAACTTCTCCTGAGTAGGTAACTATATTGGAATTACTACCAGGCAACTTAACCAAAAAGTGAACATCTCTCACTATGATCTGGAAAAGGCTAGACAAGTACAACACGCACACCTAGTTGACAGTGATCATATGATAGATAAAACCAAACCATTCCTATCGATCCATCACATATCTTCTTCGTTCCCCTAAAGGGTTTGATCCTGTCTCCTATAGGGATTCCTAACCTATATCCCTAATTAATGTGTTTAGAAGAGATTCTCGACACCCTTGACTCTTTGTTGGTTGAATATAACACAAAAAACGATATTTTTCACATCCTGTACTTGTTTGTTGTTCTTCATTGAGTAATATATATATATATATATATATATATATATGAATTAGCTACAAGCCTCAACTTGTGAGGTATCTATGGCTTTTTGCGCATCTGTAAGTCTGAAATGAAAAAGGCTTCGATAGTGCAATGACAGCCAATAGCTGTGTCTAATCTTAATAACGTTATGTCAACAAGCAAAAACGGGACAAAGAGTAAACAACATGGAAACTGTTCCGGTTGAACAAGGATTACACGACGACACAAAAACTGAGAATTACTGCTACAGAGATTGAAAGAAGGTAATTATAACTTTAAATACAATAAATATTATAAGTATATATAAGTATTTTAGAATATTACACGATAGACTTGCGTTACAACATACGCGTATAAATTGTTAGGAATACAACTGTTTACTGAATAATAACAAGTAGTATAAATAATACACTAAAGAATTCACTTAGTATTGTTTGTTTGAATCTTCCCATTTATGTTTAGGACTGCAACTGGTCAGTCTCTTATTGGCATATGTGCATACAGTGCGTATTGCCTCGATATAGCCTTATTTCACAAGCATCGTAAGCAAAGATGGATAGTGGCTAGCAATGGAATCCAATTTGACGCACGTTTCGTCCTACTTAGGATTCGTCAGCTGGATGTATCCATCTTTGCTTAAATGCTTGTGAATTAAAGCTATGCCGAGGCATTACACACAGTATGCCCATATGGCCAATAAGAGACTGACCAGTTGCAGTCCTAAGCATCAATGGGAAGATTCAAACAAACAATGCTAAGTGAATTCAAACTTCACCTCATTACACATGCAAGTGGCTATCACGACTCAGTAGCTGAGTGGATAACGCGATGGCGTTTGAAGCTGACGGTACTGGGTTCGAGTCCCAGAGCGAACATCAACTCTGAGATGCAGATACATCCAACTGACGAGTCTCAAATAGGACGAAACGCGCGTCAAACTGGATTCCACTGCTAGCCATTATCCATCTTTGCTTACAATACACTAGAGATTTGAAGGGGAGAAAATAAGGACAGAGGATGTAAACAGGCATAACATATATGTTGTATTAATTTTCATGATGGGAATCTTCAACTAAATTAGTTGCGTAAACTTCTCTCCGGTGAATTTCTCACTTTTTCTTGGTGAAGGATAATCTTATAAATAAATTCCTTTCTTATTTATATATATCCTTTTATTTTATTATTCTTAAGTGATTATTGTTATGAAATTTTTGTGGTAATTATTATTACTATTATTCCATAGCTTCTCTTGAGGACGGTTCAGAAGCACCACATTTTCTGAAAGAATTAACAAGTATTACTGTTGTTGAAGGAAGTGCTGCTCGTTTTGAAACATGTGCACGTGGTCAACCAGCACCAACTGTACGTTGGCTTAAAGATGGTAAACCATTATTAACTGATGGAATACGTTTATGTGTATCACAAACATCAACTGAAAGATCTGGTACTAATACATCTAGTCATACACTTTTAGTTAAAGATGCTATAACACGTGATAGTGGAACATATACATGTATCGCAACAAGTTCATCAGGTACTGCTATCACTGAGGCAGCATTACATGTTCGTGGTAAGTTGATTTCTTTCAATCTTATTCAAGTTAAACCACTCTAATTATAATGTTATTCATAAATGCATAACTCTAAAGACTCATTTATTTGTATTGAGTAAAATATTGTAATAAATAATCACTTCATTGAGTAGTTGTAGAAAAATAGAGGTGCCTTACTTTACCCCCAGATACACAATTTTCAGTAACCCATAGAATAGAAGTTTACAAATTATGCTGGTAATATATGTTAAAGAGCTTTAAACATGTGTGTGTATGTGATGATGTCGTTCAGAAGGACGATGAAAGCTTCACGACAAAACCAATCAGCTCAGAGAAAAAAAACCCATCAAAGTATGTGTATGTATTAATTAGGACTAAAAGTAAAGCCTCTATATATTGGTAATTTAAATAATTTGAAGTGTTCATTACTTACTTACTTACTTACTTACGCCTGTTACCCCTCGTCGAGGAGCATAGGCCGCCCACCAACATTCACCATCCAACTCTGTCCTGGGCAGTCCTTTCCAGTTCATTCCAGTTGTTATTCATTCTTTTCATATCTGATTCTAATTCCCAACGTAATGTGTTATTTGGCCTTCCTCTTTTCCGCTTCCCTTCCGGATTACAAGTTAGGGATCGCCTTGTAATGCACATTGGTGATTTCCTTAATGTATGTCCTATCCACTTCCAACGTCTTTTCCTAATTTCCTCTTCAGCTGGAAGCTGGTTTGTCCTCTCCCATAAAACGCTGTTGCTGATAGTATCCGACCAGTGAATGTTGAGTAATTTGCGTACACAACTGTTCATAAATACTCGTACTTGAGGATGGATGTAGTAGTTCTCCACGTTTCAGCTCCGTACAGTAGGATTGACTGTCTTGACGTTCGTATTGAAGATTGTCACTTTGAAGTTAGTTGAGAGTTGTTTTGAGTTCTATATGTTCTTCAATTGTAGAAATGCTGCCCTTGCTTTGCCAATCCTCGCCTTTACATCTACATTAGAAGCTTGCTTTTTCCTTTGTGTATGTTAAGGTCTATTGAGTGTTCATTACATTTCAAATATTAATTAAACCATATCATATAATCAGAAGGGGATTTGTGGAGATTTCAGTATATTTCAAAGTTGAAATCATGAGTCAATCGAAGCTAGACCACCATCGAAAACCTGGAAGCATAATAGGACGAAACGGCCGTCCAGTGCTTTCAGGTTTTCTATGGTGGTCTAGCTTCAATTGACTCATGATTTCAACTTTGAAACATATCATATAATTTTATTAATCATTTTCAATCATAAAAATAAATTTTTCCCTAGGTTTATTTGGTCGTGGAGGTCATACTGGCTCAGATACAATTAATAGTGGTGGTATTCGACATCGTCATCCTGAATTTACTCGTCGTTTACGTAATCAACAAGTTGATTTTGGTAGTACTATACGATTAGCTGCATCAGTATTAGCTCAACCATCAGCTACAGTGGTATGGCAAAAAGATGGTATAGAAATTTTAACTGAACCATCAGATGATCCAAGAATTACTGCTAAAGTTAGTTTGATTATTTCATACAAGATCTAAATTTATGTATATTCTAAACTATATAAAGTGTAATTTACTATTTGATAAGTCTTGATGATTGAACGCTATACTTGGATCCTAAACTAGTCTCGTAACCCCCAAGCTAAATCTACGCAGCGACTTGAACACGAGAAAGAAGGAGCAAAGTATACGAGAAGCCCTTTACTCCAAAGGTTTATTTATCTGCTGAAACTATAGGATGTTTATAGTATTTTAGAAGTCCTTGAGTTTTCCTGAAGATTCTGGAATGCTACTAAACATAATAGCAGTGTAGTAATCAGCCAATCAGAAACTTTGCACGTGACTTTTCACTTTCGCGATGTTTCTAGCAAAACTTGTAATCAAACGCTGATTGGATAGAATGCTCCTTAATGTTTCCTGAGGTTGTCATGTCTATTGAGAGAAATTTTCTGGATCATCCCAACACCATTTGACATCATTTCTTGTTCAAGACACATTCAATCATAAATAATCAATATTATTCGAAGAAAAATTATCGAATTCTCAACATCTACATCATACTTTATTGATCTCACAGGATTTCAACTGCAAGTCATGAAATTTCAGTGTTTATAGTACAAAGTCTGATACAACAACCAGTTGATCCTGAAAATCAGTATTCGCTTCATTTACGAACAGTATTAGTAAACTCATAAGGGATCAAATTCAGGATCTTCATGTAGTGGATGAGAACACAAACAAGGACAATCAAATATGTTACAATGTATTACAGAATATATTGATAAATTCGAAGAATCGTACAGTGAATACTTCATTTGCAAAATATCCATCAGTTGTCTCAGACTTTGTTGTTCCTCCGTTTCCATACCAATCACTTTCTGTTCTCTTCCTCTTCTCTTTGATTTTCTCAACCTCCTGCCATTAGGCATTCCACTTTCGATTGATGATACAATCTATTTATATCTGTCGATATCAGTAGCACACACCTTTAGAGTTAAACATTTTGATGGTATAACTAGTAAGTGGTGAAATTCTATTATTTTAAACACTGTCATCACTATCATCATCATCATTAAAAATCTCTTTTTATTATGTAACTGTTAATTTACAGAATCATAGCGGTCATTTAGAATTACGTATTGAAAATGTATGTAAAGATGATTTAGGTCAATATACAGTGATTGCATATAATTCTGCTGGTGAAGCTCGTTGTTCATGTATTCTACAAGGTACAACAAAAATGGAAATACAAGTACCTAAATTCACTAAAGAACTTCGTGATTATACAATACTAGAAGGTACTAATTTATGTTTAGAAACTATAGCAATTGGTGAACCAATACCTGAATTCAAATGGTAAGTAATAGAAAATTTATTTCTATTGAATAATTGAACAATTGTTCAGTACATTCTTTTCATTTATGTTGGGACTATCAAGTGAGCTACGTTGAACTTAGACACAGAGTAATAAGGAAATTTAACAAATTTGTTAATGTGATAGTGAATCTTCACCAACTGAAGTGGTTAAGGTATGTATTACATAAGCCCCATCAATGTCTACTTCAATGCCTAATGTTCGTTGGTATAGAATTATGCTGTAATAATAACTTAGACGGCTAAAACAAGACATGAAATCAATCAATGAAGCTATTGATTGTTAAACTGAGCTGTGAGAATAGGTGTAGACCACCTGGTTGAAGTCAGTGTTGGAAACGCTGGATGTCATTGTTATGCCTTGATCAAGGCCGTCGCCAATTGTTATATCTTGCTAGTATATAACACCTCCCCTTTTTGAGAAATCCGGAGTTGATATCCGGATTTTAAATTTCTCGAATTCATCCTCCCCCACGAAAGACTGTTGGATTCTCATATACCCAAGCTACTATTAATGTAACATTATATAAAACATGTTTGTCACATTTAACAGAGAATCCATTAGAACTGACTATATACATTCGATTTGAGGTCACCAGTGTTTGATTCTTCTGAAACAGTTTTCTTGAATTTATTCGGAACCTCATTAGTAGATAATGAATCCTTGGGATAATCAGTGTCTATGAAAAATATATTGGATTCTTGATTATCATTTAATGCATCCGACAATTTTCTCCCATTTTTATAAGAGATTTCAACAGGAACATGTGAGTTATCAAAATAATCAAAATCTGGCAGAACAATTAGAGAATCTTGATCATTAGATTCATTAGAAATTTTTTTGCATCAAGACTAGTTTCATTTGGCGCAACTGTATTCACTATACTGCTCGATTCGCTTCCCGTTTCTTCGTGGGCGGGTAATGCAGCAATTTCATGAGCATTTAGCAAGACATTTACTTTCTGTGAACAGGATAATCCACTGTTTGCACATCCTTTTTCGGGGATAATAGAATTTGGACCGTTTATAGGGCATGTCTCTGAAATAGGCAGTACTTGACTACTGGGCTGATCATGTATGACTGCTGCTGCTGCGTTTAAATTACTGTTTTTCACGGATTCATTGAGGCTTTCCCCGGCATATTCATTCGTTCTGCAATCAATTTCCAGCTCTGTACGCAATTTAGAAATTAATGCGTCAACTTCCGTTGCACCCCTAAAGCATGGCTGATTCAGCAGCTTTGCGTGTAACTTGTCAATGAAATTCAACTGACTCCTCTTAAAACGCTGCTCTTGTCGCTGCATTAGCAACTGAAATTGATCGGAAGTTAGAACTATTTCTTTTAACCCAGTCGCCAATTGTTGTGTCTTGCTAGTATATAACAGTCATGGCTAATAATTGGTCTCCTATAGTTGCTTTCCTTTGATCTTGACTTTCAGAATTGTCTTTCGCTTCTTCTTGTCGTGTGAACTAATTTTTATCCCATAACCACGGCGTCTACGTCTAATCTTTTTTGCTACCACTGATACTGTTACTAATTCTCTATTACACTTTGATATTTATTATGATAGTTTCAACTCAGTATGCTGATAAGTTTGGTAACTTGAACTGACACATAAATATCCCAGGTTCTATGGTGTTTATGACTGGCTGACTTTTACTGAGTTAAAGATTGTCAGTGATAAGTATGAATTCGTTTTATTAGTATCAAGTACTCCTTTAGGTTCCTTCAGTCCAGTAATGATATGCTATTTACCGTTACTTCAGTGTATTTATTAACTGAGGGCAATATCTAAATGGTATACTTTTATTATTAATTTGCTTCAATTTTCATTTTCTATCTAATGTATAAAATAGGGAAAAAGATGGTTTTGAAATTCTTCCCGATGAATATGGTCCACCACGTATTACACCTGGTACAAATGGCAGTGGTTTAGCTTATTTACGCATTCACAATGTCCGTAGTTCAGATGCAGGTTTGTATCGTTGCATTGCATACAATAGATTTGGTCGTGAAAGAACAACTTGTATTGTTCACGTGGAATCAATCAAACAAAAAGGTGTACATCGATCAGATATGATGAATGGATCATTTACTTCGAAAAAAGACACAGATTCTTCTTTAGCAATGTTATCTGAGAATGGTATTAAAGCATCACCGAGGGATCATTCAGATTCACCTAGATTAACTGGATATATTAATGTGTTACGTCCATTGCCTAAGACTGTTGAAGTTGAAGAAGGCAGTCCTATTGAACTGACATGTCGTGTTGATACAAATTTACATTACATTCGTAAGTATTATTTGTTGATTAGACGATGAATATTGTTTTCTTTAAATCGTAATAATATAACTGCAGAATTTAAACATTACCTGCTTGCCACATTGTACTACTATTATACAGTTTTGCGACCGACAAGACCAAGATTATACTACCACGAGACTGGATGCTTAATTGATAGGCTATACACAGACGTTATATCAGGTACACGATTCACAGCTAGTAATAGAGAATATGGGTATACGCTAGACAATACTTTATTCAAAGGGATTAGTTACGTTCAGTGAGTCCAGAGTAAAAATCAACACTACGAAAGGAAATCATGTATTTAATGATCAGTAAGTTGTGTGTTCATTTGTTCACGTTCGGTGACCAATCTCATTTACTCTCAATAGTCACGCATCACTGAACTTTTCCTGTAGACAAAAGATGCAGTTACTCGGAAAGTTATTCATATTTGGATGATGTATGGTCTAAGATCACCCTGTATTCAATGAAAACCTCTGGCATGATCATGAACCCAAAACTTTAAAACAAATCTCTGAGGTTAGAATTTTAGGAAGGACTAGAAGAATACTTTAAAAGATTACTTCCCCCTAAATGTTCAGTTCTTAACGAAAAATATGTACCCAATAAACACTGATTGTTCTCGAATGAATTACTAGGTTAGAATCTAATAACTTTTAAAGTTTGATTATGTTAGCTGATTCATAAGTACTAAGCTTTCTTCTCACGAATTAAAACTGTTACACAACATGATTAATTGTTTGTACTCATATCTAGATCTAATCAGCTTCTATTACCGTATCGGTGGTTCGTAAATGAATACTTTGATATTAATTAGATCCACAGTTGGATTCTATTTAATATGTATTTGATAAGTCTTGTTGATTGAACTCTATATTCGGATCCTAAGCTATTCTCGTAACCCCCAAGCTAGAACTACACCGCGACTTGAACACGAGAGAAATAGCGCAAAATATACGAGAAGCACTTTACTCCAAAGGTTTTTATAGTATTTTAGAAGTCCTTGGTTTTTCCTGATGATTCTAGAATGCTACTAAACATAGTAGCAGTGTAGTAATCAGTCAATCAGAACCTCTACATGTGACTTTTCACTTTCGCTATGTTTCTGGCAAAACTTCCAATCAAACGCTAATTGGATAACATGCTTCTTAATGTTTTCCTGAGCTTGTTATGTCTATTACGAGAAATTTTCAGGATTGCCCCAACAGTATCGAACGAATTTCTCTTGGTTATACTTATTTGATGAACTAAATAATTTCCCTCATATATTTGTTTTCTTTATTAAATAGCTACATGGAGTAAATCAGGTCGAACTTTAACATATGATGGTCGTAGAAGAATTACTCGTAGTAAAGATGGTGAACTTACATTAGCTATTGATCAAGTTATGTCTAATGATGAAGGATCTTATACATTGACATTAGAAGCTTCTGATGCAAATGCACCAAAAAATCTAGAACCAATTGTACTTTGTACTCGTGTTCAAATTAAATCAAAACAAAGACCACGGTAAATTTAATTATTTGTATACAATAATATCAGTTTTTCATTTTACATTTCAATCTAATCATAAATACAAAGACAGTTGAAGCTAACAAAATGTTCGAAGACAACTATTTACATGGTCCCCAAATGCCCTGGTATAGCCGAGAGTGGGGAGAATCCGCTCTCCCTCTTGAATGCTCTCACATGGCTATGCGTAATATAGCCTCTGCCAGAGAAGTACTACTCACTGCCTTCTCGTGGCACCGGTGATGTTTACGAAATTAAGAGGACGAAAAGCGAATGTCCGACGCTTTAACCGGGTTGATAGACATGGCGAGTCCACCTAGGAGAGTTGGAGAACCCTCATTCCAAACCAATGGTGCACATGGTCTCCAGTAGCCTGAGGGAGCAAATGACGTATGAACCAATTGTTGATCACCGGCTACCATGGGAATACATCGCCCCACGATGCTCCACTGTCTTGTGGATCAGACCCCTAGGTCAAAGGCTATGGGTGTGGCCCCCTCAGAAAACCACCTGTTTTAGTTTGGGCACCTGTGTAGTATCACAGCCCTCACACAAATCAAATGAGATTTGTGTGGTGCATGTGTGTCTCGTACCCGTTTGTACCAATATTTATGTGTATAAATAAAGTAATAAATTTACATGGAAGATTATCGGAGCAGTAATTTAATGTTTGCCGAATAATTAAAACTCTTTGTTTCTGCATAAAGTAAGGCATATCGTTTAGAATGACAATGAAACTTTTGGGATTAATACACCACTGAGTCTAAGTAAATTGCTCAGGACAGAGTTGGATAGAGAATGCTGGTCAAAGGCTTATGCTTCTCGACGAGGGGTGACAGACATAAGTAAGTAATTAAGTAATACATGGAAAGTTTAGAAAATAAAACGTGTTCAATTCTCAAGTGTATAGTGATCGCTTACTTGGTAGTAATTAATATCATATTTATCTAGTACATAGTGGCATTCGTATTCCATTAATCAAACTGTAATATTCCCAAAACGTCTCAACAATTTGACATTACGTTCACTACTTCTAAATGTTAAGTGGCTGGAGGCTATCGGAAGGAACTTTAAAAGTAAATTTATGCTAATTAACACTTGTCAGTAAAGTGTATCTTAAATAGTGAGGAAACTAATGATAGGTAGAATTCGATCACCACTGACTGACGTAGGTTCGAACCACAATAAAGAGCGTCAATTCTCTTAGAATAACATATGCATCTTGCTGAAGAGACCCATCTGAGGGATTCTGTTGATCGCCTGTAACTATCTACATCACTTTCATAAATTTACACAGTAACATTTAATAATGAACTACTAAATGAAAATTCACTGTGATATATAGATGTCTAACCATTTGTGAAAGTGATTTGTTTGCAAAAATCAATCATATGATCCAATACACAGTTTTATTTCAAACATACTTTATACTCATCAATGAATCTGTTATGTCCCGATAACAATAGTGAATGGTAACTTTGGGATCCATTTATGGACCAATATTATGCATATATTTTTTTATCGTATCATCGCTAAATAACTAAACTAGTGATGTTCTTATTCCTTTCATTGTGAGCTCTATTTTGACCCTTAGACTATTATTGTACGATTTACAATTCATGAATTACACCCGCAGTCAACTAATTACTGCTCCCCCTATTCACAGCCACATTTGACTAACTCTTGTACAAATGTTATTTCATATTTTATGGTACAATGTGGTCAGTTTGATTGGTATATAAACTCAGTATGTTTGAAATACAATGATTCATACCACAGGGACTGTTCAGGACTTAACTGGCAGGGGTAGGCAGATTCAGGACCGACAAGTAATCTAGACTGCTCATACGGTTTTCATGTGTCACTATTCAAATTGATAATTTGCTTCTGTCTAATTGGCGGTCTTATCGCGCCATACATTAACTAGGCATCCACTCGGTCACAAATTATAACAGAATCCAACACTTAATGAATTCTCAATTGATTGGTCACTGGGTGGTGATCAATGTCATGCGTGTCAAGTCCTTCTTATTGCTGATCGAACGCTATCGATCAAGTTGCGATGTCGCCACTAGTCTAGGTAACTCGACACTGCGTTCACTATGTTGAGATAAGATGGTGGTTGGAGGTGGTCAACAGGAAACCCTGGACCCGGGTTTCGTGCTACTTGGCACTCGTCAGCAAGGTTCCCTCACAATTACAGGTACACCTTGCTGACAAGTGACATGTAGCACGAAACTCGGGTCCAGAGTTTCCTGTTGACCACCTCCAACCACCATCTTAACTTAATGAATTCTATTTGACTTCTTCAAATCACTTGAACTAATGTTTGTTTATAGATGAAACACTTTTTTTACAATTTATATAAGTGTATTCATTTGTTTCCTGTTACTTTTCTTTGATCATAGTTATGATACAGTTTCACATGGATCATCTCGTGCTAATTCACGAGCAACAAGTGTTTCAAATGGTCGTACTTCTAGAGAACCATAATATTCAATTATAAAATAAGAAAGTCTAAACCACAATTATCATGTATTCATATATGATATTTGTTTATATTGTTTCATCATCTAAGATACATATATAAACCATTTTAAGTCTTGTTTCTATAGCAACAGTTTATGTTATTGATGGGAATCAATGTGAATGAACTATTCAATTAACTAGGACTCAACTGCTTCTAGATCTAATTTTTTTCTATAAAAAAAAACAATTAAGTAAATGGAAAATCTTCAAGATTTCGAAGTTTTCGTATTCACATCATCAATTTTATGAAGATTTTTTCTTACTTGTTAAACATTGATACTACTAATTTTGTTTGTTCACATATATATTCATTTCTGTTTAAAAAAAAGGATTAAACTTGATGTATGAAAAGAACTATACATATAGTATTCGTTTCTTTTACTTTGTTTAATACAAATCAAATTTATTGTTGTACACATCCCTTTAAAGTATTAACTACTACTACTACTGCTGTTACTAACACTATTACCACCACTAATACTACTACTACTACCACTACTATCACCACTACTACTACTACTACCACTACTAATACTACTATTACTACTGCTACCATTCTATCTAACTACTTATTTAATGATAAATGCATTTATTAGTTTACAATAATCGATATGTAAGAATATCCCTTTTTGAGTATATTACATTTCATTAAAATATCCTAATCCCTCCTAATGCCTTCCCTCCTTCCCCACAGCCCCCCCCCTTCCTCATTTATTTCATTCATCCTTTCACAATTTATTAATTTAGAGAAATGAATGTAACTAAGGAAAAGAAAAATTTATATGTATCTCTAATGAAAAATAACGCATTATGATTAGTTTTTATTTATAATCAATTAGAATGTTTACAAACTTTACCATGAATTTGTTTGTTTGTTTTTCTTTCCTTTTTACCTTTATTGGTAATGATTACGCAACCTTATTTACTGATTGGAATTATTTAATGAATCAGTGAAAGAAATGCTGAAATAAATCATTTGATAATTAATTGATTATTATTATTATTATCAGAAGGGGTTTTGTGAAGATTTAGTATTTTCATAGTTGAAAGCATTAATCAATTGAAGCTAGACTACCATGGTAAAACTGGAAGCTCTGGCGCGAGACTGGTAGGTCCTGGGTTCGGATCTCGCTCGCGAGGAGGGTACGTGAATGCGCACTGTTGAGGAGTCCTATAATAGGAGGAAACGGCCGTCCAGTGCTTCCAGGTTTTCCAAGTAAACAACACAAAGTGAATGTAAACTTCACCCCATTGCACAAACAAGTGGCTATCAAAACTTAGTAGCTAAGTGGATAACGCGATGGCGTTTGAAGCGGACAGTATTGGATTCGAGTCCCAGAGTGAACATAAACTCTGTGATGCAGGCACATCCAGCTGACGAGTCCCAAATAGGAAAAAACGCGCTTCTTGGATTCCAATAGTAGCCATTATCCATCTTTGCTCATAATGTAACTGGTTTGATTGTGATAATTGCAAATCCTGTAGTGTTTATTAGTAATCATTATTTGTACCATGTTGTCTTCTGTGCCTTGCTCAGTTATTTTCTATTCTAATAGAAAGTTGATTTACAAGTCTGTATGTAATACTTGTTAGTAGAATATATTGACGCAGATATTTATGAGAAAGAAATATAGTTGTTATCTGGTATAAGCTTGTATCTTAGCTAAGCTTTACTCATTTTCCAACAATGGGAAGCATATTATAGTCGTATGATGTTGAGGAAACATCTACCCTAAAATTCTCATTCTGAGCAACAAATATTCTTAATTATATCTCAACTTAAGAGTCTGATTGGGTAAATAATTTTCAAAAAGTTACAATCTATCTATGTTATTGAAGTTATTTTAATTGAATTAATTCAAAGCCTATTACTTGTGATATAGATGAGTGAATAAATCAAATGCCAAGGTAGTTCGTAAATTAATCAAAGATTATTATTAAAACAACCAATCTCCTATGAATAACTTTGCGCTGAAAGCATACTGTACTATCATGTTCGTCGAATGATTCTTAGAATAAACTAATGGAGTGATCCCGTTTAGAGTTGTACATTAAAACAAATACTCGTTATGATTGGTTAGGAATGGGAAAGTATAAAATTGGACTACATTTCCTAAAATTTCTCCACTGCCTTATGGATCAAATCTTTAGGTCAAAGGCTCCTAATAAAACCACCTGTTTCGGTTTGGGCACCTGGACAGTATCACAGCCTTCACACGAATCAAATGAGATTTGTGCGGTGCATACATATATATGATACCCCTTTGTACCAATATTTATGTGTTTAAATAAATAAAATAATGCTCCAAAAATAAATTACCTACCTATCCTGATGTATGATTATAAAGTGTATTTATTGAAATTCTTTAACTAATCGTATCAAAGTCACCCGAAAGTAGAGTAGACTACCTTCTTCTATAATGTTGAGATTACTGTATTACCAATCAGTGTTCAAAAGAATAGTTGGACGAAATATCCCAATCTTAAAAATGTTTTATGCAATTCTGTCCTATGCTTTAGAAAACTTGTCTTTGCAAATTGAGGATGTTCAACAACTTTCTGTGCTTTATCTCTGTTACATGAAATTGTCACTTAGTATCACTTTCATTCAGTTATCAACGAATGTTGGGTTTGGAGTGAACTAATTAATTTTGTCCATACAGCCTTAGACTGACCTATTGCTCTCTATAATAACCGAATTATCTGATCAATGCTCTTTCAACAGAATTTCGGTAAAAATTCTCAGCCTAAGATTGGTATAAATTATACTAACCTATAATCATATAATGAACACTAGTTCTCTGAACTGACAGAAGTATAAGCTAGACTACACGACATTCCAAATCGTTGTTCAGATATTTAAATGGTATCACCTTTAATTGAAGTGTTTCATCATGGTTGGTTTGAATTTCCTTATGAGGATGGACATCAATCTTCATAGTTTGGGGAAAACTTAGCTAACTTAATGTACACCAGACAATATATAGGTGTTCAGTGAAATCATCACGGTTCCATAAAACAAAAGATTTTGTCATTTGCCCTGACATGACCGACAGTTAAGAGAGTCCAATTATATTTTGTGTGCAATTCTATACTTCAACTCACTTAGCAGTTTATCTCTGTTGAAAATCCTGTCCCGTTAAATATCTCAGTTCGTTGGATGATCATTTTGATGAATAGTGTCATCGAGTACAAAATCTGGCATATATTTTTGAAGCCATGTCTGGCACCCAAACGTTCATCCTTCAATGCTCAAATTCCCGTGCAGAATGGACAATACAGCATGCTGGCTTTCTTTGGAAAGTTTTGGTACTAATATACGCTGTACACCGAAATCCAAGTACAATTTAGTTCTCCATCTCTCCGTCAAAAGTTTATTCCATGTGCGCTGATCCTGGACACTGTAGCACCGACATCCAATCCCTCTGGCGTCGGTGTCTCTCTACGGCGTAAAGTATTAATTTGGTTTATCCTTATTAATAGTTGCCCGTGTACTTTCACACTAAAACGCTCAACCAAAGTGAGAACTGATGTCTTTTCGTAATCTCCAGCTACTCACCAACAGACTGTAGCACTTATGGAATCTAAGATTTCAACCAACAAGTCAACGATCTCAATAAAGCCTACTCAATAGATAGTGTCAACCGATGTGGATGTGCAGGTCAAGTGAATAGACGCAGAGGAGGGTGGCCTGAGTAGGAACTTTATGATAGCTGTAAAATTGTCAGTTGAAAAATGTGTCTAAGTTTATTAACGTCTTGAAGGCTCTGTTCCGCCTGAACTTTGCCATTGATAACATTGTGAAAACAGCTCAGATTGAAATAGGTACTAGTGGTGTGAATCTACCATGAGAAAGATTTTTCAGCCTTATATATGCGAGTATCGTTGTTTCAATGTGCAATGATACAAAAACTATTCAGATCACGCTTACTCAGTTAAGAATATCTCTAAACATGGCATGAGCTATGCACCTTGTAAACGTAGAACATTTCCACAAGACTTGGCAGAATCGTGTGCCTGCAGCCACTGCTTTTGGTGAGTTATCATTAGTTAAAAAGTTCGTATACCTAAGCGAGTTTTGGTGGAAGTATAATCGATAAAATCAATCCACAACCAGTTGTTCTACCTTTAGTCCTGTCCTGACATTAATTTGAATCTAAAAGATCGAGTTTATAATGCATTAGTGAAAGTAATTCTTCTTTTTGCTAACAAAACATCGCCCTTCGAAGTTGAGGATCTTCAGTGATGGCGTGTTCGATAGTTGTTGTCTCCGAAGGATTGCTGACATTCATTAGCCACATTGTATTAGTAACACAGAGGTTTGACAGTTCATATTCAAGTGTAGTGACGAAAATCCAGTTAGTCTTATCATCTTGAAACACTTGCTTCGTGGCTTAGCACCTCCCACATCGTAGATCAATGCTCAGGTAGAATAGAAAAATTTGAGTAGTCAGTTTAAAACATGGTACTGTGGTATGAGGGATGGTTTTGACTGGCATTTGTCAGTCCAATACGACTCCATAGTTGTAGTGCGATTGAGCGGTTTTAAAATTCGTCACACGTGGCCCAGAACAGAAGTCAGTGGCAATCCTTTTGTAGTTTTTTTACTACATCTTTCATAAAACTGAAGCTTCCTTAGTTGAAAGGATTCTCTTTTGAGTTTATTTTTATCTCAAGTGCGTCTATCAAACATTATTACTGTTTTTTTATTCATCAACTGTAATATCATTCCCTTCCTTATCTCTATATAATATAATCACTTCAATTAAGTAGTGCATTTTTCGATCAATCAGTCATACTCAAAGTAGAACCTGGCACATATGTCCATCGGTTTAAATTGTCACACTCCAGCTAGTAAAGTGAGTTGAAAGCATCAGCAAAATTCAAAAGTAGTAGATATAGTACCAGTATTGATGGTAATAGAAAAGACTAAGTGTTGAAGATACGATTCGAAAAGAAGATCTAAATTAATGAAAATAATGAATGCACCTGTACCATGAAGGATGATTTTAAGCCATATCATTCAACATCAATAATCATTGGTCACTATAATCACGCGAACATCAGCCAGATGATAGTCTGCAACTACTTACATAGCTCACAATCTAACAGTTAGTGCCTTCATGGAATACTATCATGTCTTGATTTGATGCTCTATTATACCATAATTTACATACTAATGTAGTGTGGTCTACTTATATCCATATAATTAGTATATGGTGATGGTCAGACATAGAATGTATTTTGGCAGAAGATTGATAAGGAAAGAACTGAAATGAAGCGCAATTGGTACGAAAATGCATGAACAGTGAAATTAGAGAAGATGAACTATTATTTACAAAAAAAAAACAGTAAAGATTGAGACAATTCATTGTTATTTTGCAAATTAACTATTTGCTGTATAGTTATCAGAATTTAGTGAGATAGTCAATAATTTGTGCTTAAATACATTAGATTGTCCCTACCCGTTTTTTCATTCACTACACTATAAGTAACTAAATCAATCCAATTAGTCTTATAATCTTGAAACACTTTTTTCGTGGCTTCGACGTATCTTACAAATGTCATCTTAGCATCTCCCACATCGTAAAGACTGATAGGTCCTGGGTTCGAATTTCGCGAGTGCGGGATCGTGGATACGCACTGCCACTGAGGAGTCCCGTAGTAGGACGAAATGGCCGTCCAGGTTTTCCATCGTGGTCTAGCTTCAATTGACTAACGCTTTTAACTACAAATCAAATTAACAAATAAATAACTCAACCACTACAAATCGATGTCACAAAAAAAATACAATATTCTTTAAAATTTCTATAAAAATTATCCCTATCGAACTCATTATCCTTTTTAAAACTTATTTAAAGAAACCTAAAACAAAAATAGAAGAAAAATAACAGACAACAAAATGTGGAAACATGTAAACAAGGGGAACAAACTCAACAATGAATATATGTACGGTAAGTGTATATGTGTTCATATGTGTATGTATGTATATGTGTGAGTATGTACGTATGTGTGCATGTGTTAAAACCAAGCAACATAGGTCATAAGATGAAACGATATGGATGGAATAATATAAACGAAAACCAAAAAGGAAGAAAAAACAGCGAGAAACTATGGAAGGTGAATTCTATTCACAAAAAGAAACGATGTTATTAACAAAATACATTAAGTCAAAAAGAAAATATACACTAATCATTGTATTACTAGGGGGGGGAGGAATTAGAACCAGATTCTGGAATGACAACAACAACAACAAAACACGGAAAACATTTGCAGAAACTGGATAACTCGTTCTCTTTTTTATTATTTATAAATGAAGTATTTATATAAATGTATGTAGAGAAAATGTTATTAAAGCATGATAATTGGAGCCATTGATGCTAATTGATTCAAATTCAAGTGTTGTCCATGCATTTCTATTAATGTAGCTACCATACTTGGAGTTTTATTTAATAAACACTCAGCGATACCTTTATAATCACGTCCTAATTTACCAATAGCATGACAAGCAAGTTGTATATCCACTGGACTCCAATAGGGATCCTATAACATATATATATATATATATATATATATATATTTAAAAATAATTAACTAAGAGGTAACAATTATAACAACTAAACAAATCAAAGGCTAATGTCATTGTTTATTTAATTCTTAGCGCTGATTGAATTTAATGGACAGAATTAATACTGGTGCCCCCAAATGCCCTGGTACGGCCGAGAGTGGGGAGAGTCCACTCTCCCTCTTACATACAACATACAATAATTATCTATAACAACTAATGATTTACACTGTTTTGTAATGAATTGTCAAAATACGTTAAAATTCAATGAATACTGTATGGCGAATTTTATAGATTAGGTAATAATACATGGTCAGTAAACTTTGCATAGCTCGATATTATGGTTCACCTTGTTAGACATTGGATAGTTGGTTGAAAATAACCATTGAAGAAATTAATAATTAGGTCAATAGTGACTTAAAATAACCCAGTTGTAATGTATTCCATTGAGTTATTGAATGATACATCTCCGAGTAACCATCCATATTTACAGGTAGTTAGGATGAAACAGATATTATCAGTGAGGCTATTAACCTTTGGTTCAGAAGATAATCTAACTGTCTATTACAACTCATATCCATAGTTACATTTGATGCTGTGTGTGATCTTAGAAGTTCATGTACCATTAGTTTCATATATCAATTTACTTCATATATCAAGACTAATATTAAAAACGCACTACATTATATTTGCATCTAGTCGGATTTCTCTGACTTTCATGTGACATAGTCAATAAACAGAAACTTCTTATAGGGTCAGAACTGACGAAGCTAACTAGCTGGATGATGAAACTTTGACAACTAAATACTAGGACAACTACTAGAAGGATAGTCTGAGATTTTAGAGTCAACATCAAGGAATGAACTTAGTCAACCGTTGAAAATCAGGAAGCACTGGACAGTTATTTCGTCTCGGCACGGGACTCTTCAGAAGTGAACTTCCGCAACCCCAATGGGGATGGAACTTTAGACATTCAGTGGTTATTTAATTAAGATCAGTCTGTGATGTTAACTATAAACTTTAACAATCTCCATAAACCACTTATGTAGTAATTAATAAACTGAGATTCGAATGTCTGACCATACTAATGTGAGTGTTGTCTCATTTGATTGAAATCTAAACTGGCCATTAGTATTGTTCATCCTCATAGAATAGTTATTAGTCATAGTTAATCAATCAAAATATAAGATTAATAGACTGAACTACTAAAACTGTGAATTGTTATACTATCGAATTTATAATAGATTTTAACCACATTCTTTGGAATGTTCAAAAATTAAGTTACAATGAAGTATAACAAGCATATATAATGTCAGAATAGTTAAAAACTCCACTTACAATAGGCAGTGAAGGAGGTCGTAACGAAGTGATACCATTCAGGAGTTGAGTTTCTCGTTGAGCAAGCTTTAAATAAATCAAACTCAAAGTTAGACATAGCAATAAGGAAGTATCTACACAAAACTAATGTGAATAAATTCAAATGAAATCACACTAGACTAATGAAAGAACAAAAGATTAGCGTTGTGTATATACTACATATTATAAGACGTAAAAAATATATACTCCAGTAGATATAATGAGGATACAATAAAACCTCCTAAACTTATTTAGTGCAAGTTTGAAAGCGTTTAAAACATTTAGTTGTTCATGACTGAGATTATAATTAGGAATAAATTAGCCGGTTGCTGAAAATGTTGAACCCTATTTCATTACATTATTCAGCTAAATTCGACACATATAAATACACACCAACTTTAATCACGGTATAGAAGAATGTCGCATATTCATGTCTGATCTCTCTGATTTGCTGCCATGTAAATTTAAGCTGTTTACTTCCCAGCTAGTAAAAAGTTTTTTAAAAAGAATGATGAATATGCAATTTGAGCTACACATTTTCTTTCCTCTCCATCTAGAACACATTCTAGATATTATGACTATACAGTTCAAAATTATTTTTACCACAATATAATACTCAACATATCAAGATAACATAAGCTTGGGCATAACCCACTTAGAATCTTTGATGCAACCATGTGAATGATAAGTCAAAGGGCTAAAAGTATAGAAAAACAGAAGACGGAATTGATCTGTGTTGTTAAGTTAAATACATGGGTCATTTCACCAAAACCAACTTTTCACAGCGTTTGATAGGATCACCCAAAATGACTTAGCAAAGGATGGTGTATATTAATTACAGTCTATAAACTCCAACATTTAGCAAATTCAAGGTAATCATAAGAAAATAACAATTTTATACATTTACCTTATTCCCTTCATCAACTTGTTTACATAATGTCTGTAATGTACTATTCAACTGATCGATTTCTTGATTATATTGGTCAGCTGTGTAATGACATACTCGAAGAAATTGTCTATGTGAATGATACACTCCAGAAGGTAATGTTGGTCTGTAAATAGATTGGTTTGTTTTTGTTGTTTTTTTGTTGAAAACAAAACAAAACAAAAGAATTATGAAAGATAGTCGAAAGAGGGCATATGAAGAAACAATACATACGTGATGAGCGCCGAAGGGTTAATAATAATAACAATAATAATGTTATTATTATAAGCAAAGATGGATGGTGGCTAGCAATGGAATACAGAACGCGCGTTTCGTCCTATTCGGGACATGTTAGCTGGATGTACCTGCATCCTGATATACACACCGAGTTTCGAACCCAGTACCGTTGTTCTCATAAGAAGGTAACAGAATAATATTTTCATTTAGGAGACCAGATGGACTAATATAAGCAGCTTATGATTTAGTATAGATCTGTATCGATTTTTCACGGACTTAATAACGCGTGTACAAAGGGAAAAAATCAGCAATATTTAATTGCACAGTAATATTGGATGAATATTGAAGTTCATGATGTTCCCAATCAAGTGTCCAACAAGTCGTAAACTGTGATTTAGAATAAATGTAAAATTCTGTCGCATTAGCCTTTGTACTTACTTATACCTATTACTGCAAGTGGAGTAGCATAGGCCGGCCACCAGTATTCTCCATCGAACTTTGTCATGGACAATCCTTTCCAACTGCTATTCATTTATTTTTATATCTGGTTCCGATTCCCCGGGGTAATATATTCCTTGATCTTCCTCTTTTCCTTTCCCTTTAAGATTTCAAGTTAGCCCTTGCCATGTGATGCAGTCTGACGATTTTTGCAATTTATGTGTCATCCACCTCCAGCATATTTTCCTAATTTTCTCTTCAGCTGAAATCAGCCTTTGTAAACTTCCTTAAATACATTCTCAAATTTGGTAAGCAGAGATGGATAGTGGCTAGCAGTGGAATCCAGTTTGACGCACGTTTCGTCCTATTTGAGACTAGTCAGCTGGATGTACCTGCATCTCAGAGTTGATGTTCACTCTGCGAGGGACTCCAACCCAGTACCCTCGCTTCAAACGCCATCGCGTTATCCACTCGGCCACTGAGTCCTGATAGCCACTTGCTTGTGCGATGGGGAGTGGATAACGCGATGGCGTTTGAAGCGAGGGTACTGGGTTCGAGTCCCAGAGTGAACATCAACTCTGAGATGCAGGTACATCCAGCTGACGAGTCCCAAATAGGACGAAACGCGCGTCCTGGATTCCACTGCTAGCCACTATCCATCTCTGCTTACCATGCTTGTGAATTAAGGTATATCGAGGCAATACGCACAGTATGCACATATGCCAATTAGAGACTGACCAGTTGCAGTCCGAAACACATCGATGGGAAGATCCAAACAAACAATACCAAGTGAATTCATTCTCAAATTGTTAAGCTATATCCTTTGTTTAGTGTCTTTATAATTTAAACAAATCAATGCGTATAATACTTGTTTGAAATTCATAATTCATTTTAACCTTATTTTTAATGAAGGTTACTCAATGACCATCACTAAATAATTGAAGAGTTTTAGAATTAAATTTTAAGAAACTAAAACATTTTATTTATTTATTTAAACACATAAATATTGGTACAAGGAAGCACCAGATACATATGCGCCGCACAAATCTCATTCGATTTGTGTGAGGGCTGTGATACTGCCCAGGTGCCCAAACTGAAGCAGGTGGTTTTCTTAGGAGGCCACACCCGGAGCCTTTGACCTGAATGTCTGATCCACAAGGCATTGGAGCATCGTGAGGAGATGCAGTCCCATGGTAGCCGTTGACCAATGACAGGTTCTTCCGCCATTCGTTCCATCAGGATACTGGAGCCCATGTGCACCACTGGTTTGAAATCAGGGTTTTCCAACTCTCCTAGCTGGACCCTCCGTGTCCACCAATCCGGTTATAGCGCCGGACATTCGCTTTTCGTCCTCTCACTTTCGTAAACAACACCCCCGCCACGAGAAGGCAGTGAGTAGGACTTCCCTGGCAGAGGCTACATACGCATGGCCATGTGAGAGCATTCAAGAGGGAGAGCGGACTCTCCCCACTCTCGGCCGTACCAGGACAAATATGTTTAGGACTAATTATAAAATGTTTAAAAGTATGCGTAATTTGTAGTTAGTCCCAAATTATTAGAGTACACTGATAACTATTCATTTAGAGTTCTCACAGTAATAAAGGACATGACCAAAAGGGTAACTATCAAAAAAGATGCGTACTATAAAACTAATCAGTGATAAAAAAGAAAGAAGATAACCTTTTTAATGGTGTGAAGTATGTTCAATTTACCCACTGTTCCTTTGCCTTACAAACCAATCGAAAACGTATTTTCCTAAGCATATGATGAGTCTACACTCTTAACAAATACTGTAATTTAATAACAAATTGTTATTGTTATTACCCTAGCCATATTATCTTGTATGTATATTTCGAACAGTTAGGATATAATCTATTAAAAGGGAAAAAAAGAATAATTGAGAACCTAAACATTTTATCACTTTGTTTACACATTAATGAAATAATACCTTATGGTATGTGGTGTTGCAGCAAAAAAAATACCTCTTCTGGAATTACGTACACCAGGATTAATACCGGTATGCATTTCAGCTGACATTTTGTTGTTCTCACGTAAATGACTACTATTATTAGAAGTTATAGCGGCTGATGTTACAGCTGCAATCTCTTCTTCAAAACGTGCATGTTTACGTACAGATAAACGATTTGTTGGATTAAAATCATCTGGTAATAAATTTAATGATGATTGGGATAAAATAAATCCTGCAGTGGTAGATCGACTTTTACCGCCAACACCATGTTGTTTTCGACGTCTACGACCAGGTCCGTTGGAATCTTTTCTTACTTTACTCTGTTCATAGTCTAATACTTGTTCACTCCCTTCAATATTGGCTGCTATTGCGGAAGAAGATGGTGTACGCACTTCTGCCTCAGAATCCGATTGCATACTTGATGCACCACCACCACCAGGTTCGGTGTCTTGATTTGATTCTTCCGATTCCGGCAATACACAACCATACAAAGTATCAAAATAACGTTTGATTTCTGCATCGACCGGATCATTCATATCTAAATCGATAGTATATTTCTATGTAAAATGAATATATATAGAAAAGAAATATGAGATAAATTCATTCAACTGAATTTTTGATCAAAATCCTAAGAATTCGCCTACCTACTGAGATGAAATATTCAAAACAAAAGGTAACTACTTATCTGTAAATCAAACGTGCTAAATAACGATGGTTAACTTATTTAATGTTATGCCCAGACATCATGTAAACGATCCTGACCATAGCCACTATTCCAACATGGTGGTCAGCCTTGCATATTGTGATGACTAATCGAGCTACGGTAACTGGAAGACCTGTTTCTTTGGGTCCCTGTCATGACAGGGGGTGTCCAAAGTTTGATATTGATACACGGTGTGCTACACAATAACCTTCCAACTGACTACTTGAGCGAGAACACAAGAGTGGGCTAACATATGCAACTGACCAATTTTTATTGGCATACAAAATGAGAAACAATAGTCTTCGCGTTATTTTGATTTACTGTAGGACAGTAAAAATTACTTATATTTTAAATAAAACAAAAATAGTTGGACAACTTTATTTAATACGGATCGATAATATCAGTGACTAAAAATAAAGTATACGACAAAAACTATGATATGTTGAAATCTAAGCAACTTTTCGGTTTCTATTCACCTTCACCTACTAAGTGCATATTTTTCTACCCAGCTTTAAGTAACAAATTTTGCGTGAATGGTACATTATACTAGCAGACATTAATACTAAAGTAGCTCCCGAATGCCCTGATATGGCCAAGGGTGGAGAGAGTCAGCTCTCCCTCTCAAAATGCTCGCACATGGCCACGCGTACACAACCACTGCCAGGAAAGTCCTACGCACTGCCTTTTCCTGGCGGGAATGTTGTCTACAAAGTCGAGAGGATGAAAAACGAATGTCTGGCGCTTTAACCAGATTGGTGGATATGGAGGGTTCATTTAGTAGAGTTGAAAAACCCTGATTCCGAATCAATGGTGCACATGAATTCCAATATCCCGAGGGAACAAAAGGCGTATGAACCAATTGTTGGTCGCCAGCTACCGTGAGACTGCATCTCCTAAAGTTGCACCACTGTCTTGTGGAGCATATATATTTGGCGTCTTCTTGTACCAATGTTTATGTGTTTAAATAAATAAATAAATCCCCCATACTGATATAATTATTAAGTGATCTACAATTTACCATATTCAGATATAAGATTATACATCTTGAAAATAAACTTGTTGAGAATAATTCCTTCTGTGCATAAACTATTTACGACTTAATAGGTATATTTAAATTTATATCCTTTTAGGTAACGACAATGAAAACAAAAAACACATGTAAACAAAACAAACAAAAATAAACTGCATAAGCAAATGCCTGTCTGGATTCAGTGACTAAGTGGATAACGCGGTAGGTGTTTAATGTGAAATGTACTGGATTCGAGTGTCAGTGTGAACATAGACACTGAGGCACAGGTAAATTTACCTGATGAGTCTCAAACAGAGTGGAACTCGCATCCTAGTTTCTACTGCTAGCCACCATCCAACTCTGTTTTTAACGCTTGTGACCTAATGGATTTATTGAGGTGATCCTCACAGGATGCATATAAACCAAAAAGTGCTGATCAACTACAGTTCATCATATAAACGGAAAGAATCAAACAACCCATACAAATACACATTGAAAACCAGAACAATTAATAACAACAAAACAGAGCACAACTAACTTTATGATTATTGGTCAATGTCTTTACAGGGACATTATCCGGTGGTGGTAAAATGCCTGGGATTAAATAACCACGTTTATATAAACTAGACCATTTAGGTCCAAATAAACCCATATCATGCAATGTTTGTTGATTGCGTTTATTCAGATAATAAAATAGGATTAATTCATTGACAGTACGATTAGGAAACTTTTAAAGGGAGAGAGAGATCGACAACAGTATAGAAATAGTTAAGTGATTATTGTTAAGTTTGTATTATTGAATAATTAGCAGAATAACCAGAATGAATTAATGCATATATTATGTAAATAAATGGATTGTGGTTGGCAGTAGTATCCAAGCCCTCATCAAAATGATATAAACATTATAACCATTGTACACGCTAGTGGATATCTGCATTCATTAGCTAAGGGGATAATCTATACGGTGTTTAGTACGAAAGGTACTGGGTTTGAACCCTGATGTGAACATCAACATTGGGGTGCAGGTACGCTTAAATGATGAGCCCAAAAAAGACGGAAGGCATCCTGGATCCCATTACTGGCCACAAACCACCTATTTTATAAGGACCTGATACAAAATGATTGTACCAAGGGGTAAAGTAATAAATGCACATGTCCCCAATGGAGACTGGTCAATATTCGGTCGTGAATATCAACAACGGGATAATTCACACCCTTCCTAAATGTGATATAGGCAGATTTATGATTTAAATAATTTTAAGAGAGCTATCTAAATCATGAGTCATTGTAACTTACCAAGTACAAGCTTATGCATTCAACATTGTGCCATATTGTTTGTGTAGAGAATAGTGATAATACCTCTTTCTAGCAGCCTAAACTGAAGCAAGCAGATTGAGGTTAGAACTTGTGACCTACTGGTTGAAATTGAAGTGCACCAATCACTAAGTGGTTGTCTAAAACCTACCTGATTAACAATATATGTACTGTAGTTTCACGTACAACACTTTGTATTGCATTATAATCTTTAAAATACTCACTTATCTAATTTGAACGATAAAGGGTTTTACATTTAAAGAGCACTAAAGTGTCAGATCATGTAAAAAAAGAGCTCCACTGGTTAGCTGTTTTAAAGAACCAACTAAATATTGTTTTTTACCATAAAAACAAATGAGACTTTATTTCACCGAAAGGATATCTCTTGACTGAACAACTCTTTTTTGTTCTGCATCTCGATGCGCATCTTCCGACAATTTAAAAATTTCAGTTAATTATGGGGAGATATATAGTATAGGGATGAGCCTATCAGAATTGAGAACATGACTTTCAAGTGTTTGGGCCAAATTCACATATTGCTTACAGCGACCAGTAGAAATAATTTTGTATGGTGCTTAAAACGTTTAAAATTATTGCGAGTATAATGATAGTCCCAAACGCTCAATTTAGTCTCTGTCAATCGTGTATGATAGACAAATCAACATTATGCTTACATCAAAATCTTGAACCCTCAGCTCTCAAGCAAACCTTAACTTGATGGGACTATATTTTATGCACAAATTAATCAGATGGAGTGTCTTACATTTCTGAGCGAAATTCATTCAGTCATATGGGTATAAACCACTTCTGCATAATACATTATATCAGTTCTTGATGAGAACTCTAACCTTAAAGGTCTATAATCATAAGGACGAGTTTTTATGTCGTTGCTTTACCGATTTACAGGTAGATTAACCTGTAGAAAACTTAACAAATTCATTCAGTACGTACAATCTATTTATACTTTGGAATATTATTGTTTTCTACTCCACAAACCAATCATTTAAAAAGGCTGGCGGAAAATTTATCGAACTTGTTTCAAGTTCTTCCTTATACTATATAATTTTGTCTAATTATACTTGTTTATTTCAATAAATAAACCATTACCCCTGCCAATTCAGGTTTGATATGATCAATAAAGATGAATTATCATTAATTCATTGGTGATATTTCATGACTTATTAAAGTACTAACAGCCCCCAAAATGCCCTGGTACGGCCGAGAGTGGGAAGAGTCCGCTCTCCCTCTTGAATGCTCTCACATGGCCACGCGTATACAGCCTCTGACAAGGAAGTCACACTCACTGCCTTCTCGTGGCATTACTGTTGTTTACGGCATCGAGAGGACGAAAAGCAAGTGTCCGGCGTTTCAACCAGGTTGATGGACACGGAAAGTCCAGCTAGGAGAGTTGGAAAACCCTGATTCCAAACCAATGATGCACATGGGCTAGCTCCAGTATCCTGAGTGAACAAATGGCATATGAATCAATCGTTGGTCACCGGCTACCATAGGACTGCATCTCCTCACGATGTTCCACTGCCTTGTGGATTAGACCTTTAAGTCAAAGGCTCCGGGTGTGGTCCCCTAAGAAAACTATCTGCTTCAGTCTGGGCACCTGTGTAGTATCACAGCCCTCACACAAATCGAATGAGATTTGTGCGGCGCATATGTATCTGGTGTTTCCTTGTACCAATATTTATGTGTATAAGTAAATAATAAATAAAGTACTAACAAATATACTACTAATTAGTGTAGATAAACAGCCCCCTTTAATTATGTTTATAAAATAAATGGATACTTACAAGTTTTTTTATTTGATGAAATTGTTTATTATAATAGTCGATAGATATAAAAAATATTTTTCGTTCAGATATTGTCCATTCATATTTGATTGGACTAAAATTGCATAAATCTGCTAAGGCATGATCAAAATCAATTTTATGCCATGTAAGTAAAGCAAGCGCTTGTTCTTCTGAATAACTTGATAAAATATAGAAATATTTCGTTTTTTTTAAAAAAATAGATAAATATGTCAACAAATAAAGATTATATGGTAATTTTTGGCATAGAATTGAATGGAATATCATTCAGTTAATAATTTTATAATTAATCAGTCAGTGAATAGTGATCAATAGTTGCTATGCTTAAAGAAATTACGAGATCACTCAAATCGGTTAACAGAATGAAGACTCAGCGACACAATGACCAAATAAGCTAACTATTCCGATGCGTCACAACCCCGCCGACTAGAGGGAGAAGTCCAGGTTCAGAAGAGGGAAAGTGTATTCTACAAACAGCCAGAAGTACGAAAAACAATAACAAGCACAACTCAAGCGTATATATACAGCATAAAAATATCCTTGAAGAACGTCACAAAATAGCGTATTAAAAGGGACAACGAACCAATGACATTTAAGGTCCTGCAAAGTGGGAAATACAATATGAAGGTGAAATGGGCGCTTTTGGTGCGAATACAAGAAATTCGAATTTCCAAAATAAAATTATAAAAGTAAGATATTTACCAAATGAGTTCTGGGGATCTAACATTCCCAACAGTAGCGCGTTTGTTTAATCATTTGATGCTGATAGAATTTCTCCGATTAAATTACAATGTAATCATTAGTCTAAATGACTCAATGTAGCATGTTATATCTGTATGTGATGGATTGCAATGCCAGCCGAAAAACTCAGTGATAAGGTCTTACAATGAGCAGCTTAGGGTGCTGCGGCTTCTAATCTACCAAAGACTATTAGATCTATTAAGATTGTAAATACACCTTGATGATGAGTGGCAACTACTTCCAACCACCTAACACTTTATAGTTTTTTTTGTTTAGGAAAAACTTAACAAGCTTTACTACATGTCATCTGAAAGCATTAACTAAATGGTTATCACTAAGCATCAATATGAATGATGAGAAACGATTGGAAACAGAATACTAAGGATGTATTTCATTCAATTTAGTGTAAATTTCAAAGATGGTTAGTAGACGCATAGCACATCACAAAGATTTATGAAATTTTATTAAATACATCACTTGCTAACTTGTGCATATCATTATGTAAATTAGTGTAATTTTCGACTAATCACCTAATGTACATTTGTGATGAAAACTACTTTAAGGGAACAAACGAACAACTAAAAGATTTAAGAAACTATTTTGTAATTTGATACGGATTAATGAAATTTAAGAATAGGCTGAACTGACATCAAACACCAACTAGTGCCTTATAAGATTACGTTTGAGGTTAAGTACTAACTAAGCTTAGATATTTAACTTTTATTCACAAACCTTAAGTTAGGGTTATTTGCTAGATCGTTATATAGTTACACATTGCATCATTTTATTACGGTAGTTGCTAGAAAAAAACAGGCCTTCTTTGTTGGGGATGTCAAATCCCCAGAACTTACTTGGTAACTGGCTTAATCTTGTAGTTTTATTTTGAAATTTTGAATTTAGCTGTTTTCGCGCCAAAAGCGCTCTTTTTACCTTCACATCATATTTCCCACCTGTAAACTATCTTAAACGCTACTGGTCCATTGTTTCTTTGTGTGTGCTATTTACCAATGATGCTCAAGGACAAATTGTTGTTGTATAAATGCGCTTGACTTTTTCCCTTATTTGATTGCTTGTACTCGGCTGCTTACGGAATACATATATATTCCCCTACTTGCCTTTATTTATTTATTTATTTAAACACATATATATTGGTACAAAAGGGCACCAGGTACATATGCGCCACACAAAATAATGAAAGTAGGTAGATAAAGGATGAAAAGATAAGGCGGGTTGAAATGTACAACCAGAAGATTCTTTCAGTTAGGAAAGTTAGAACCATTCTTTATGTAGAAAGTAAAAGAAGGTTGCAGCAGGATCGCCACTGGCTTCTATTCTGAGCCATATCCGATAACGTCTCTAGCCACTGTGTTGCACTATCTCTCGGACCCCAACCAGGGAGTCGTGAAGGACCAACGGAAGCTAGCCCTTTGCAGCTCTCTTTCATGCCACGACACCATGTCATACACTGACCTCCTCTCCGCTTTCTCCAACCAGTCCCAGGGTCGGCAAATAATGCACGACGCGGAAGTCTCTGGGACGACATTCGTAAAACATGTCCGAGCCACCGAAGTCGGTGTTTCAAGATGGTGACACCAATTGAATTATCGTCTCTGCGCCCGAACACACGATGCCGAACCTCTGCATTACTAACATGGTGTTGCCACTGGATGTCAGCAATCCTTCGGAGACAACGATGATCGAACACAGAGAGACGTCTAACATCCTCAACTCGGAGAGGCCAGGTTTCACAAGCATAGAGCAAAACTGCTCTCACCGACGCGTTGTAGATCCGACCTTTTACAGCCAGACTAACATCACGAAGGCGCCAAAGATGGCCCAGATTGGCATAAGCCGCTCTGGCTTTCATTAAACGTGCATCAATCTCATCACTCACGCCACCACCAGCACTTATATAGCTACCTAGATACACGAACTTCTCAACTACTTCGATCTCCTCACCATCCAGGGTGAGTACAGGATGAGAATCCTGCCAGTCTTGTAGGAGTACTTTGCACTTGGAGGGTGCAAAGCACATGCCGTACCTGCGGACATTGATTGCCAACTGATTAAGTGCTGATTGCATGCCTTGGGCATTATCGCACAGTAAGACAATATCATCCGCATACTCGAGGTCGAGAAGTCGTTCTCCAGGCAACATATCCACACCGCCATTACTTACATCCATCAGAGCTGTTTCTAGGATGTCGTCGATGGCAAAGTTGAAGAGGAATGGGGAGATCGGGCAACCCTGCCTAACCCCACTGCTCGAATGGAACAAGGGAGAAAGGTGGTTGTATGCCCTCACTCTGCCTGAGGTGTTCGTATACAGGGCCTTTAAGATGTTAATGAACTTCTCAGGCACACCCTTCTTCAATAGACAATCCCAGAGAACAGTCCTGTCCAACGAATCGAAGGCCGCCCTGATATCAAGAAACACTACGATTGTTGGCCTGCGATAAGTATGACGGTGTTCTAACATTTGGCGGAGGGTGAAGATGTGATCAATGCATCCTCGACCAGAACGAAAACCAGCCTGCTCCTCGCGAGTCAATCGTTCTCGGGTTTTAAACAACCTACGAAGAATGATAGAAGCCAATAGTTTGGACGCGATCGAAAGTAGACTTATCCCCCGATAGTTGCTACAGGAACAACGTGAACCCTTTTTAAAGATAGGGACGACTACTGACTCATTCCAAAATGTTGGAACACTTTCTTGCTCCCAAACCTTTCCAAACAACGCAGTCAGTTCCTTAGCCAGAAAGTCACCACCATCTTTAAAAAGAGCTGGAGGTAAGTCATCTGGGCCAGGTGATTTATAACGTTTCAAGAGTTGGAGTTCCTTGCGGACTTCCGCCTCGTTTGGTGGATCAGTCGTCACCGGCCATGGGGAGCAGGACAAGCTGGTTGATGTTGCCGGAGCAGCAGGCCAGTTGAACTGCCCTTCGAAAAATTCCGCCCATCGTCCAAGACGTCGACAGATGTTAGTGATTGGCATCCCGTCATCCTCGCAGATTGTTTCACTCACACCAGACTTCTTGCTGCCAGTGGCTCGGATGAGTTGGAAGAGCTTCCGGCAGTTACCAGATGCAGCTGCTGCTTCCATCTCATTAGCACGCTCCGACCACCAGGCTTCCCGGTCCTTACACAAGCTTTGCCCAATTTCATTACGTAACAGCCTTCGTTTGTGGTCAAACTCACGGTCACCCGGAGTAGACCGACGGGCTTCCATCAGTTGTAAGGAGCCAGAAGAAACCCAGTGCTTGTAAGCGGGACGTTTCGCGAAGCCGCAAGCGGCTTTACTCGCCATTTTCATGGCGTCATGAAGATGCAACCAATGCTTACCTATACTTTTCGGTGGGGTGGTAGCTAGCCTAGAGGCTAGCTCCGCTCGATACTTACTTGCAACAGAAGTTGCAGCCAGTTTACTAATATCAATCCGTTGGTGGTGGTCAATCCTTCGGCCATTGAAAATTAAGGTGAGATTGGCGCAGACCGGGGCATGATCAGACTCCAGATAGGTACTCCAAAAGGAGCGGCAGTCTTGTACACAACCACGCCAGCGGTAGCTGATCGCGATGTGATCAATCTGAGTCCAGGCTTGGGATGCAGAGGGAGGACGCCAGGTGGCACACCGGCGATGACTGTGCCGGAAGTTAGTGCTGGCCAGAAACAGGTTGTGGTCTGTGCACAGTTGCAGCAAACGGTCCCCGTTATCTGTCCTGCGACCAACAAGTCCCCATCGGCCACCTAGACGACTCTCTTCTGTGCCTAGACGCCCGACCTGTGCCTTGGACTTCTTCATCTAGTTAGCGGGGCCTGGGACAACAGATTAGAATAGCTTATCGTGTCATTGTGTCATTGGTTTTCGTTCGTCACCGCGGAATCGATTGAGTTTCAAGCATAACATTCTTAAGAATTATAATTCACTTACGTAAGTAACTATTTGTGGATTATTTTGTTTGTAATAAATTCATACTTATTGTACAACGCATAGAGATGCTATCAAGAATGTCACAACTAAGGCATTTTGGTACGCAACAAAATTTTTCATTAATTAATGTATATTTTAAGCATGGTTTTATTTAAAACAAATAAATCAACTGGTAAAGTAATTAATCTAGGTTGACTGAGGCATAAGATATTAATTAATCTACATCACAAGATCATCATGAAACGAGTCTATAAACGGTTGAATCACATGACATATATACGTACAGGTACTAAAATGTCAGACTGTATAGTAGACTTTCAAAATAATCAACTAGACAGAGAAGTTAAAATTTAATTTAAGTTAACCATAAAACAATTTAATACATATTGTCATACATATATAGACATATTAAGACTGGGTAGTTTACCCATATTTTTCAGTAGCTGTATTCAAGAATTCCTCCAACTGATTATGGAAGCTTCCAGGTATTGGAAGCCATAAAGCAACTCCCCGATCTGGTTGATTCAAAACGCTTGGAGGTGGTTCACCATTGAAAGGCGGAAGGTCAGCTTGGAAATCTATGCCGACTCGAATAATTGCATCTAAAAAGTAGAAAAAAAGCACCTTTAGTGATGTACACAGAAAATATGTTTGAGATTTCAGTGGGAAGTTTCTTACGGTTGTGACACCAAACTGATGTTTAGTTATTTTGAGATAGTCCAAGCCAACATAAAATAAGAGAGATACAAGCTTGAAAACAAATAATAGGACTTAGTTATATCTACATTTGAAGCGGTAGTCCCTCAATACAATAGTAGATAAGCCAAGAAAAATTCGGTCAACAAATACATTTAATTTCCATTAGTGAATATAGACAACAATGTTTCAGATTAAGTGATCACACAGGAAGATACCGAAGAGGTATTTTGAAACTAACAAGTAGAGGATACGTGAATGGGAAACTACAAAGTGAGGAGTGATAAGATATTGAATACTCCGAGGAAGATAAAGTGAGTATTGACAAACGATGCGTTGTAGATTCAACCTTTTATCGCCAAACTCCAGAAATTTAACAGAACTACTTAAAGAACATAGAAACTCATCAGCGAACAAATTCTTGAAATAACCCTTTGGTTAAAATACACTGTAGTAGGAGACGAAAATATTGTCAGACAGTGAAATTATAGTAGGAGTTCGCTTAAAAGCATTGCCTCAAGTTGTAACGCACTGTGATAACATAAGAAAACGATTAAAATGAGTAGAGAAAACAAATCCGAAGTAATAAACGATTCAAGATTCCTATAGTGTCAAAGAGCAGAGTTGTGTCACGAAGATTGAACGTACAAAATCTACACTTCCGTGGGTTGATCTGTTTATACCCGACCCTCTACAAAAATGAGCCTACTTCTTTTAGCATCAAACTAAATCAAAAAAGGAATCAGAAATGATCTGAAGATACCTAGGTTTAGATACTTGTAACCTATTTATAAACTAACATTTGTAAGTCATGCTTTAGAGCGAGATAGTATAAGCTGAGCCATCGCTAGACAGCATATTCGAGAATCGATATAAAATCACATCTAGGATGCCAGTAAGAGGTTTATGAAAGACTTACTTTTAGATGTCAAGCAGTACTTTTACTTTCGTGAGTTTACCACGCTAAAAATAAGCAGTAGCAGTATTCAGATCAAGAACCAAAGTTACATAACCGTTGAGAACCTAGAGTTAGTTGACAGCCGTTTCGTCCCGGTGTGTGGCTCCTCAGGAGTGCGCGCCCAGGACTCTGAGGACGGGGACCGGACTAACAACCGGCCTCACCTAAACACTTCTGTCACTGGCCGGGTGCGATGGTGCGCGAATTGAGCTGCAATTATTACGCGACAGTGAGCAACCATCCTTCACGGTTATTAGAGGGTACCTTCCTCACACTAGACATAGTTCGACTTCTACACCGCTGTACTTTGGACCAGTGGTCTAGAGATTAAGCATTCGGGTGCGAGACTTAGGGTCATGGACTCGATTCCTGACGGCGAAGTCGTGGGCGCATGCTCCTGAGGAGACTTATAGCACGGAAATATAGTGCTCCCATGTTATCTAGGATTGTTTCGAGATCTCAATAATCTCTACGACTCTCATACTGGCAATCCTATTACTCTAAAGACAACTCAATGGAAGTAAATGGCTATTTAAAGTATTTTCTTTCATCTTTGACCTTATCATGGACCAATATTTTATCACTATAGCCATTAAACATAACTTGAAGCCACTTTATTAAATGAGACAACAATCAGAATGGACACGTTTACCTGGGTCATATATTTCAAGTTGATAGGAATAGACTACTTAAACGAATACAAGCAGCTAGGTATTTCAAGTCTCTACAAAAATATACTTGACAATTTGATATTTGTGTTTGGGTGGAAATATACTGGTGACACTTATGCACTATTTTGAGCTTCATAAACTTCGTGATTGAAGCTTTAGGGGTGAGACTATGGTTTATGGACGACCTATGAGAGACGCTAGAATGACCTTGAGTGTTCACATAATAACTAGGACCAAATGAGGGTTATAAATCTATGTAAGGAGTTCGAATTATTAATTACAGTTCACGGTTAAGGCTAGGAATTATAATTGGGGTTTTCATCATGAACTGACATCAGCAATAATGCCAAAACTATTTATTCAAATGGATGAGTTAATTTCGCGCCAAAATCAGAGACCTATTATCTTATACCTGATTGGTTCGTTCATAAATTATAGTATCGCCGACGGGATTGGAAATCGTCTAACAAATATACATCCGGTCAACATTGACTTCGACACAACTGCTTAGATAGTGTTTATAATGCGTTGTAACAAAAATAGAACCCGAGACCCAAAGTATTGATGATTTATTTGTGAACAAAGTAACAAGTCTTATTTTCACAGTAGTTGGCTTTAACTGCAATTAATTGGACAATGTCTATTGATTATACCAAGAGAAAGGTCCGAGGTTACGAATTCCTACTGACAGCAAAGGCGCAGCACATCAACCAAAAATATTGACACATATTGTAGCTGCCTTACAGAACTCTAAGACAGTTTAATGACGAAATGCTCAAGATTTTACAAGTCACATAGATGAAACCGCACTGAATATCACGGTATATAAAAGAATTTGTTCTACAGAATGATAATACTTGTGAGTGAACCGAACTCGGCTTCATGTTGACTAATAGAATACTCAAATGATTCTAGGTTGGACATTCAAACCTTTTTGATTTCTTCCTCATTATAGTATGTACTATGAACGTTAAAACGGAATGATTAGTGCTCTAATTTCGGAGAAAATGATTTTCAGGGTCATAACGTGGTTTAAAATAGAAACTGGGCTGGAACCAATTGTTATTTCAGCTTCGCCGACCGGTAAATGAATAGAACGACAATTGTCAAACAAACGGAGCCACACAAATACTATCGTCAACAAACATAAGTATATGCAGAGAGATAATAAACATAGAATTTACTTTCGAAAGCATCTTGGTCAGAGTTCGAAAACGAGTGTGAAAGGCGGCCACGAGTCAACACATTACTCATCTGGAATGTCTGTTTCCGATGATGACCTTGAGGTTTGTTCTATGTGCGTTATTTCCAATGGCCAATATTTAAATTCATTCAGCTATCAGCTAATAAATTGATTGACTCTGAGTACTATGAAAATCTGATTTTAACCTGACAGTTGACGAAATTTGCACCTCATTTTGCTTGTGATTTCATCAAATGGCATGGTAAACAAAATTATAAATCTGAATGATATCATTTTGAATTTTGGCTTTCTTACAAGAGTTTTCCAATTAGAGAATGGGTGATTTACCCTACGGGAAAAATTTGATGGTCTAAAAGTTTTGAAATTTCCATTGATCACCTTTTCAAAGTCGGTTTGAAGTACCTACATAGTAAGGTTATTTGATAAGCCATAGAAGACTCGATGAGTTACAACTTGGTTTTTTCGGTAAAATTTCGTTTATTTATTCAAGCTCTCTAAATATTATTTATTAATATGAATCAGCAGTATGGAACAATCATCTCCCTAAAAACAGGTCTTAGAGAGCATCCATCATATTACTGACCAATTACTATTTTAATGCATATGTAAAACCTCACAGACAGTTGTCAGAAAGACCCTAATGACAATATTCAGACTCGTTATCATGGTTTAACGCTTGAAAAGACTTGTATTTTATGTACTTGAAGTATCTTATGTAGACTCCTTAAATGCCCAGGCGAGGGTTGTATTTTGTTGTTTCCGAAAAAGATAAAATTATGAGCAACTTCTGGGAACTAACGATAAACTGTTGTCATTTATTTTTATTGCGTAACCATTAGGTAAATAGATTGTATTTACATATATTTCTACTATCATAGCACTTCATTTGACCTAATGGCTACTATTATACGATCTACCTTTCTTATTTCCAACTTATCGGTCATAGTATCCCACATTCACAGCCCTTTTTTGCTTGATCTTGTATATCTGGACTAAACCGTCTGGGTTAGATGAGAAGCTACCATACATAGAATCAATAAGGATTCGTAGTTGAATCAAGGCTGGTCGTGATAGTCAACGCGTGATTGGTCCATCATAGGGACAATACCAAATTTATCAGTGTCCTGGTAGGCGATTTTGCGTCGTGATGCTTGAAGGACCATAGAACGCTACACATTTTACTTGCCATCAAACAGGAGTCAATATTCTCACTACAAAACCCTGTACAAAAAGGCACTCTAAACAATAGATAACCTGTGGAAGTCAAAATTTCAGACTGCTCCCAACTGAAAAGAGAGTACCTGCGTCCACATTTCATTGAGGATTATTCGTTAAGGATAAGCATAATTCTTGTGTTATTCCTTCAGGTACTAGAAAGAATATAACCCTACGTGTTCCCAAAATCATGCTCCGGTTGAAAACAAAGGTTTGAGAATGATCAAATACTTGTCTAAACAGGCCAAATAATGTCAGTGATCACATACATAGAGGACGAATTACTTATAAATCCTCTCTTTACAAACTGGTATCCATCTTGGTGCATTAATGCACTGCGCTAGGTTTAACAATATAAACATGACCTGTGAATCTTCATGACCACTTATTACGAAGGATGTCAAAATTTATGAGATAATACAAGCTTATCTCAACAATGTACTTAATAACTCTGTTACATGGCTGTTGTTCATTACTACAAGTGAGTGTGTCATTTTTCAATTTTAAAAAACATACGATGAGCTACGAGACAATTTAAAAATCTTTGTTGTTGGTATGTACTTCTGGTGGAAGTGGAATAACATTGAAACTTAGCACCATGATTATTTAAGCTGGAACGTTCATCTCTGAATGTTGTTAAGTAATGGTAATCGTCAACAAAGGAACGACTTGAGGCACTGATATTCAAGATACTTGGACCTTCTTAGCTACATATAACAACTCTTTTGCTGATTGACAAAGAGGTCCATAACTTATGACTTTCCATAAAACAAAAAACATATACTTCCAAAACTCGTTATGGTTTCCTATTCGATTACTCATGATGAGCAGTTATTATTATACCAAGCCTCGCATAAATTAGTATGTAACAAGGCTGTGTACCTTTGATTATAGACAGGGCATCTTCAGTTGACGAGCTAGTATTTGTCGACCAGTCAGTTGTTGTAGCACACTGCTGTGTGGCCGTTATGTTTGCCCTCTACACATTTGAGTGATGTTTAACCTCAACATATGCCCTACACATTAATGGTGGATGAGTATGATAGTTAATTGCAGACAGTATTCTCACAGGGAATATTCTGGATCTTATTTGGAGTACATGACAGCACATATTTTATTAACTATTCGGATCCGTATCATGAAGTAGCCTGGTCTTGGATATGATGAAGAAACTGATTTCTTACCTATGAGTTTAGAACTTGCTCACAATAATTTGCTTTCTCCACCTTCATATATTGAGTGCGCGTATTCGACAAATCAACAGAACTACGCTTATCTTACGCATCGAAATTAATTAAATTTTCCTGGAACAAAAAGAATTCGTTCAACACCGGATGCTTAAACTGTTCACCAGAAATATCTTGGGTACTGAAAGCTTGACATATTCCTGCCAAGATGAATAAACGGTCCCTAGAGTCGCGTTTTAAATTAGTCATTGATATTAAATTAATTTTCGGAACATACGACTATCTTCAACAGAACGGCAGCTATCCAGTGGACAAATACCGAGAAACAACTGAAATGTTAGCACTAAAAAAAGAGAACACACTTTAAATCTTATAATTGATTGAACAATAAATTTTCTGCACATATATGAGCCTTTGGAGTGAAGTGCTTCTCGCATATTTTGCGCCTTTTCTCTCGTGTTAGGGTCACTGTGTAGATCTAGACTGTGAGCTTCTATAAGAGATAAGTGACCAAATCTAGTGTTCAATTAGAAGACTTGTTAAATTTAAAAATTTTTTAAGTTTCCAGACGTCAATAGAAAACCAAGTTTTGCGAACACTACGAACTCACGTAAACTAACATACGTTCAACCAACACCAAGCACTTCAAATGCAGAATCTCCCACTTTAACAAAGGCACTCAAGGTCATGCGAGCGGATTTGACCTGGGTACAACTTCGCATCCATCCTTTCTTGTTAATTAAAACGGTACACTGAACTCTGCGCACGCCTCACGATACATGGGTTTAGAACATTCAAATGAGATAACATAGATAATTTCACTCCCCAAAATGACTAAAAGCAAAAATGACCTACGTAGAAAGATCATATCAACTATCAAAATTACTATAATATCCACAAAACCCTTTCTGCTAACATTTTCATTTAACTACGTCTACTTTTAACTATAAAACGGAGAAAATATTTTTCTTGAAAATCCTAGATTACGTTTTTTTCCCCAAAGAACACATTGATGTAATAACTAAATACTTATATGAAACAAAACTAAAAACTTACATATATATGAAATGTATTTACATCATATAATTAAACAAACTCAATATACTTTGTTTAAACTTATCCAAGAAGACACAATGTACTTTACTAAAAAAATAGGAATAATAAAGGCGGATAAATAGTTATGGTCTTATTTTAATAAATAATCCTAATGATGGATCAGTAACATGCCATCGTGATGATTCTAAAAAATTGAATACTTCATCTAAATCATCTACATGTCGTGGACGATCACAAGCTGATGATAAAACATGTGGTTCTAGATAACAAATTTTGGAAAAGAAAACAAAAATTAAGGAAAATTTACGTTTCTAAATAAGAATACTTACGTATAAAATTCAAACAAACATTCTTTGGTAATACCAAAAAATCTAATTAAAAACCGATTTGCTAGAGTTAACGTGATCAACTAGTTCATTAATTCGTAGTACTTTTTCATAAGAAAACGTACTGAATAACTATTACTTGAAGCGTTATTTCGTATTATGTAATAAAGGGATATAATAAAGCCTATAACGATGTAAATGAAATCAGTCAGTATAAGATTATTTGAACTGTTCCGGCATCCCACATTGTCCGGACATACCATGTACCTATAAAAATTGTCGCTCTGGTTGTTAGAAGGTGCATCGGCCTCATGACCTTGGTTTTCATCATGAGACGTCATAATTATTCCCTCAACTCCCAGAACAGAGTTTAAATGGTCTGAATTATTTTTTATGGTCAGCGTTTTTAGCGAGTTGGTTTTCTACGGGATGGGGTCGCTAACCCCATGCCCAACCCACCTCCTTTACCCGGGCTTGGGACCGGCAGTAGCCTCCGGAGGAGCTACAGGTGGAATCCAAGTGACCATTACCCATAATATTTAAAATAATAATCTAATGTTTAAAAGGAACGAAGAGACAGAAAAAAACTGGTTTGAAAGAAATTATTTGTATACAAAGTAATAAATGAAATGAAGAGTTAACAGTGACACTTCATATCAACACTAGTAAATCAATTGACAAATTGTACTTTTCTTTTGTTATACACATTATATGATACATACCATACCATTCGAATTATCTTCTGGTAACACATGGTGTTGCTATTAATGAAATACTTTTGAATCAACCTTCATGTCAACACACAAAAAGGAACCATGAATCATAATACAGAGAATAGAGAATATCATGAAATAACATGGGAAAACAGAGAATAATGACAACAAATGTTTGAATATCCATTGTCTTTTTAAACAAAGGACGTGTTTTGTACTGTTGGAGAACATATCACGACATAACGTAAAGTATTTCCAACTATTGATTATATATATATATATATATATATATATATATATATATATATAGTTCAAGATTTGGACATTCGTTAAAATTAATATCTTGTAACTGCTATGAATGGTTCTATATTATAAAAACTAAGATTTCTAACTGATCATATTACGTCATAAATCAGGGTTTAAGTCAGAATTTTCTTACATGGCCCACCAGAACAATGGTTATTGACTTTACCGATTGACTTCATATCTTGTCTTTTATTAACTTACTTCTATATAAGTCGGAGGTAGAAGGTATAGTTATTTGTTTTACTGATAGAACAATTTATAACAATTATAAGAAACAGAAGCACATTTTGTGATCTTCACATAAA